CTTTACAAATAAGGTGGAGCGTTTCCATGTCCACATGAGAATCACATAAAAATACTTGAAATTTACAGCGTCACTGCCCCAGAGCGGCCCAGAAACATTTGTACTGATGTTATCTTTTATAATGTAAAACTGTTCAAATGGTTGAAATGAAACAAAAATTTTTTGTACCGCGAATATAATCTATAGTCTTAAAAGAGACTATTAAAATGCTTGTGCTTAAAATTTTTGTTTCATTTCACCCATTTCAACAGTTTTACATCATAAAAGAGAACAATCAATACAAATATTTTCTGCTACACCAATGCAACAACAAAAGATTTGGTGGGGACATTTCTAGCCACGATGCTGTAGATTTAAAAAATACTCACGGGATAATAAAAAATATTCTTTTGAATGCGGGTTGCAGCACTCTTCAATAAAATTAACCTATATTTTATTGGAAATAATAATTGATCATATGCATAGGAATTGTCCTATACGGATTTAGCAGCCGATGTACGTCCTGTATCTTTAAAACAAGCACCCTTTTCCTAATTCGTATTCGGATTATATGTATCTAGTATCGACTGTCAAATTACAAACTATACCATTTGACCGTCTGCTACATCGAGATGCCTCGCGAGACGAGACTCACCGAGACATTCCGAAACGGGACCGAACGCAGTTCGGGATTTTCGACAATTTGAACATTCAACCATTTGTTGTGTTCCCGATTTTGACACGAGACGCGAAACTTCGACCACGCCATCTGGTTCGTTTCCGGCCGAACGTTTTACGAGCGAGGCCTGCTACGATCGGGACGTCCCTCGATGATTACGTTGCAGCCGCGATGACAGCTGCCGCCGCAGCCGCCTTATTGTTTGATACGGTTTCACGGTTCCAGCTGATTGTACGGCAGGTTGAGCTTTTCGCCTTTTAAATCGTCGCGTTGCCGGGAATATTGCGTGCTAAACGACAAAGCTACGAGCGCTGAATATCAAAGTCCAGTTAGAGAAATAGGGAACTGGCCCATTTTTTTTTAATTTTACTAGAACGGGTGGTTATATATGAAAACACGTTAAATCGCAATAAATAGTTAAAGTTGCGTGGCAGCCGTTGTGGCGTCCAATATTTTACGGTACCGTGGACCGTGGTAAAAGCCATCACAACTCGTCGAACTTCAAAAGTTACAGCAAACATCGGTAAATATTAAAATTTGCACAAATAATAGTGTTGTCGAATGATATTTTTTCAAATATATCGCGCCCCGTATAATTGACGCAACCTGAATCTCTTTCTCGACACGGTTTACGATACTGTTCAAATAAATTTATCCCATCTTTAACGGTTTTCCATTTATCCACATTAATTTATCCACAAAAACGGAAATTTTTAGGATAGTTTGGATTTTTTGCCCATAAACAACACACCCTGTATATGATACAATCATTGTTCGAAATAGAGGTTATAGCCCTGGATTTTCCACGTTTCCTGGTTCAAGAATTTTGTGAAAATAGCAAATGGTTTTCGAAAAAATAAGTTTTTTTGAAACCATGCAGTGCGCCGTATCAATGACGTCATCGCGTCTTGACAGCCCCCGAAATAACTACTTCAATATGGATTTTTTCAAATATCCCTAGCAGCGTATGTGATAGACGAAAACCGTAAATACAAAAATTATAGGTCTTGATGCGGCCTATGACACTAATAATGTACCCTGTAAAAGAACAATTTTCTGCGTCTAATCTAATCTATAATCAATAAAAAGTTTTTTTCAAACATTTTTAAAAATTACTTGGTAAAATTTGATTGCGCCCAATTTCTACCGTTTAAATGTGGACACGGACTTTTACTTCTATGCTAAATTTGAAGTTGATATCTGCAAATTTAGGTCACTTAACACATTTCTCATTTAGCACAGAATATAGGTCCTATACAATAGGTGAAAACCTTAATTAATTTTTTTGAATTTGCGGCGCACCCTGTATATTTTTGAAAAATTGTCAAATATTAAAGTTTATGGAGCCGATTTTCTGCGTCTTCTGGTTCAAGAATTTTTTTGGTCTCGTAAACAGTTTTTGAAAAATGATGTTTTACTTTTTTAGAATACTTCCTGACCCAGCCCTCCCATTTTCAACAGGTTCCGTCACGGGACAAAGCTGCATATATGTGGCAATTATGAAGTCGATTGCTTCAAATTTCAGACACTTATCGTGTTTCATAGCAAAGTCCAAAAAACAGTCGAAAATCGCGAAAAAAAATGGATGCCGGCGTCGGATGAGGGCCATTTCTTATAAGCTTATGTGCCTCGTGGAGGGTTAAAAAGGAGGCAAATTTCAATTTTGTAGCTCCAACGGTTCGAAAGTTATTCAAGAAAAACCAAAAGTCAAGAACGGAGAACGCAGACAAAAAATTTTTTGTTCGTACCAACGACGATTCTATAGGACTTACCGTTACCGAGTTATAAAATTTTTATACGAGCGCAGATACTTTCGAAAAAAAAATTACATTGAATATATACAATAAATTTATAGCTAGGGATATATTTTATTCTAAATGTATACATCTAATTCTGTTTTACTATCAGAGTCGTCATTGATTTATAATTATAATAAGATTTGTGTTGCTTATACCCTTTTTGGTTGCTTTCATCGGATCTGTTGTTTATCTTTTAATTTATTGAACATAATTCTGTGTGATTCCATTACTACTTGACTTTTGTCTATTTGTGGTACATTTTACAAAGCACGGCTTATATTTATATTGGTTTTATCTTCTTCTGGCTGCTTTTTCAGATTAGCCAAGGTAGGCCAACTTCCCTTTGATAAAGACAATATATAATCGCTATTGTCTATATGGTGAGTTTGAAAATCACTTCATTTTCTTCAATTCTCCACTATTAAAGCGTCTTGTTCTACTGACTAAAAGTTTCATACAGATTTTTCACAACCTGCTTTGCCATCAAGCGACAAATTATTTCGACGCGACATTGTTATATTCTCGTAAAATAACTTCTTCGAAATGCACAGTAAAAACGATTATTCAACGCTGGAAGAAAGCGGAGGTTATACCTAAATCTAATGCTGAACCGCCAGAAATTTATTTTAAACTCGAAACTGTTCCATTACCTGATTACGCCCACTCAGTTCCGATTCATCTGATGAAGAAGAGTAATTTTTTTTCTGATCTGGTGGTCTCGTTTCTAGGTTAGATTATACTAAAATGTCGTTAGTTAATGCGTCTTCTCACAGCATCGAAACGACCAGCAGATTCAAATGGTCTTCGATATCGGAAAAGCGACAACGTCGCGGAGTCTCGTAGACGAACGAGAGGAACAAAAAAAGAGAAGCGTATAGTACACGCCAGCCTGGGCGCACCTACCCCTCCACCCCCCTCGACCCCCCCGACCGCGCGTTGCCCGGCAACCGATCGGCGTGCATTGCTCCGTTAGTGTCGAATTCCGCCGCGGTCAGCGTGGGGTGGCGCCACGTCGCGGCCGTACTACTAGTTTCCGATCCCTCCGCCGCCTCGGATAACAACCGCGTGTTTGCGATACTACGAGGCGTTCTATTTTTAGAATATGCCGGTCAGGGCGAGACTCACCTTGCGATTTTTTCCATACGTGTGCTCGCTGTAACGTGACGACAACGCGGCGGCGGCGGCGGCGGCGTGAGATAATACCTTCGAGATAAACGCGCATATTTTTGACCAGTTTCGGAACTGTTAATCTTTGGTTAGCGACCGATGCGTCGCTACTTTTTCGCTACCCGTGTGCCACCCGCGCAACGAGTTCAAGTACTTTGACGAAACGCCTTAAAACCGCATTTATTGCGTGCAAATTTTTAACGTCATTTTTCCCCGAAATCTAGTAGCTGACGTATTTCGACGCCATCATTTCGTTTTTTAGTATTAGATTTTATAAATGCGATATTTTATCCGAAACAGCTTTTCATCGGGTCCACCGTAAGATTATAATATCAAAATTAATTTTTCTTATTTAAGGCCTCTAGTACCAAAGAACAAAATTTTTTTATAGTTATTAGTGCAACAACTTACCCGATATAAACATCGTTGAAGACGTCGGTATTTTGAAACAATCACTTTTCTTTGATTGCATATTTAAAAATATAAAATACAAATAAATCCTATTTAAAAACATCAGATAAGTTTAAAGCTATGGTTTAATATTATTATTTCTGCTAGCCGCGCCATCTATGTTGTAAAACGCGAAAACGTACCTAGCGACCAAGCGCCTCTGTCTGGGAATATTGCAAAAGAAAAAATTTTTCAGGGCCAAGTAAAATTTTGTTTGTGTACATAGGACGAATAAGTGTTTACAAATAAATGCTTAATAATGTAACTGTGACTTATCCAAAAACATGTGGCAGCGAATTAGTGATCTTTTTAAAGGCAAAAGCCTTTTGAGCGGCTCCTTTGGTTGGTAGACAAAATAAAAATATTTTTGAAGTCTGTGGTAGCTACGAAGTGTGGTCAGTGGTCATGTGTCATAAATGAAACCAAAGCGGCGGACTTCTCTCTCTGCGTTTCCGTAGCTTACTTCGGTCGCGAGAAAATGAACCTGGTATTGGAGAATAAAGGAATCCAATCCCGTTTAAATCGCGTCACAAATGCGTATTCCGTGGCGCCACCTAACCGTGCCGTAGACATTTAATTCTTTTTCGCACTTTTGTTATGGTTAGGTGGCGGAAGCCGCCAGCGGGTGCTCGTTTGAAAGATGGCAACGTCAACGTGTTCTGTCAATTACTTGGAATCTGTGGTGTTGTCGATTGCGTTGTTTATTTTGGCCTCACACTCCAATAACCAAATTATTTTTGTGGATTTGAAGTTGAGATTTCATTCCGCCGAAAGATCCAGTGGCACAAGCGGTGTGTGGCAATTCGCGGTGCAAGTTTTCTGAAATCCCATATCGTTATGACGATTATTGTTGCCGTTTGCCTAGAGACGTATCTAGACGTATCCTATAAACTATCGGTTTTGGCTAATTCAGGTGTTTGTTGCAGGCCGCCATTCTACAACAGACCGCCGAGTACATTTATTCGCTGGAGCAAGAGAAAACGCGTCTGCTCTCGCAAAACTGTCAATTGAAACGATTGCTCGGTCAGCATGAGGGCGGCGAGCTGCCGCCCAAGAAGCGTATGAAAACCGAGCTGATCTTGCCGGCCATATCGGCCGAGTCTGCCGACGAAGGCTTGGGTTCGATGTCACCGGAGCCCGTCAAACTGATAGCGGTGACGGTGAACAGCGGCAGCGCTACCGAATCTCCCAACGAGCTGAAGATCGCCCTCGATCGAGAGAGAAACCTGCGACTGCTCTTGGAAGACCAAGTCAGGCAACTCGAGCAACAGCTATTTCACCAACAACAGGTATTTTTACATGACTCGCACGAGTTGAAATGTTCAACTTTTCAAGATATGTAGGCCTACTATGTTGCTTACGGCCGAAGTCAACTTTTGTTTTTCTTAGAAATTGCTTTTCACGCGTTTATGTTAGGTGAAGATAAATGCCGAAAAATAACAGAAAAGAAGAAATTAAAACAGCTGGCGCAGTTATAGAAAGGCAGAACCGCTTATTTTGTATTTATTTATTAATTTTTTTGCTTATTGTTTTGCTTTTAATTGTTTTTGAATATTGCCCATGTTACTTTCGAAAATCGATGAAATCGAATTTTTGGAAAGTATCTGCGCTCGTATAAAAATTTTATATCTTGGTAACGGTAAGTCCTACGGGATCGCCGTTGAAAAAAAAATTTTTTTTGTCTGTCCGTTCTCCGTTCTTGTCTTTTGGTTTTTCCTGAATAACTTTCGAACCGTTTTAGGTACAAAATTGAAATTTGCCTTTTTTTTAACCCTCCGCGAGGCACATAAGCTTTTAAGAAATGGCCCTGATCGGACGCCGGTATCCATCTTATTTTCGCGATTTTCGACTGTTTGTTGGACCTTGCTATGAAACACGATAAGTGTCCGAAATTTGAAGCAATCGACTTCATATTTGGCACATCTATGCAGCTATGCCCTGTGACAGAACCTATTGGAAATGGGAAGGCTGGGGGTCGGGAAGTATTTTAAAAAAATTAAAAATCGCATGTGCAAGGGTCTACAAAAAAGACCATTTTTCAAAAACCGTTTACAAGACCGAAAAAATTCTTGAACCAGAAGACGCAGAGGAAACGACTCCATAAACTTTTATTCTTGACAGTTTTTCAAAAATATATAGGGTGCGCCGTAAATTAAAAAAAAACTGAAAAATGGGTCCCATTTTTATTGAAAAATTTCAAATCTGTCTTTTAGATGTCAGTTTCTTTTACATGACGATATAATCCATATAGGCAGCTTAAACTTTTATATTTACGGTTTTTAAGTATTGTATAGGGTGTTCGGCGATATTCCGTGCAATATTTAAAAACATAATAAGTACTCCAAATTTGCAGCTATCGACTTGGGAGAGAAGTAGAAGTCTGGACCCGCGTTTAGACTCTTTAAATTAGGAGCAATAAAATAAAGTATATTTTTTTATTTTTTGAATTTTTTTGTGGTAATTTTTGGCATCCAGAAAAACATCTTTTCCTCCAAAGCCATTCATCCGATCGGAAAAATTTTACATCCGTAATACGTGGGAGATCCGGCGTTATAACTTTTGTTTCACGCATTTTTTCGATTATATATAAGGTGTTTTAGTTATGGACAAAAATCTAAAACACCCTGAAAATTGTTCTTTCAGAGAGTAAATTATTAACCGTAAATCAAAATTCGTACAAACAATAGTTAATCCGTTCAAACAGTGTTATAGGCCGTATCAAGGGCTACAATTTTTGTATTTACGATTTTCGTATATCACATACGCTGTTCGAGATATTTGAAAAAATCAAATTGAAAATCACCATTTCTCGCCCTCAATCTAGACGCCATGACGTTATTGACGTCATTTACTATTACCACGTATTGTCTAGTTTCAGAAAACAAGTAGTTTTTTGAAAACCATTTACTCCATTGGAAAAATTGGGATACTAGGAAACTAAGGAGATCTAGGGCTATATCCTCTGTTTCGAACATTGTTAGAATTATATACAAGGTACGTCGTTTGTGGGCAAAAAATTCTAGTAGATCCTAGAAATTTCCGCTTTTGTGGTTGAATTATTGGCGATACATGAACAACTTTTAAATATGTGATAATTTGATATGAACAATATCGTAAACTGTGTCGGGAGAGAGTTTAAGGTTTCGTCTGTAATACAGGGGGCGCAGGATATTTAATAAAATACAATTTTAAATTGCAATTACCAGTACAAATTTTAATATTTACCGAAATGTGCCGTAACTTTGAAGTTCGACGAGATATGAAGGACACTTTATACAGGGTGTATTCAAAATCAAATTACATCGATTTTGCGAAAGTTCCATAGTGGTGTGCAGGAGCACGATAGAAAAACATTGCGTCCCTACAAGAATCCGCGAAGCGGGTTCTTTTTAAAATAAAAAGCTGATTCCCGCTATTTGCGACGAACTTGCCCCGCTCAGTGACGATTTTTCAAAAGCAATCTTGTTTTTTTCCAGTGTCTATTTTTTTTCTTTCGTTTTTTACATTTGTCCCCCTTTGATTTGCTTAAAATTATCAAATTGTGAATTTAGGTGGATTTAAGGGACTCTATTGTGGTATATACTTTTTGTTGTATTTTAAAAAGGGCTATTTATTATTATTATTATTATTATTATAATTATTATTTTCATGAAGAAATTAGGTCACATACTACTTTTTCTTTGTCGTGAGTGTCGTGTAGCTTGAGACAAACGATGTAGTAGCAAGATCTAAAAGTCAACAAATTAGTAAAGGGTTTATTTAGATTTTATTAAATTTATACTGTAACTTTTTTTAAATGCGTTGAAAATCTTGTACATTCTTTCTTAAGATGAAGAAATTATACGACATGAATACAAAAAAAACTTTTTTTTGTGTATCGTAAAAAACAAGTATCTAAAAATTATAAACATTACCATAAATTTTGTACTGTTGTAATATCGTACTATATTGTTTATAGCTTGAAATTAAAAAAGACAATTAAAATTAAAAAACTAAAAAAATCATGATTTTTGAGTCGTTTAATAAAAATCACAGTTTGCCCATCACTGATTGCAATAACCACAACTTTATATCTGAACATCTTAAAATATCTCATCATGTCAAAACCTCATCTGCTTATAAAGTTCTTCGTAAATCTAGTATAAAGAAATAGAGCAAACATGCGAGGTGAAAATGTTCGTTTATCTTCTACGCAGGATCACATTTAAAAATTTTAATAACTAACCTTAATAAAAAGTAAAACACAACTCCTTAACAAAATAAGACAAATAATATAATAATATACGCTTTATCCTTCTGCATTTTCGTTGTATTCTTTGCACAAAAATACTAATTTTCTTCGTTTTTCTATTCCCATCGTGTTCCTTATATCTGAGCGTACAAAAACAAAAAAATAGGAATTTTCCTGCAAAAAGCGCGTTCTGACAAATACTTGGCGTGTGTAGGGTACCATATAGTTTATATTGTTTAAAATATTTGGTAATTGCTGCCAAAAGAACGTGAAATATATATTCTTATGAAATTAAAAAAAAAATATTGGTTAATTTTAACCATAGAACCTTAATATTTCGTAATTGGTGCCAAAATATCGGGAAATATATATTCTTATGAAATTTAAAAAAAAATGTTGCTAAATTTTTATCATAGGACCTTAATATTTCGTAATTGCTGCCAAACGAACGGGAAATATATATTCTTATGAAATTAAAAAAAAATATGTTGGAAACTTTTAACCATAGAACCTTAATATTTCGTAATTGGTGCCAAAATATCGGGAAATATATATTCTTATGAAATTAAAAAAAAAATGTTGCTAAATTTTTATCATAGGACCTTAATATTTCGTAATTGCTGCCAAACGAACGGGAAATATATATTCTTATGAAATTAAAAAAAAATATGTTGGAAACTTTTGACCATAGAACCTTAATATTTCGCAATTGCTGCCAATAGAACCGGAAATATATATTCTTATGAAATTAAAAAAAAAATGTTGGTAACTTTTAACCATAGAACCTTAATATTTCGTCAGTGCTCTCAGAAGAACGGGAAATATAGATTCTTATGAAAATAAAAAAAAATGTGGGTAGAAAAAGAAAAGAAAAAAGAAAAAGAACGTGAAATATATTCTTATGAAATTTAAAAAAAATTGTTGGTAACTGGTAACCATAGAACTTTAATTGATATTAACTTACTTAATAAAAAATTAAATGTTAATAAATACATTTCCAGACCATACAGTCGACCCAAATACAGTTCCTTACCGAGGAGACGGACGATATCGCCGGTCTCCAGCTGGTCGCCCCCGACAGTTTACCGCCCGTAGGTCACACCCAGACGGTGGTGTGCTCGCCTCCCGTGTCCCGATGTTCCAGTCCGGAAACGACGATACCGGTAGCGACGAGTATCGTCGAGCAACGCTTGCCCAGCGTTTTGGAGGCGGCGATCAAAGCCGAACCGAAAGTTGAAGTCGAAAGGCTACCTTCTCCGAACAATTCCAGCAACGTGGTCGCCCAAGATGAAAGCAACGTGACCACCGCAGCAGCGGGCAGGATTTACGCCGTCAGCAACACGTCGCGACAGAACTTGGAGACCATCGTCGAAGCGATCAGGCACTTGGAAGGTAACGGTTGCAAGATACTGTTTTTTTTTTTTTAATGAAACTTCCACAGGCTGAGTATAAATTAAAAAAAAAAATTCAATTTATAGGCTGCGGTGATTTCAGGTTAAAAATGTCAAAACGAACATAGTTCAAGAATGCTGTTCTAACTGAGCAACGAGCATTTGAAATTATTATGAGAAGTATTTTAAAAAAATTAAGAATCATATGTGCAAGGGTCTACAAAAAAGACCATTTTTCAAAAACCGTTTACAAGACCGAAAAAAATCTCGAACCAGAAGAAGCAGAGGATACGGCTGCATAAACCTTTATTCTTGACAATTTTTCAAAAATATACAGAGTGTGTCGCAAATTCAAAAAAACTGAAAAATAGGTCCCCCAATTATTGAAAATTGGCAATAATTTAACATGACGATATAGCCCATATAGACAGGTAAAACTTTTGCATTTACGGTTTTTAAGTATTGTACACGGTGTCCGCGAAATTCCGTGCAATATTAAAAACCATAATAAGTGCCCCAAATTTGCGGCTACCTACTTCAGACTGGGGAGCAGTGGCGGTTCCTCCATAAGTGCACATGTGCACGTGCACCCCCAAATTTAATGCCCGCTCGGAAAAAAAATTATTTATGTAATTATATCCTACAATTCTCTTAATCCTATTTATAAAAAAAAACGATTCATCAAAATTCATAAAATTGAAATTAATACATAAAAAACTAGGAATTTCTTATCGGCCGTCACCGCGACCGCCGCGCCGGTATAAATCATTGTATAAACAAAACTCCAAACCCCCTTTGCCAGCAGCCGATTCCGCCGATCGTAAAATGCTTCGTTCACTGCTCATGGAACTAATAGATCTGATTGGTCAATCATCCGCCGCCCGCACTCTTTGTTTCCCGCGGCGGTCTACCGATCTAAGCTGGCCCGTGTGCACACGTAATGAGTGCACTTGTAGTTCGCGTTTGCAAATATAATAGCCGATGACGCGTGCGTGTTGAAAATTAGTATTCGAAAAATAGTTTTAAAACTCTGTTAAAATGACGGACAATTATAACGTGCAATATTTAAAGACAATTAAATTTTCTTCTCTTCCATTGGAAGAAAAAATTAAAATTAAAAGTGTTGGACGTCCCAAACCGAATGTGTTAATTATTAATACAACTAAATGCAAAAATCGAGAATATAAACGTACTTTTAAAATAGAAATGTATGAAAAAACTGACTGGTTGTGCGGGTGTGATGTGAGTAATAGTCTCTACTGTTTTCCATGCTTATTATTTTCAAGCGATCAGGCATCAGATCCATCAGAATGGACAAAATCCGGAGTAAAAGATTTAGTTCATTTATCCGAAAAAATTAAAAAACATCAGAATTCTAAATCACACTTATCTGCCAAATTAGGATTTAATTTATTGGGAAAACAAGATATTAGACAGCAATTAAATAGTGTCTATCGTTTAAGCATAGAAAAACATAATGTCCAAGTAAAAAATAATAGATATGTTTTATCAAAAATTATAAACTGTGTAAAATTTTGTGGTGCGTTTGAACTTGCCCTCCGCGGACATCGCGAAAAAGAAGATTCTGTAAACCCTGGTATATTTAGGGGACTCATTAATTTTTCTGCTGAACTGGATATAGCACTGAGGGATCATTTGCAGCAAGCCACCATATTTAAAGGAACATCAAAAGACATTCAGAACGATTTATTGGAATGTATGCTCTCTGTTTGTCAGGCACAGGATATTTCAAATATTTTTCAAATGGTTATAGTTTTCCGTTATACATTACCGAATGGCAGCCCCGTTGAGAGATTTTGGACATTTGTAAAACCAAATGAACATGATGCTGTTGCCTTAGCTGGCTGCATAGAAGAAGCGTTAAATTATGTTTTAAAAAATCCGGATCAATTAATTTCCCAAAGTTATGATGGAGCAAGCGTCATGAGTGGCGCTCAAGGTGGTGTTCAAAAACTTATTAAAAATAAATTTAAATACGCTCATTACATCCACTGCTATGCACACCAGTTAAATTTAATAATGTCTCAGGCAACAAGCATAAATACAAATGCACGCATTTTTTTTGCCGAACTTAGTGACATTACTAATTTTTTTTCAAATTCACCACAAAGAGTTGCGATACTGGATGAAGTGGTTGGAAATAGAGTTCCAAGTGCATCTGCTACCAGGTGGAACTTCAAAATTAGAACTGTGAATACCGTATATGAAAACCGGAAGGCACTTATAGAGTGTATGGAAAAAATACAATCCACATCCAGACAATCCGATACAATCACGAAGGCAGGCGCACTTTTAAGATTATTGTATGATCCTAAGTTTATTTTTTGGTTATCCGTTTTTCATCGAATAATGCCTCACGTCAATATTTTATATTCACAACTGCAAAAAAGATCAACTGATTCGGTAACCGTAAAAAGATGTATTAATGAATTTGAAAAAAATATACAGAAAGAACGGGAGACAATTCACACCATAAAGGAAATTGAATTAGCAAACATGGATGAAAGTCAAACTAGAAAAAGAAGAAAGACAGAAGAGAGGCATTCTTATGTTTCTACGATTGTGCAAGCCAAGGAAGTATGTGATACTATACTTGCAGAAATCAAAAGAAGATATTCATTCACTGGCCATTTGGAAGTAGCGCACTTATTTTCAGTTGAAAATTTCGAGATATTTTCAACTAATTTTCCCACCAAACACTTAAATTCAGCAATTATGAATTTTTCTTTTCTGAACAAAGATAAATTGAAGACGGAACTGGAAATAATCTACAAAAGATCAGATTTTAGAGAAGTTTCAGGAGCAGTCCACCTACTTAAATTTTTAGTTGAAAATAATTTGCAAACAGATTTCTCAGAGACTTTTTCAGTACTACAAGCAATTGTTACGATGCCAATGACAACTGCAGAAGCGGAACGTTGTTTCTCCACATTAAAAAGAATTAAAACTTTTCTTAGAAGTACAATGGGTGAAAATAGGTTGACTGTCCTCGCAATGTTATCCATTGAGAAACAAATGATTCAAGAAATTCCAAATTTTAATGAATTAGTGATTGAAGAATTTATCTCGAAGAAGGACAGACGTATTGATTTTCAATTTAAAACGTGTTTGTGAAATACAAAATCTTTGATAAAAACTATTACTTATGTACATAAAAACATTTTTTTTTGCGAGGCCAAAGTTAGTACTCATCGGTGACAGCAGGGTAAGTTATTTATTATTATTTTTTTAATTGAGATATAGTTTTCTATTATTGATTGGCCTTTGAATAACGCAAAAAAATTTTTCGGCGTCGTCGCGTGGCCGCCAATTTTTTGATTTTACGTTGTGCACCCCCTAAATATGGAACCACGCGCCGCCGCTGCTGGGGAGAGAAGTCCGGACCCGCATTTAGAACTCTTTAAATTGGGACCAATAAAATAACGCGAAGTATTTTTTCAAAAAAAATTTTTTTTTTGGTTATTTTGGGTTCCAGAAAAACATCTTTTCCTCCAAAACCATTCGTCCTATCAGCAAAATTTAGCAACCGCAATACGTGGGAGACCCGGCGCTATAACTTTGTTTCACACATTTTTTCGATTATATACAAAATGTTTTAGTTATGGACATAAATCTAAAAGTCCCTGAAAATTGTTCTTTTAGGGAGTAGGTTATGAACCGTAAAATGAAAAACTTTAAACAGTGTCTAGAGAGAGTTTCAAGTTTCGTCTATCATACAGGGTGCGCCAAATATTTGAAAAAATATAATTGGGAATCGCTATTATTTGTAAAAATATTTGAATTTAACAAAGTTTGCAATGTTGTTATATCTCCAATCAAAAAATGTCAATAGAGCAAATTTCAAGGGCATTAAAAAACACGTATGAAATAGGTATTACTTCCAGCCTTTTACCTATAATCGTATTGAAGATATAACGCTATAATTTTTTTAAATAGTGAAAATTTTCAAATGTACCAAAAAATTGTCCTAATACCTACTGCTTGAATACTAAATGCTCACTTTGTATAAAGTTTATAATTATGATTAATAATAATTTTATTTTTAACAATAAAAAAAACACGATTTTTTGTCGGGTTTCCGTTTTTGACCGACTATAGTAGGCCTCACGTTGAAAGACTACTTTTGTTGAGCGGTAAAAGTAAATTAATAAATTCATTCTTTATTTGTTTGTGTTGAGTTTTTACCTGAGGTGTTGAATAGAAACATTGTTGGGACAAACAAATACTTTGTACTGGAGAAAGCTCATCTGAAATTAGTCAGAAAAGGGAAAATTCCAGTATTTCCAGGTAAGTGAGCTAATTCAATTTATTTCCTAAAACTTGAGTTTATTCAATTGTAGGCTCCGTTGGACTTAGATGTAAGTAAATTCAATAATCCTTTTCAATATTTAAGTGAGGTTATGGTTATAAATTTGCTCGGTCATAGTTGCGCGTACGATGTCGTCTTCGCGGTCGTAACATGTTTTTTTTTGTATGGAAATCGATGCTTGTTATTTTGGTTAAGTATTTTCCAAAGATTTTGTGGTATGTCAGTTATAATATTGCATATCGAAAATCATTTCATCATGTTGTAACTTTGTGAGATCACAATAACGGTTGCAAATATATTTAAAAAAATACGATTATAGATAAAAAGCTGGAAATACATATTTCCTACGTATTTTTTTATGCCCTTCAATGTTTCTCTTTTGATATTTTTTGATATATGTGATAGTTTTGGAGATATAACAAGATTGTGTGCAAAAGTACCGTTGTTCAAGATGGCGGAACTTTTTTGGGACCTTTTGGTCAAAGGTACATCCGGGGACTTTTAGTATGTTAAAAAGAAAGTATAGTAACACCTCTTCCAAGCTTTATAAAAATTTGTTCCACCTAAACATTTATTTGTATTGTACTATTAAATCAAACCCATTTATTTATATTTTGTTTTATTGAATCAGTCGTTCCTCTTCCTACCCACCGGTTCGTATAATTTTGATTAAGATATTCGGTTACATTGAGAGGAACATCATCATTTTCAATAAAACGTAAATAACCGATGGCCGTGAGATGTTCACCGAAAATCTGTCTTGAAAAAAAACTTCCCCAGCATGTTGTGGATTTTCTAGTGCTCGAAAATGTAGCCTTTGATTTCTTAATATCCGGCGGCTAAATTCAAGTCTTTGAAGACTTTAGAGGCAATTTTAAAACTGATAAGTGTCAGGCCTTCTTGTGCCAAAAAAAATATTATATTCTGAGAGTTTTGACATGTTGTTTTATTTTGATGATTTGGAACGTAAAAGGTATAAGATTATTTATTAAGTAAAATATTGGATTTTAATAGTTTTTGCATACTAATGAAATTAAAGTAGTTGATTTTAAAAGTTTTGTTGATGCTTTAGGATATCTGCAACTTTAATTAGTTTTACCACCATATTGGATGAAATTTATTCACAACCGATTTCAAAAGAATTTTACACCATGAAAACGGTGCATTTGCGGACCTAGACCTAGACCTATTCTAGAATTTATTGAATGGTGCAAAAAATGCGATTCGAGTTCTTGTAAAAGTTCGAAGTTTTTTTCAAAGACACTTCCACGGGCTACTGTAGTACCATTTACAAATCTTCCGGATTCCTAAAAAAATCAAGATATTCTTTTCAATTTAAGAAAGATCTCTCTTTATCTGAAACTATTCCTGACACTCTTAACATCATTTCAGGTATGTCAAAATTCGTGAATCTTGAACCGAATCTTCTTAACCTAGTTCAAAATTGCTTGTCCTTGTCCTTGTAACGTTCAAATGACTTTTGGTTTATTCCACACCACACATTCAGTGACCAGTGGTTTTGGTTTTGCACTTCCCGTGACGCAAAATGGATTAACTGTTGAATAATAAAATAATCGCTTCATCAGAAAATATTATTTTAGACCAAAAATTTTGTGAAGTTTACCCTTTGTTCAAATATTCTTGGTTGGAAGTTACGATATTTCTGTTTTCTAGTTTCTAAGCTAGCCACTTTAGAGCTACTTAGCTAGGGATTACCTTCCACTCAATAAAAATTTGCAATTTCATTTCAGTTTACCATTTTCCATTTTTATTATCCAATAGTACCCCTAGCATCAAACCGATGACAATCTTTACAACATTCGTATTTACCATAGCACTAGAAATAACACAGGGCCGAGAATTGTACCTTGAGGCACTCCATTGGCCTCACCCGATTTACCTGATTTGCCATTTACTTTTACCGGATGTATTCGAATTTTAGTAAATTCTAGAAATTTTAAAATAGCCCTCGCTAAATCCGCGAAAATTCCAATTGTTTTACAGCTCTCGTTGGGATTTTTCTGTATAAACTCCGTAAAATGAAAGTGTATCGGGGAAAGTAAATTGTGTTTTCTTTCTTGTTAAGAAAACAGCAGAGCCCCATTCTTAAACCACTGGCCTTGGCACTCTCGAAACCCTCGTACAATCAGTAGTATAGTAGCACCGGTTCTAAGTCAAATTTAAATTTTCGCCAATGTTCGGATGTATTCGGGTTGGCGCGGTTTTATTAGCTTATTTATAACTTTCTCGCGTACAACTTTTCCGATTTCCGACCAAAAATGACGATTTGCAGGCGACCACATGTTCGGCGACGAGCCGGCCGGCATTGCTAGCAATCAGGAGGCTCCGCTGGCGTTAACCACACGACCTGACGGCTCGCTGAAAGACATGACTTATCTGGAGTACAGCGCAGCGACGCTGCAGCAGCACCAACAGTCCCGACCTGGGGTGATCGTGGTCAAGCAGGTACGTCACTTTAGCAGATTAAAACTGAATAATAATAATAATAATAATAATGAAGATAATAATGATAATGAAGACAATAATGATAATAATGATACTGACAATAATGATGGTAATAAAAATAATAATAATAATTAATTAAGAATTAATAAGAGCTTTATGGTACTGTATTGCACTAGCTTCGCTGTCTAGAATGTTAAATAAACGTAAAGTAGGTTTCCAGCTCCATAACGGCCAACAAATATATCATCTGGCCTATATGGAGGATATCGAGCTAATGTCATTAACTAAGACAGGTCTTGATACTCCACTAATGACTATTAAACAATAGAGAAGTGCAAGATCGGTGTCATGAAAAGCGGATAGTGGCAACAGCACCCTGGATTCAGTCTGGAATTAGATGGAACCATAGAGGCCATGAACATGAAATTTTGCCTTAAAATTTCGAGTTGAATCTAGTAATTTTCAAATTTTTCGTTTTAACTCGAAATGTTACCTTCAAATTTCGATGTAAATTTTAAAATTTTGTTTTAAGTCGAATTGGATTTAGAAATTTTAAATTTCGCGTTTCAACTCGAAATTTCGATGTAGATTTTAGAATTTTAAAATTTCGCAATTTAATTGTATTTTAAAATTTTAATGTATAATTTCGAATTAAATCGTGAAATTTTAAAATTTCGAGATTAAATTATTATTATTATTATTTAGTATGTATTATTATATAGCGGATAGTTATTGCGAAATTTTGTTGCAGACTTCGTGATCGAAGATCATCCACTTTGCTAAAATGCCTCCGGTCTCTGGAGCGGGTGGAGGTCGTTTGGCAGAGGGGGCGGGTAACAATTGAGAGATTAAAGAAAACAAAAACGCCAAAAAGCGACGTAACAACTCACCCCGTAGGCCGAATTTTGTTAATTTCGTCTCAATTATGATTTCAAAAAAAAAAAAAACATCTCGCCTCTCTGCGTGTAAACTATGCTACGTTGTAAATAACGGATGCGCGCGCGGCTGGCGTTTAACACTTTCGTTCTCCATTTTTTCGATCGTGTCTATTGCGCCGCGACCCCTCCCACGCCCGCGCCCCCATTTTATCTCGAAAAATTGTAACCTCAATCTCGAAAGTTTTGTTTCGTTTAAGCAATTAGGCTGTGCCATTTTTTTTTAAGTTTCGGTTTAGGGTCGAACGGTGCGTCAAAAACGAGGCGTAGGGCGGGGGTAGTGGAGCGGTGGGGAAGGGGGGCGACACGAGCCAAAGACTGGACAAAAATATATATATATATGTATGTATTTTTTCTTCGAACATGACGATTTTTTATTTTGTTTTTTTTGTATGTTACTTAAAACGTTGAAAGGTTTCAGTTGGAACGCCAAAAATATATATTTATCATTATAAATACGGTCACTATAGATGAATTAGTGAAATGTTTTGTTCCTTCTTTGTATATTAAAGGTATATTTAATTTTCCTTTAGGTCGTAGGCGGGGGGCGTGATTGTCGTTTTTAAGCGCCGCCCCCTCCAAAATTTAGTATTAGAAAAACGCCTTTCTCTTTTTATTTTCCATTAAATTTCCCGCCACTGTGTATAGGAGCGGGTTTTCCCCTCGCGTGCCAACTTTTCGCATTAACAAAGACAAAAGTGCTTGTGCTAGTTTTCAAAACCGACATTTTCCTCACGAATTTCCTGAGAAATGTATAAGTTTTTGCGTCGGTTCAGTAATGCCAACTGCTGAAAGTGTTCATACTATGAAAACATAGAAATGGCACGGCACAAAAATCAATTCGCAATCTTAAAATTTCGATGTCGATCTCGAAATTTTGAAAATTTTGTTTTTACTCGAAATTTTGCATTGAAATTTTAAAATTTCACGTTTTAACTCGAAGATTCACCTTAAAAGTTCAACTAAAATTTGATAATTTTAAGCTATCGAGTTGAAGTGCGAAATTTAATATTTTGAAATCTATGTCGGTATTTTAAGGTCAAAATTTCGAGGTAAAACCCAAAATTTTCAAAATTTCGAACTCTATGTGGATATTTTAAGGTAAAATTTCGAGCAAAAAGAAGAAATTTTAACATTTTAAAGCAAAATTTGTAATTAAACACAAAATTTTCAAAATTTCGAGATCTAAGTCAAATTTTAAAGTAAAATTTCGAGTTAAGAGATTAAATGTTAAAATTTCGATATTAGTGGAAATTTTAAGGCAAGTTTAGCGTTTTAACGCAAAATTTTGTCTCCCAAAAATTTCGATTTAGAAGTCTAAATATTAAACTTTTGTGTTCTAGCTCATGTTTTAATTCGAAATGTCAGCTTAGATCTCGAAATTTTAGAATTTCGCGTTTCAACTCAAAATTTTACCTTCAAATTTCGATTTAGATTTCAAAATTTTAAAATTTCGCACTTCAACTAGAAATTTTATATTAACATTTTAAAGTAAAATTACGTGTTGAACGGCGAAATTTTCAAATTTTGAAATATAAGTCCAAAATTTCGAGATGGAAGTCGAAAAATTTTAACGCAAAATTTCAAGTTAAAACTCCAAATTTTACGTTAAAATTTCGACTTTGATCTCGAAATTTTTTTAACTCAGAATTTTAAAATTTCGTAATGTCTTACTGGAAATTTTAAAATTTTGTATTTTATCTCGAAAGAAAAAATGAAATTTCATGAATGCGTGTGCGTGTCTGATTAATTAAAAAAAACATGGTGTTCCCGTCAACAATCACAATATTCCAACAAAAAGTGCATTTCGCACAACATTTTCTCAGGCCAATACAATTCATATATTTTTTCCAAAATGACCAATATCAGAAAAAATATTAAACGCGAAATCCACAACAACAATCTACACCTTGTATTTAACATTGACCTTAAAATTTCGAGTTCAACTCTCTTGACGCCCTCCAAAACGATTTAAACTGTTAAGGTTTCTTCGATTCAGCTAGCAAAAAAGCATTTATTTTTCCATCTTATTTATTTTTCTGAACTCTAGACTGGGAGAAGCAAACCATTCTAATGACATTCCGAAATGTCAAATAAATTGACGTTTCCTATGTAAAGCCATGATGAAACTGAATAATACTTGTTTCTGGATAGTTCTATCGAGAGGGGAAAAGCGCCATAGATATATTTCTCTTTGTTGTTTTTTTTATATTTTGTGTTTGATTGTGTACGTTTATATACAGAAAAATGTACATAACTCTTGAGATAAAAATTTGGTATACGTGATTATGAAGTTTTGAGAATATAGGACTTGTTTTCGTTACATGTGTAGAGTTTGCAGTTGACAACTTTTTTTTTTTTAATAGATATTAGCGTTACCAGAGGTCACAGAACGGAAATACGAGTTTTATTCATTACTGTGGATAATAGCAAATGTATTATTGTATGGACTCTAATAATTCGTTTTTCTTGATAGGGTTTATAAGGATTATAATGCTGTCAAACGGGATCGTCGGGTGTGCACCTCGAAATTGTCGGTGTTACCGAAACCTTATTTTTCCCGCAGCGGTATATACAGGGCGACCGAATAAGAATAGTCGCCGATCGTTATCTCAATACCGAAATCATTTGATATATATATTTTTTTAATTTTGTAATATAAATTGAAATTTTAATTTAACATTTAATTTTGCTTTGAAATTTCGTACGTGAACTCGAAATTTTGCATTGAAATTTCGTGTTTTATCTCAGTTTTGGTTAGTTAGTTGGATTTTAACATTTCGTGGTTTTTATCGTTTTTTTTTCTTTGAAATTTCGTGTCTAAATTCGAATTTTTGCAATGTAATTTCGTGTTTTATCATATTTTTTAAAAATTCACATAGCAAATATTTTAATCTAAAATTTCGCGTTTTAACTCGAAATTTCGATATCTAGATTTGTAACTCGAATTTCAAAATTTCGATTTGTAACTTGTAATTTCAAAACTTTCTTTTGTAACTTGAAATTGTAATATTTCGAATTGTAACTCGAAATTTCGACATTTCGACTTGTAACTCGAAATTTTAAAATTCCACGCTTTAATTCGAAATTTCAAAATTTCATGTTTTGACTCGAAATTTAAAAATTTTCATTTGTAACTTGAAATTTCAACATTTCGGTTTGTAACCCCAAAATTTCACAAATTTTCGGTTTTCGAGATACTACCATCGGCGGCGATACTGTCGACGTCGCGCCACTTTGTGTCAAAAAAATTCAGGTGAATCGAAATTTTTTTATACGGTTTGACAGCATCCTCAGGAAAGTCTGAACTTTTTGAAAAAAATCTGCGATAAAAATGTAATAAGGTTTAATAGGTAAGGTTTAGGCAAGGGTCGATGGCCTGGGATCGGTCAAAAATGCGGCCACCACGTAGGTTAAATTATTATGGGTGTCGATATCGAATCAGAAAGCTTTTTTGTACTTCTTTTTTTCATAACTTCGCATGGAAACCAAAATGGGCGAGTCGAGGGATGCTTTTTGTTGGAGAAAATAGCACTGTTTAGAAACTTTTAGGAAATGGTTAGGGAAATGTCTTTGGTATGAGCGGTTCCTCGAGACGCATTTTGGTTTATTACGTTTTTGTTGATTTTGCCTTCAGTTGCTATTTTAAAACTCAGTTACATGCAAACCTTTAAGAGCGTTGTTTCTTGTTCTGCACACTGGTGAACAGGAATCGATTCCGCCATCTTGAGCAAGGTTAAAACTTCAAACAAACAGAACAAATGCTGGTTTTCATCCCTTCAGTAATAAGTAATGAGAAATGGGGATTTCTTTGGTAGCACTTTACCCTAACTGAACATGATTAAAAGTATTATCTTTTATCTCTAACTGATCAGCAAAAAAATACTAGCTCCTCAGCCTCACCATAAAGAAAAAAAAAACGTATTATAATTCTTGTAAGTTGGCAAATAGAACTTTTAATTTTAATCTGCTCCTGCAGTGTTTCTTCCACATCTTTGGCCCATCACTAAGTATAATCTGTGGTATACTTCTAAATATCGGGAAGTCCTGCGTTTTCTGGCACTCGCAAAAGCTATTTTCGACACTTTCTTATTTCTGATATTGTCGGCACAGGATACTGGATCCTCAGTCTTCTTATAAAAGAAAACATACTTATTACAGGTCTACTAGGTTAATAGATAGAAGTTTTAATTTTGATCTGTGCTTCTCTTGTGTTTCTTCTACATATTTGGTCTATTCTTTGGTATAATCTGTCGTATATTGTCATCAACATAACATAACATGGTGCTTCCTCCATGATGGTTTATGGTTATTGCTTAGGGTGGAATGCCGTATTTGTTGTATATATTCCAAGCGTTAGCTGAAGATGAGTGGCCGAAAAGCACTGACGTATTAAAAGTCATTTCGGGATTTCTCTTTTCTTCCTTCAGGTTAGTTCCACATTTTATCGCCTTTGGACCATTTGCTTTCAGCTGAATACTTTGTGAATTCTCCAATTACTTTTAACTCCCGTTTTAACCACGGACTGCTACAAAATAAAACTATTCTGGAGGCGCCATAGACATCATAGAACCGTAAAATAGTTCCTATCTTAAGACAGCTTAGAATATAAATTCTCACATTTTCAACACTTATTGACTATTTGTCTAACCTCTTTTGTAGTAGGTGTAGTAACAAGAAAACTACTGTCATTGCTTTTTAAGAGCATCTAAGATATGGTTTTGGGTGCTGTCAAATTTACTTTTTCTATGGTCAGTGTCAGATATATATTCACAGTATCAAATGTCTTTTTCAAGGCCAAAAACACAGTATGAGATATAACGATTATTTTGTATTATTCTTATTATAGTGGTATGTCATTTGGTTGAAATGCTTCAATCTTTTCAACGATCTTTGACAAATTGCTGAACCATAAAGTAGTTCTTATCTTAAGGCGGCCTGGAATATAAATGTTGACAGGCTTATATTCTCATATTCTATACACTTATATATTGACTACTTGTCTAACTTTTTTGTAGTAGGTGTGGTAACAAAATTACTTTTATTGCTTTTTTGAAGCATCCGAGATATGGTTTTGTGTGCTGTCAAATTTACTTTCTATATGGTCAGTGTCGGATAGACAGATGTTCACAGTATCAAATGCCTGTTTCAAGTCTAAAAACAGCAAGAGATATAACGATTATTTTTAATTATTCTTATTATAGCGGTATGTAATTTGGTTGAAATTTTTAAAATCTTTTCAACGATATTTGACAAAATGTTTTGAAAATAAAGAAGTAAAAAAAAGTAGTAAAACGAAAATCACCATGGAACGGAAGCTTTGGTCGGTCCGCGTTTTTGACGTTTCGTTGGGGAACTTAAAAAAAACGGTTAGAGTAAATTATCGGTTTGTAAATGCGGCTATTTTGTAAGAAAAATCCGCGGGTGTTTTTTTTTCGTAATCGCCAGTTTTCGCGCCCACGAGCGACTTTCTATTTAACTTGGCTTTTGATTAACCAAACGTTCCGATCGAAGTATAATACGTACTGCCAAATATGCCTTAATTTTATAGCCCGAAATCAAATAATAAACGAATCCCGTAAATTTAAAATGGTACGTTGTTTTTATCGAAACGAATAGTCCGCTTTCTCCTTGAAAAAAAAACTCCAATATATATATATATATATATATATATATATATATATATATATATATATATATATATATATATATTACATGACAATTGTTTCGACAACACCGTGTCTTTATCAAATGTGACACGGTGTTGTCGAAACAATTGTCATGTCATAATATATAATTTCGTAAAAATCTGAACTTTTAGTTCTTATTTATTTTGATAAATTCGAAAATAAAATAATATACAAGTACTCCATTTAAGAAAATAAACAAAATAAACCGTGTGTCTAGAACTTCTGTACAAAGTCGTTTTTTTAAAACTCCTTCTATGTGTCATCGATTATGGTAAATCTACATCTAATTGCTACCTCCATGAATTGCAATAAAACGTTAAAATTTTGCATCACCTTATGCGTTCGAAGATTTTCTTTAAAATCGAAGCCAGTACAAAAAAAAAATGGAAAGTTATTTTTTTATGTCAATTTTGACAGTTAAAAGCAAATTTTTCTATATTATTTGTTTTTCTTTAAATAGTTCATGTTTAAGCGAAAATATTTGCAATAGACGATAAAAATAGACCTTACTAAAATTATTTCTGAATGTTATTGATTGGTAGGTACGTAACCGGAAGTTATCAATATGCGAAAAGAAATTTGAAAAAAAAAAAGGAAAAACTTCTTGATTTTTTCACACCTAACTTTTTTTTCGATGGACTAAAATAAATCGGTTTATTGGATGTCCAAGCAAATCTTAACCAAGATTTTTCAAAAATCGACATCTTTTATAAAAACGTTAAAAAAAATTGGTTATTTGTACATACTTATTTAAGGACATATGAATATAAGTACTATACTGTATATTAAAAAAGAATAATAAAATTGCCATTCGTTTCGATAAACGCCCGTTAACGTTAAAAATACGCTCGGATTTTTTTTTGAAAAACGTAAATAGAAAGTTGCTTATCAAAAACCCGAAAGCAAAGCGAAAGTAAATATAAGCAATTGTATTGTTAAATTTTAAGTGTAAAAACAGCGGCTAAAGATTCGTAAAACACGTAATAATTTTTTTTTAATTTCTTTAAAATTTATTTTTATACCAAAGTTATATTTAAAAATTTATTTATTGTGTGTATTTCGCTGCCATCGTTTTAAGGTTTCGTTTTTTTTCCTTTCCGGTCGTAAATAAATTCGGATGTTTCAAACAGTGTTATAATATAATACGTCAGTGTTTTTTTTTCGCTGAAACGATCTGATAAAAATTCCCGTTATGTTTGAAAGTAATAATTTTGCGTTAATTTTAGGAACGCTGTTAATAGGTGTCATAAAAAATCGATGTCGAGGATGTTCCACGAAACTTAAGTTTTATTTTATATGTGTAACACTGTTTAAATATTGGCCGTTTGGTTTCGTATTTCGTGCCGCACAATATTGATTTTGTTTCATCCTAAACTCGCTTTCAGTTCGTTTCGCTTGTATCATCGGTCTTTTAGTATTTTATTAAACCCATTAATAATAGTTTGGGGGTTTTCTTTTCTATCCTTTCCCCTGAACAATTATTAGTTTTAATTGTTTAAAACTAATGGTGTGGTCTGTGTCAATCTTCGTCGCGCTGGCGGGACAGAACATTAGGGACAGACTCTCAAAGGTTTTGGTAATATATTTTTTTTTGTTTACGTTTGGTGGGTATAATCTTATTAAATTAGACTAAGAAAAGACAATGATTTTTTTTCAAAGCAAAATTTCTGGATTCCTCCTGCGTTGGTTTTTGCTGAATATAAGGAAAAGATTCAAGATATTCTTACAGGCGGATCATATCGTCAACTTAAAAAAGATCCTACGCCATCTATGGATCGCAACCTTAAATGTTATTAAGGCTTCTTCTCTATCAGACTTCGTGAAAAAATCTGTTACCCCTCACGACTCTAAAATTCCTCGTCTCTACGGACTCCCAAAGATCCACAAACAAGGATTACCCCTATTGTGAGCAGCATTGGTTCTCCAACATATTCTCAATCAAAATAGCTAGCTTCTATATTAAAACCCTTTACAGGGAAAACTGGTAGTTTCGTACTTAATTCCTTTCACTTCATTGAACAATTAAAAAGCATTACATTAGATACACAAGATATTCTGGTTAGTTTCGACATAGAATCCCTCTTTACCAAAGTTCCTGTTCTGTTAGACATGGCAACATAGCATATTAACGTTCCTGCCGTAGAAACCCCTGGGATTTAGTCTATCCTTAGCACCCAATACGTATCGATGCGCGAGCGCCCTGTCCTCAGGCAACGCACGATAACCGGCATTGTAATAATTTCAAGTCGTTACAGAATAAATCTTTAGTTTCTAAACTAACGTATTCATTTAACTGTCGCACGAACCCCCGACAGACAGTTCCTATTCCTGAAACTCTCGACATCATTTCAGATAGGTTAAAATCCGACAATCTGGAACCAACCTTCTCACCTTAATTGAGAAATGCTTGTCTGGAAACATCGGAAACAGCTCTTAGTCATCGCGAATATATTTATGGAAGTCTTTGAGAAGAAAGCTCTCGACACCTTTCATCTAAACCCAAAATTACGGAAACGCTACGTCGATGATACTTTTATTTGGTCTCATGTTCCCTAGTACATTTTCTTAGACTTTAGACTCCATACACCATAACATACGTTTTACCATTGAAATAGAAACTAATAACAACCTCCCATTCTTAGATTTTCTTATCAATAGGAAATCAGACCTAATATTGGGTCATTGTGTTCACAGAAAACCTACGCACACAGACCAATACCTTAATGCTTTGTCACATGGTTTACAGAGCCGCAGGCACTGAACTCAGGATTAACACACCTTACCTCTGCTCTTCTCTCTAATAATTTCCACATTAAAGATATTAAGCGTTCCATCAAAAAATATACTTCATCAAGACCTTCCAATAGCAATGAAACCGAAAGCAATCCTACACTAGTCACTGTTGTCCTTCCTTACATTCAAAACATCGCTGACCACATATCACAAGTTCTCAAGACATGTAACGTCAAAACCAGATTTACCACTTGTCAAAAAATCTCTCAACATCTTCGATCCGTTAAAGACAAAATTCAACTAGACCCAAAGAACATGAAAGAGCCTTAAGACTAAGACAAATAAACTCATCAGCTGTTGCCGAACACAATTACGAAACCGGACATAAAATTTTATTCGAAAAAACTAAAATTCTTGCATGTAATCAATTTTTTTACCAACGGAAAATCCGAGAGTGTATAGAAATCTATAAGCAACTTAACAATCTTAACCGCGACCCAGGTCCGAGACGGTGTATATGCCCCTCGTTTCGCTACGCCCGCCTCAAACAATATAAAAACAGGTACAGAGTAAAATGCGAGCCAGTTTCAGTCAAGCTATGAAGAAGCCAACAGGATGATTGGCGAAACGTCAGGAAGTTTGACTCAGCACAAACGACCCTTAGGAACATTTTATATGAATATTTAAGAATTACATTTAATGTTTCAAATAATCGGTCATTTTCTTTTGAATTTTTTTAGTATGCCAATACGCATCTCGTATATTGGCTTGTACTTTCACCATTTCTTCGAGAGGGGCATCGTCCCCATGATACATAAAAAATTTCTCTAGAAGCTTAACTGAATGTTGTTGTTGTTGTTGAATGGTTGGTGGTAGTCCCAGATCAACTTCTTCATCTTCTTCTTCCTCTTGGTGCTCTTCCTCACCTTTCTTGCTTGTTGCAATATGGCTTCCTCTGTCAAGTCTGCTGTTGTAGTCAAATCCTGATCTATCACCATAAAATCTTGTAACTCCTCACTTGTAAACGTAATTGTTGTTTGAAACTGCTTTATCCACTCGCTTAGTGGCTGATTATCTTCCAAGCCCTGTTCGCATTCTGTCTCGGTAATAAGTTAAGTCCTGCATGATGATAGGAGTGTTGAATTGTTTCTGCAAGCCAAAGTTGACTGCATTCAGCATATTAATGGAAAATTTGTCTTCGGACTCGATCATTTCCATTGAAATGTTTTTCCTGTATCGACTCTTAAGACTTTTTTTATTACGTTCTGGTCCATCGGCTGTAATACTAGCTGTTGTTTTGGCTGGAAGAAATGCCAATTCAATATTCCGTAGATTTGGAATATGGGGATGTGCAGGGCAGTTATCTAAGAGAAGCAATATTTTCCTCCCCTTTAATTCTGCGTCCCATTTCCGTATCTCCTCTGTTGTGATTATTTGTTATTTATCCACTATAAAAGGACAAAAGGAAACATTGTACATTGTTCAATAGAACCTAACCTAGAAAAAATAAGAGAGTGTTAATTTAAATCAGTGCACTCATTATTAATAAAGTTATTTTAGTTTAATACCTACGTGTGTTCGTAAATTCACAAAAGGTTATGGGCCCAAAACCACGCAAGACGTTGGCTGGCGGAAGGTTTTTTTTTTCAACACGTGTATTAAAGTTGTAACGGCAAACTGAATACGTCGTCGGTGGTATTTCCACAATTAAATGCACAGAATTATAATAACTGGAGGTTTAGAGTTAAAGCACATCTGGAGGAGAAACAGATTGAAGATACGTTGGACAAAGAAGTATCAAATTTTGCTGCAGAAAAAGAGAAGACAGATTTTAAAATAAGGGATGCAAAGACAAAATCAATCATAGCGCAATGTGTAAGTGACAGAAACCTTGATATAATTAAAGATTCAACTACAGCGAAGCATATGTTAAAAGCATTAGGAGATGTATTTCAGAGGAAAAATGTATTTTCGAAGTTGACTTTAAAGAAGAAGTTGCTAACAATAAAATGCAAAAGGAACGAAAAATTAGAGGATCATTTTTTGAAATTTGACTCTGTAATACGAGAATTAGAAAGTATTGGGTCTAACTTACTTTTGTCTCTTAATGAGGACTATGATCTTGTAATAACGGCGATTGAAACATTAAACACAGATGTAACAATGGATTTTGTCAAATCGAGACTGTTGAACCAAGAATTAAAAATGAAATCAAAAAATGGGAATAATAGTACAAATGATATTGAAGTTACATTCAAAGCAAGCCAACATGTGTGTTATAAATGTGGCAAACAAGGTCACAAATTTTTTGAGTGTTTACAGAATAGGCATGGAGGTAGAGGTAGATTTGATACAAATTACGTCGAGGTAATCGTAGGTATAGTGCGAATACAAACACAAATAGTGTGAGCTTGAATGACAACATAAACAGTTTTATTTTGAACTCTGGAGCTACCGAACATTTAGTGACAAGTGAACTGCAAGATTATATGACAGATAAACAAGATTTAAAGATAGAAATAAAAATAGGTAGGGCCAAGAGTGGGGAGACGTTGGTTGCAGAGAAAAAGGGAACACTGAGTGGTATTTGCCAAGGTAAAGAAATAAAATTAGGAGCTCTAATAGTTGGTATGGTATGTCGCATAACTTAATTTCTGTGTTAAAATTATTAAGAAAAGGTTTTAAAATAATATTTGAAACTGATAAAACAGGTAGAAAACATGCAAAAATAGTACATAACAATGTTACATTTTATTGTTAAAGTTTTAATAATTTATTTTTGATTGTTATAAATTTAAAAACTGAAAATTGCTATAAAGTAATAAATGATAATGCAGGAAATATTTGGCATAAGAGACTAAGACATTTAAATTGTTATGGTCTAAAACAGTTAAGTTTACCATATAGTGATGAAATTTGTAGTAATTGTGTGGAAGGTAAAAGTACTAGAAAAACTTTTTATCAATGTACTAGAAAAACTACTCGGATTGGTCAACTTATTCATACAGATATTGCAGGGCCAGTGGCAACTCCATCTTTGGAAGGTCATAGGTACTTTCAGGTTTTACTTGATGACTATTCAGATCTTTTGGTAGTCAAATTGTTAAAATCTAAAGATGAGGCTGTTAAAAACGTTATTGATTTTATTAAGCTAATAAAAACACAAAAAATTAGATGTGGTGGTGAACTTTCTTCAAATTATTTCAAACAGTATTATAAAAATAAAGGTATTGAGATTGAGTATACGCTGATTGAGTATATAGCCCGCAACAGAACGGTAAGTCTGAGTGTATGAACCGAACTTTGTTAGATAAAGTAAGAACTAAATTTGCTGAAACAAATTTACCCAAAGAGTTATGGGGAGAGGCAATCTTAAATTCAGGTCACCCACAAAAGCAAATGATGGTGTTCTTCCCTCGACAAGATGGTATCAAAATAACAATTTATCAAAATTAAGAGTTTTCGGGAGTAAGGCATGGTCAGGTGTTTTACCAAAAGCAAATAAATTAGAGAAACGTGCAAAATTGTGTATTATGGCTGGATATGGTTTAAATGGATACAGGCTTTGGGATTTTGAGAAGACTGAGATTATATATTCAAGAGACGTTACATTTGATGAAAATCAAACAATTACAAATCAGTTAATAGAAGAAGTCAAAGACAATAAAATAGCGATGAAAAACATAATAATAAGAGATGAAGAAAATTACAATAAAGAGACAGAAACAGACGAAAATGAAGTAGGTAGAATAAGTGAATCAGAAAATGATAACGATGGAATAGTCAGAAAGTTTAAATGATAAGGACAGAAATGTAACAAAAACTGAGACATCAAGACATGGAAGAAAGATAAACACACCAAAACATCTTAGTGAATATGAAATTTACTCAGCATATTGTTTGTTAACATCACAGAATGTTCCAAAGAATTACGATGGGGCGATAAAAACAGTTGAATGGAAGGAAGCTATAAAAAAGGAATTACACTCGCATGAAAAAATGTAAACCTGGACTGAAGTCCAATTACCAGAAGGTGAAACACCGATACAGACAAAATGGGTATTTCGAACAAAAGAAGATGGCATAAAAAAGGCTAGAATAGTGGCTAGAGGTTTCCAAATTAAGGAGAAGCATCTTTTTGAACCAGTTTACGCTCATGTAGCACGTATGGCAACGATAAGAGTTTTATTCTCCATAGCATTACAGAAAGATTGGAAAATAAAACAGTTAGATATTCCTATAGCTTTCTTAAATGGAAAATTAAAAACTGAGCTTTATGTATATCCACCTGAAGGTCTTCAAACAAAATCAACAGTTTTAAGATTGAATCGAGCTCAAAGAGTCTCCAAAAGTTTGGAATGAAACTTTTAATAATTTTGCTGTTGAAAACAATTTTCAGAGATCAAGACATGATTGCTGCTTGTACTGTGGTAAAAATAACTGGATATTATTATCTGTAGATGGCATGTTAGTAGTGGGAAAGAATGAAAACATTGAAGAAACAGTATTTTTACTAAAGAAATATTTTCAAGCAAAAGATATGGGAGAAAGGAAGAACAAGGTAAACTAAAAATAAAGCAAACAAAATTTATTGAAAAACTATTGGGAAATTTTAACATGAAAGAATTTAGTCGAAAATGTACACCTATGGAAAAAGGATTTCAATATAATGAAAATACTGAGATAGTGAATGTTCCTTACAAGCAATTGATCGGAGGACTGATGTACTTGTCAACAACTACACGACCTGATATAATATTTTCTGTTTCATATTTAAGTAGATTTCTGGACAAGCCAACAAATGATACTTGGAACGCAGGAAAAAGAATATTACGTTATTTAAATACTACTAAATTTGAAGGATTAACTTTTGTGAAAAATTAATCAAGTAATTACAGAGTAAAATTAAAAGCTTTTTCAAATTCAGACTGGGCATCAGATAAACATGATCGGAAGAGTGTAAGTGGTTGCTTAATTCTACTTGGTAACAACCCTATATGCTGGTTTTCAAAGAAACTGGGATGCGTTGCTCTTTCTACCGCCGAAGGACCTAATGAATCTTAAAGGGGTGTTAAATGATTTTAAGTTTAATATTCCCACACTGCTTTTTTGTGATAACAGAAGTTCAATATTAATGTAAAAAAGTAATGAGAATTCAAAAAGGGCTAAACACATAGATATAAAGAATCATTATTTAAAAGATTTAGTATTTCACAAAATCTTCTTCAAAAATTTGCGATGTCATCCATGCAGACTTGTTTGCCTTGTGAGTGACCGGCAAATGCTTGATGTTCTTAAAACATCGTGGGGTAGTTGATTTTCCAATCACGACTAGGTTTCTTTTTTCTCTCCCCCTCGTATTGGCAGCTACTAACTGTTATACGTTCTTTAGGAAGTTTTCCACCCACACACTTTTCGCTTCGAAATTTTAGAGTTTTATTTGGCGTCATTTTGTAAAAGATACCAGTTTCGTCAGCATTAAAAATGTCGTCAACAGGGTACTTTTCTGCTAGTTTTTCCCACGTCTTCTCCAGTCATTCGTTAGTGATGTTTCTGTAGACATCACGGGCTTCGCCACTTATCTGTCCATAATTTATACCATATCTGTATTTGAACTTCCCCAACCATCCTTCCGAAGCCTTGAAATCTATAATGCCAAGCTGTTCAGCAATTTTTTCTGCTTTTAGTTTTACGATAGGTCCAGAGAGTGGTTTTTAAGATGTTGCTGTTGGAATCATTGCAACATTGCCCGATCCAAATCTTCAAATTTTTGCTTTCCTAGTTTTTTACTAGAACTGCCTGCCGCTTCAGCCTGAATGATTTTTCCTTTGCGCTTCCAAATCGTGGATACAGTCCACGGTGTAAGTCCGTATCAACGTCCCACTTCACTTTTCTTTTCTCCCCGTTCTATCTCCCGAATTAAAGCAACTTTAGCATCTAGAGATAAAATTTTTCGCTTACTCGCCATGCTCGCCGTATTCACTAAGTCAAATTAGAACTAATTGAAACAATGGTATACTTTTATTCATACCGATAAAGGCGTATACCGATAATCGCGTATCACGAGAAAAACACTTAGGATGACCAAGTTCTTGGTAATTAGATTATTAGGGTAAGGAATTCTGAGAAGAGACTCTATTAATTATAAGTCGGCCTACATTCCTTACTTTGTTACCTGAAGTGTCCTTTTTTCTTTACGGACCATAGGGAACAATTTGAAGCAGTCGCAGCCGCGCAACTACTGGCTTCAAATTTTACCACAAACTAATACTCTCGGCCATTTTAGTAGTTTGTGCTCGGAAAGTCTGCATTAAGCAAACTAAGTGTCGCAAATTTCCAGATTTCGAGTTGGAATTGGTTTAAATGATACAGGGTAAATCAAGAAACCCTTCCTCGGGTTTCGACTGACGAATTGAACAAAAAAATAACGATTGATTGATACCTATACAGGGTGTCCCACTTAAAAATTCGTCGATGTAAAGACCATAAGTTGCAAACATTTGGAAATTCGGAAATGAATTAATGTTGGTGGTGAATCTATTATACAGGGTAGCCTTCCACATTCGCCTCGGTTTTTGGCACATATTTGTTTATACTAGTCACTATAGACCAAATGGAGTTGCTGTTGCATTTCCTATATCTAAATCTGGCGGTTTCTGGGAAATTTGGAGAAATAAAAAAATACTGACAGTAGTTTAAAAATTGTTTACACCCTGTAACGTGTTTACACTACTTAGGCGAAAGGTTAATGTTAACTATCACTTAAAAGTTTCACTTCGTTATTATACAGAGTGGTGAAAAAAATTTCCCGATGGTTTGGGCAAACGTTTTATTAAATAACTTCTTAAATTAATCATTATTTGAACATATTAAACTGATAATGGTCAAATTTCTGTTAATAATTCATAGAGAACGTGTATTTTGGCCATTTCGATCGGTCTTGAGATTTATCCCTTAAATTATATGAGGTCATTTCAATAACACGCACGTGCGTATTTTTCATATCTTTTATTTTATTACAATATAATGTTAGGCGAATCTTTGGCTTTGAACTAATTTTCAATGATACCGACTAGAATCTCCCAGTGGCACTCAAAAACGCGCCGTAGTTTGGTCTACCGGTACCTCCCGGACCCCCAAAATGTCTGCTGTATTCTCCAGATACCCCCACGTTCCAGTTTTTCGTATTGTAAATGTTGTAACGGCCGGTGGCAGACAAATCGGTACCTAAAAAAAAAAAACAAAAAGAAGCTTAAATTTTGTAGCTGCCTTGCCCAAGTAAGAATAAATTTTTTGTTAATGGTTTTATGCAATAGATAATAACAAAGTTTTATTGGGGAGTCAACTCCATGTATTCGATGTCATCCATATCTTGTGCAACAACAACTTGATCATCCGCAAACGATAGAGTGTAAACTGTATACTCGTCATCCACTGGTATTCCAATATTCTTGCACTTTCGCTTCCAGATCTTTGGTGCATTTTCAAAATAAATTTTAAATAGCCTTGGAGACATGCAACAAACTTGTTTAAGGCCTTTGGTAACTGTAGATCCTGTTGTTAAACTTGTTTTAGCTCTGCAACTTGTTCCTTGATATAAGGATTTCACCGCCTTTATTATTTCTGAATTTATATTGCTTTTTGTAAAGTCTTCCGCAGTTTTACTAGGGGTACGTCTGCCATACGCTTCTTGTAGACCAACAAATAAAAGATTAACTCCTTGATTAAATGCTATCTGTAGCAACTGTTAAATCATAAACACGAAACCGAACTTAAACAATTTACAGTGGGTCCAAATATCAAATAACTTTTCACACATATCGACACTCGCCAACGGCCATCTTCTTCTATTCGACGAGCACCTTCTTCTTTTATTTGGTACGCTGTGGCTCACTCTTGCGGGACCGTACGCATCTACTTCAATGAGGCGCTCTGGTCGACGGCTAATTCGCTTATGGGCGGATAGATGGTGGTGAGGGCGTTCATTTGTTACATATCTTCTTTTCTAGGAGTTGTGTTCCTGAGAAAAGATGATTAATTGTGGATTTTCCCGCTCTAAAGCCTGCTTGTTCTTCGGCATCCATACCAGCATATTCCCTTTCTATTCTACTTTTTAGTATTTTTCTCCGCTATGCTTTCACCCCATAATTGTTGCACTTACTGGATGGTTGACAAGTATGACATTTTCCATTCTTCAGGTACTGCCGATGTGTTAAGGCGACTTTGGAATAAATGTCTGAATGCATGATACATTTTTTTACTTCCTCATTTTATAAGTTCTTCCGGGATACTTCCTGGTCCTGGGGTTCTGCCATTTTATAGTGTTTTAATTGTCCTTGACCTCTGTTACTCTTTTTCTTATTGAGGATCCTTCTATGATTATATTTCAGTCTACGTTTGCGTCATCTTTAAATTGTGGACTATCGTCAGTCAGCATCATCATCATCAGCAGCTGTTCTCATGTTTCTATGAAGTCTCCAACATTCCATACTTTTCCTTTTCCTGGGTCTGGATTATTCTTTTTTTCGTGATACTTGGATACTTTGTATCTCAATTGGTCATCTACTTTTTTTGACCTTCAATATTTGCGGCATATTTTCCGTTTTTCTTCCATTTCTTATTTAATCTCGTCATTACACCAATACGGTTTTTGTCGTTTCTCGCTGTACACATGTTTTTATATATTTGTACTCTTCTTCTACATTCGTGAATCAAATCTTCTGTATTTTCTGGTCTAGTCTGGTGTTATATAATATTTTTGTACTTTCATTCTCCAAGCTGTTTGTATTAAATAAAATATATAAATAAAACATTCACCGAGTCGAGTGACAGAACTGGCAAAACAACGTTGCTAAGGTCTATCGAAAACGCTTGGCAGTGAATAATCAGTGCCGCAATTGGTATTTTAAGGTAGGGGGTGGACAAATGTAATCAACTCACCACCTCCTCTCATATGGTCCGCTCCAACGCTCACTCCCGAGCCTGTTGGTTTGTGCGAGTAGTCCAAACGACCTCCCATCATGTCGGGTTGAAGTCCCCTTGACTGGGCGAAGTTTTTCGAAGCGTATGCCGACCCATCCAATCTGTGGTTTGGACTGTTGAAGATGGTTCCTTGATGGCTTACGCTACCTGTCAGTTTTGGCCCGCTCAATGACCAATTTGTTTGCCTGTAATATTCAATTTCTTAATTTTATTGCATTCTGATTACCGGTGTTTGGCTTAATATTCGACTCAAAATGTCCGATGTCTTGGAATCGTTTAAATCTTCATTTCAGCATCGTCAAGGATGTTACTTAAACACATCATATAAAAGTTTTACTTTTGGGCTGTGTAAAGTGCAATGGTAACTTTTTAAAACTACTTTCTTCATTTCAGAAAATGTTTAAAGTATCAAAGTAGTCTTTTTTAAATGAAACATCGCTATGAGAGTGAGTTTTTTCAAATAATTTGAATTTTGTCAAAATATATCCAAGTATTAATTTTTTCGAATATAATAATAAGACGTATTTAAGACAAAATAAATAAGAACTAAAAGTTCAGATTTTCACGAAATTATATATTTTGACATGACAATTGTTTGGACAACATCGTGTTTTTATGAAATCTAATATTTACAAACTACCTGCTACTATATATACGGAAAAATGACCGTTAAACCTTATTTAATTAAAGATTTTGTGAGAATTTAAATCTAACTTATCGTTAAGCAATACATTTGAATGTCTCATTTTGTTAATCTTCATGGCTTCCAATAAATTTAATTTTCTACTTTTTGTGGCTGTATGTAAAATATCAAAATTGTCGTCAAAAATGTGTTTTTCTGTGTTTAAGTGTGTAGCATAAATAGAATCTAGACTATTGTTTTTAAACGCTCTTTTATGTTCGTTAATGTGTTCCTTGGAGGATCTACCTGTTTGTCCAATAGAAATTTTAGGACAAGATCCGCATTTCAACCTGTAGACATCTGATTTTTGAGATTTCAGACATTTCGTTTTATTGTTTTTTAAAAATTTTCCTATTGTGCTGTTAGTTCTGAAAGCTAGGTTCTCCTATGTATGTAATTGTTTGAAATTGTTCGTATTCTGTATTAGGTTTCGGATAAATAGAATTTACTGTTGCCTGGACTTGTTTTTTATTTATAATTTTATCGATAATGGACGGATTGTAGCCGTTGTTCAATGCACTTTGTTTATTTGTTGTAATTTTCTGTTGAGAGTTTCGTATTAAGAATTCTGTGTATAAAAGAGTGAAATGCAGCCATTTTGTGTGCATAAGGGTGATTTGAGCTGTTATGTATGACTTTATCCGTGTGTGTGTCACTTGTTTTGTGTTTTCATAATAGTTAAGTCTAAAAAATTAATAGAGCTATCCTGTTCAATCTCTATACGATGAATTTTATACGATTATGTAATGAGTTAATGTAATTTAAGAAAAAAATCAATTGTCTGTCCGTCCCAACAAAGCAAGCAAAGACTTCATCCACGTATCTATACCACCATAGAAAACTTTTACTTACTTACGTATAGGATGTTCTAGTATGATATTTTCCAAATTATCCACAAAAATCTCGGTTAACAAAGTATTAAATGGGTTTCCCATAATCAAACCTTCCTTAGAGATGTAAATCTGTCCATTAAATTCAAAATAATTTTGGTCTTAATATAATTTAATATAATATAATTTTGGCAAAAATTTAATTTTGTTAGTTTAAAATTGAATGATATATTTTGTTAAGACCTTTAGAATCGGTTTTGTAATTAATTGATTTTTTTGTTTTTTTCGATTTCTATACTTTAATAAAGTTCTCTTTTTTTTGGTGTTAGGTTCTGTTAGTAGGACTTTAACTTTTTGAAAATTACGTATGTGTTTGGTGTTGTCGCAATGGGTATGAAGAGCTGTTTTATTTTTTTTTGTCATATTTATGTCCGTTGATTCTATTTTTTAAATAATGACTTGTTTGTCCTATATACACACTGTCGCAATTAGAGCATGGAATTTCATATACTACATTACTCCTTTTTTCAACTGGAATTTTTGCTTTGAGTTTAGTGAAGAGATATGTTTTTTGTAAATTATAAGTTTTGTGTCCTATTTGAATTTTGTATTCTTTGAAAATGGTTTGGAGTTTTTCTGATAATCCAGGTATATATGGTAGCGATATATATTTGCTTTGAGGATTTTGATGTTGGTTTTTGTTTACGTTATTATAAAATTTGTTGGTACGTTTATGAATGATATTATTAATTAAGTTTTTGGGATAATTATTTTCTAGAAGTGCGCGTTTTGCTTTTTCAATTGCGTCTGGTTTATATTCTGGTTCGGATAACATTTTTTTTTTTCGAAGAAACTTCCAGAAGCTTCCAGGATTCCTCCCGTTTAATTGACGAAGTTTTGTAAATAGTAGTACAACTTCTATATTTTACACGTCTTTGGTCACCGACCTGTTTTTTGGACAACCCGTATAGCACGAAAATAATATTGAAAAGTTGCCATCGAGGAATATCGCATATCCCAAAAGTACAACTTTTTCAAAACCTTGTATTTCGGTCAGCGTATATGTATAATGTTGTCCAAGTTAATCCGGATCGAAGGACCAGAAAAATACGTGACTCAGGGGCAAAAAAATTGTACTTACTATGAAAATATATACAGGGTACCATGGTATGGAATGGGTACAAGAAAATTTAAATACTGTATTTGCTGTTATTTTTGCTGGAAGTCAACTTTATAAAAATAATGGTAAGTTATTTTTTCTTATTAGACCCACTACATAAAGAGAAATGTAACTGAGGTCGCGAGGTCTAGCTTGCGGCTACTCATATCTAACCACTTATTAAAAAAAATATTACAAAAATACAAGATAACCAATTTTTTTTTCGATGTTTTATCTGTAATTTAACTTTGTTGGACTAGGTGAGACACGTGAGATCTAAATCAGATTTGTCGTCGAAGAATACTCCCAGGTGAAGGTAGAGTAGATAAGGACAGAAAAAGTCGAGAACAATAGTTGTCAATTCTACCATGTACCAAATTATTCAAGTTTGATATACAAAATACGAGGCGTGTTCAAAAAGCAAGGGCGTACATTCGATATTTTTATTGTTATGTTGGTACACACATCAATAAAATATGACCCTTTGGGACTTTATCCTGTTTCCAAAACTCAAGAAATCCATGAGAGGAAGAAGGTCTGAAACGATTGAAGAAGTAAGGAAAAAATCGCTTTGATTAAACTCTTTTTGATAAAACTTAAAAATCACCTTACTTTTTGAACGCACCTCGTACATATCCCTTATTTTATTTAAATATTATTTTATATAAATACGGAGGCGCAAAAGAGTTAGGAAGTATCAAATGCCCGAAAAGTACCGTACGCAGCGCCTTCTACAGGTCGAAAAACCCCGATTTGTTTTTCTTGTTTACAATTTATTGTAATAAATTCCCTTACCTTCTGTTTCTGTGAAGCGGCACCAGATACCACTGTGGAACTTTCACACTTTCAGCGTCATCGTTCAAATCTTGGGCGTGACACAGCGAAACACATAGAATGAGCACAGCAAACACCTTCATTTTCGATGTCGATCGGGATATTTTTAACTGGTTCGAGTAATACTGAAAGATGTAAAATGTAAGCTTTATCTCGCGAGACTTGCATTTATATTTCGCTAAGCCTTTGTACCGTCTTTTAACACTTGATAAGAGGATACGGGGAATAACATTCTTGGAGCATTATTCTTCGAAATGGGAATTACCAGGCTGGGGTATTTTAGTCAAAACGAAAATAGTTTTTTTTTTCTTTTAGACTTTACGACTGTTGCTTATCTAACTAAAGAAATTGTCCATACTCCTCCATGAAAACAAATAGATTTCGTGATTTCAGAAAAATAATTTTGTAGATACGTTTTCGTTCTTTGGCATCCACAAATTATAATTAGTCCTTTTGACTCTATTGATGTCTGTCAGAGAATCATCAAAACTTATAAACAATGTTTTGTATTCCGAGGCAATGTTGATAATTAAATTTTACTGTTCAAGCCAAATACTGACAAGCTATATATTTTCGAAATCGGGTTAAAAACGACTTTCGTCTTAAGCAAAAATGAACAGGATGTTCATTTAAAAATGTGAAATTTATAAGTTCAGAAGTTAAAGAAAAAATCTTTTGTATAAAAAGTTATAGAAATTAGTTTAACAATAAACATAAACTAATAATAAGATATATCTAAGCAGTTACTATACAAGAGTCTCTTCACTTAATTTCGAAAAAACTGGATAAATATTATGTTATTGTGAAGTTAAGTAGATACTTGGCCATAACTCATCTGTTAAAAACAAAAAAGCAAATGTGACTTAAATGTTCAAAATTCGGGAGAGCGTTTTTAAAAACATTTATTTTTACAGAAAGCAAAATAAAGTTTTATTCGCACTGGCCGATACAAATGCTGGATTAATTAAGAACAATTTTGCAATATGACAATCGAATAAATAGGGCTTTCGATGCGGTCTCATCGAGGCGTTATCTTCGCTTAGCTTAGGTTTAGGGCATATAACTCCTCCCTCCTTAACATTCGAAAATAACGGAGTGTTTTTTCCAAAAAGCTTAAATTTTCTTCTTGGCAGGTTTCCTCTAGTTTGGATGCGGTTTTCTTCGATTTTCGTCTTTTTCCGTGAACAGCTTCTTAATGATGACAACTAAAATTAGAACCATGAATATTCCAAAAACGATAACAATCATTTTTAACGTATTTGGTTTTTCTTTCACTGGTTAAATGGGAGTTCTTTTTTTGCTAAGTCTCTTAGCTGGTAAATTTCGTCAATATTTATTTTTGAAAGACCGGGAGTATTCAGGACTTTTGTTTTGTTCATTTGCGTTAATTGGATTTTTGGTAAAAATATTGGTTTTCCGAACTGGATTTTCACATCGTTGAAGAATTTTTCTTCATTAATTTCTATTTGACAGGTATGTTAATCAGTACCGTGATATACTTGATTAGCAGTTTTTCAAGCTTCTGTGACAAAACAAGCACTAAATTTTGAGTGATTTGTTATATAAATGCTTCTGACAGGTTCATTTTCGTAATGGGGTAGCCATATAAGGGTATTGGGATATAAAAATTGATTGATTTTGGATTATTGGGAAAATGTAGTAAAAGGAAAATATTTGGGATCTGCATGGACTGCAAAGACCACTTTCGAGTCAACAAAATTTACCTGAGTTCCGAAAATTTGATAAGAAGATAAAATACTTTTAAATTGTGGAATTTGATTTTCTTTATATTTAAGCATTTTATTCAAATCCCAAATCGGTAAAATACTATTATGAAACGCATTAACTTTTGCAAACATAATAGCATCTTCTAGGTTATCTAGAAACATTATAATATTTTGGCATCTAAGTTTAATTGTTTAATGGTCACGTGAAAATTAAGTTAGTCTTGTAAAGAATTTATCGTCATTAATACTGCATCTTGGAATGTTTTTAAAACAGTTTGTAGTTTTGGTTAGTTGGTTTTCATTTAATTTCACAATAGTTTTATTATAGTTATTAATTATGCCCTTTGATAAAGATACTTGTAGTTCTAATTCTTTAGCTAAATTATTTTGGTTTTTCTCAAGTGTATTTATTGCTGCTTTATACTAACTTCTGTCATCAGGCCTCGTTCTTTACGAACATGTGGATGTAAATTTTCAAGTTTTTCTACCGTAATTTGTATTAAATATTAAAAGTTAATTTTCGGCAAGTCCACAATAAGAAATATTACTAGTTCTATTTTTAAGATTAAACTTATCTTTAATGATTTTGACTGCATTCTCTATGCTTCCTACGTGATTAATTATTTGGCTTAAATCTACATACGTAATTTAAAAAAGAATTCCTTAGAGATGTAAATCTGTCCATTAAATTCACAATAATTTTGGTCTAAAGATACTATTAAGCAATCTAATAAATCTTGTTTCACCCATGGGTTAACCTGTTTTCGAGTTAGGGTGAAATCTACTAAATCTATCACATCCATAGATGGAATACTGGGAAATAAGTTTTGTACATCAAAAGACAACAGTGGTTTGATTATGGGAAACCCACTTAGTCCTTTGTTAGCCCGGATTTTTACGGATAATTTGGAAAATATCAGACTAGAACATCCTTTAAGTAAAAGTTTTCTATGGTGGTATAGATACGTGGATGATGTCTTTGCTTGCTTTGTTGGAACGGACAGACAATTGAATTCTTTTTTTAATTACATTAACTCATTTCATGCAAAACAAATTAGATCTCTCCATTTATCATAAACCTGCACACACGGACATAGTCATACATAACAGCTCAAATCACCCTTATTCACACAAAATGGCGGCATTTCACTCTTTTGTACACAGACTTCTTAATACGCCACTCTCAACAGAAAATGACATCAAAGAACTTAATATCATTAGCAAATTGCATTCGACAACGGCTACAATCCGTTCGTTATAGATAAAATTATAATTTAAAAAAATCCAGACAACAGTAAACTCTATTTATCCGAAACCTAATACAGAACACGAACAATTTAAAACAATTATATACATAGGAGAACCCAGTGAAAAAGTTTCAAAACATTTCTTAAAATGTATTTTAAAAATAGCTTTCAGAACTAACAATACAATAGGAAAATTTTTAAAAAACAATAAAACGAAAGGTCCAAAATCTCAAAAATCGATTGCCTACAGGTTGAAATGCGGATCTTGTCCTAAAATTGATATTGGACAAACAGGTAAATCCTTCAAGAAACGCATTAACGAACATAAAATAGCGTTTAAAAACAATTAACACACTTAAACACAGAAAAACACATTTTTGATAACAATTTTAATATTATACATATAGCCACAAAAAGTAGAGAATTAAATTTATTGGAAGCAAGGAATTATCAACCGTTTTGCGGGACGGACGACCTTGTTTGAACTCAAGCGAAAGTTTATCAAGCGGACGATTAATCACGTTTCGCGCGACGCGGAAAGTGTGAACCCCAGACTGGTGATTCCCATCTCAAACGCAGCTTCGTATATATATAAAAGACAACGCTCGGACCACATCAGACTTATTCCCCGATCTCCGATCTATTAGAGGTACGTGGCATCATCCAGACTTTCCAAATCCGTTTCAAACATTTCCGCGTTTTTTCCAAATGACTTCCTGCGCACTGCTTCTAGTATTCGCGGCGTTTTTATGCGCATCTGCTTTGCCCGAACCTCAGCGCTTCCAGACTCTGCCGTATAACCCGCGGAACCCACCCAAGGTGGTTCGTCCGACCTACAACCCCAAACAGCCTCCAAAGTTCATCAGAGTGCGAAGGTTCGTTGAAGGTGAGCACCAAACGAATCCGGCACCGAATGGCCCGAAAGCAGGCACGTGGGAGGTGAAACCGGATCTGTCCAGAGACGACAGGGGAAACACCAGGGCTAACATCGACGTGAAAAGGCAGGGGGAGAACCACGATTTCGAAGCCAGCTACGGGAATACCATCCGAGGACCTTCCAAGCACTCCGAGACATGGCGTGTGGGTGGAACTTTCAGGTGGTGAATTTAATGAAGAAGCACCTCATTAAATTATAGTCTTAGGATTGTATATAGTTCGCTAATAAATTTTCAAACATTTGTCTTTTTTGAATCGCCTTAATTATAGTAATAATAATAATAATAATAATAATAATGATAATAATAATAATAATAATATCTAAATGTAATCTACACATTTCAAGTAAAAGTAATCATAAAACTATAACTATAATACATGTACTGTGCGTTCATTTTATCTTGATAACATTTTAATTGGTTGTACTTTCACTACTTTCTTCCACAACTACTGGTGGAAGAAAGTAGCTGTAACCAAAAATTTGACAAGCGAGGTTAACAAAATATTGGATGGCGATAGTGACTTGCCAGAATTTCTAACAAAAGGTATTACCTACATGGTGCCAAAGGCAGATCAAACAGAAAACCCTAAGAACTATAGACCAATAACTTGCCTTCCGACGCTATATAAAATAATCACCTCAATAATAGCCACAAAGGTATCTAAGCATCTAGAAAGACACCATATCTTAACAGAAGAGCAAAAAGGATGTCGTTATGGGTCTCAGGGCTGCAAGGAACAACTGATTATAGACACCATTACTACACACAATGCCCGTCTTAGATCACGCAATATTGCAGTGGCATGGATTGACTATCAAAAAGCCTTCGATTCGGTGCCACACTCTTGGCTAATTGAATGCTTAAGACTCTATAAAATCGATGAGAAGATAGTCAATCTATTAGAAAGGTGTATGAAAAACTGGCAGACCAAATTAGTTGTAAACCTTGATACTGGATCTGTGAACACCGAAGAAATACCAATACGAAGTGGAATCTTCCAGGGCGATGCGCTAAGCCCTATATGGTTTATCCTGAGCCTGAATCCCCTCTCCTGGGCTTTAAAAAGATCGAATCTAGGATACGAGCTGAAAAATGGAGACCAAAAGTATAAACTAAGCCACCTCTTTTACGTTGACGATCTGAAGCTATATGCGGGATCTGAAAACACACTGAATAGATTAATCCAACTCACACAACAATTCTCAGATGACATCAAAATGAGATTCGGGTTGGATAAGTGTGCCAAACTTATAGCTCATAAAGGTATACCAAAAACTTATGATAAGCTGGAATCTGAAACCGAAATAATGTATCTTAACAACGCGTATTATAAATATCTAGGATATGAGCAGAATCTTAATATTAATCAGAACAATGCTAAGGCTAATATAGAAACTAAACTGCAAAACAGGGTGATAAAAATATTAAAAACGGAACTAAACGGAAAAAACAAAATTAAAGCTGTAAACACATGGGCGGTACCGGTAATCACGTACACGTTTGGTATATTAAAATGGTCTAACACTGACTTGGAGAGGCTGAACAGGAAAATAAGGACCCTCATGACAGAGCATATAATTCACCATCCTAAGGCATGCACTGAAAGGCTATACTTTCCAAGATCGACGGGCGGAAGAGGATTGGCTGACCTCAACATACTGCATAGGCGTCAAGTAAATCAGTTAAAGAAGTTCTTCTACCGTAAAAAAGATACTTCGACGTTGCATAAGCTCGCTTGTCAGTCGGATAGATACTCAGCTGTAGATCTCAGAAAAAATGAAATAAAAGAGATACCAACACTTGATGAGGTAAAAGAGAAGTGGTTGAGTAAGCCCCTACATGGAAAATATCCAGCTAGTTCAAAAACTGCTGGGAGCGAATCAACAAATTGGTTAGTTAAAGGGCAGCTATTCGCTGAAACTGAAGGATTTATCACAGCTATTCAGGATGGAAGCATAGCGACTAGGAACTATAAGAAGTATATCCAAAAGATCAAAATAGATGATGATAAATGTCGTATGTGTGGACGGGTGCCAGAGACAATCGAACATATAATAGCAGGATGTCAAACGCTAGCTCCGTCTGAATACACCAAAAGGCACAATTTAACAGCAAATATTGTACACCAAGAACTAGCAATGCTATGCAACCTAGGAGAGGGAAAATACAGTCCATATTTTAAATACATACCTGCTCCAGTTCTTGAGAACGAAAATTATCGGCTATACTGGGATACACCTATAGTAACAGATAAACCAATAGCCAGCAATAGACCAGACATTATTCTGCTGGATAAGGCTAATAAAAAGGCGTATTTCATCGACGTCTCACATCCCTCGGACCACAACCTGGAACAGAAAGCAAGAGAAAAAATTAATAAGTATTACGACTTGGCAGAGGAATATAAAAAAATACTCACCCTAAAAGCAGTACATGTTATCCCTGTAATTATATCGGCCACTGGGCTAGTTACCAAGAAGCTTGCAGGATACCTGGAAAGACTGAATATAACGAATAAAACCATCGTTACAAAAATGCAAAAGTCCGTAATACTTGAAACTTGCAATATCGTCCGAAAGACCCTGAATATCCCGGAGACATAAACCTCCCCTCCCCCCCAACTTTAGTGACGGGTTAATAAACCCCACTAAAGCTGCTACCCTAATAAGGAGAAAAAAAAATCTAAATGTAATCTACACATTTCAAGTAAAAGTAATCATAAAACTATAACTATAATAAATACATGTACCGTGCGTTCATTTTATCTTGATAACATTTTAATTGGTTGTACTTTTTTTTTTAGAACAAAAAACAAAATGTAGAGTTTTTTCTATGTGACCTTAAAACAAAACACTATCAATTTTCCGATTACAATGACGTAACAGTGCATTTAATCAACTCGTTTTTTATATAATTTTTATATAATTTCAGAGAGTGTCCTGACTGACAAATAAGAATATGTTTGACATTATTGTCCAAGTCTTTATTGTTAAAATAGTTTTTCGAGAATTTAGCATCTGTGAAAAGAGTGATATGCTTCAAGAAAATATAATTATTATTAAAATACATGCAGAATCGCATTTGAAAATTTGAAAAACTAACGTCAAAGGTCAAACTTCGTTCTTGCCCCACATATTATCCCAACAGAGAAGATCATTTCAAATGTCGAGCACAAATGAATATCAGGAAAAGATTAAAGACATTCTTCTCTCAACTCTATCTTGTAGAGCTCAAAAAGCTGCAACTAGAAAGTGACATTTATTTTTTATTCTTTAAATAACACCAGAAAAAAATAATAACAAAATGGACAGCACGTTGTTGACGTTTGAATTTTATCTTTAATCTTTATCTTGCTCACACTCTATATCCAGAAAAACGAAAACGATGGTCGATATATATATTTTTTATTTTGAAAAGCGTTCTTTTAAATCGCTTCAAAAAAAATCAATAGATTACAATTGTGCTCTAGTTAGTAAAGCACGAAATTATTAATACAGAAATAATCGCGTTTTCATAAAATATGTTGTACAGTTTTTGTTTTGCATGATAACCGTTTTTTTTTTTAATATGAGTATGTAGATTACTTATTATTTACTTATTAAAAAAACAGTTCCTTAAATTTTACGCCGTCATCACTTTCATCTACACTCGAGAAAATGTCAGCATCGCTTCTTTTTTTCCTCGCTGAAATGGGATTATTCACAATTTTCCATAGAGTTGATGTTGGAATTTTCTTCAATGTGGCCGTTTCGTCTAAAGATGCTTGCTTGCTGGTACCATGTTCAATGAGAGTCAAATAAACATTGTTTATAACTTCTTTAGTCTCAATAGAATAGTGTTTTCTACATTTGGGCGGGAGCATCTCCTGAGATACACTAGACTCGCACATATTTTGCATAATTCGCACACGATTCAACACACGCTCTATTACACACGAAATAAGAATGATTACTAATAAATTTAAACTAAGTACTATACCAACCCAAAGAATATTAAGCACAGATAGGTATAAAATGATTTTCTATTGCGGACCACAATTTTACCTGAATTTAAATTTCGAAACTTTAGGTAATAATCTTGTTGCATTGTATGTTAATGACCACTCTTGGATAATCCCATTCAAAAGCAATTGGTCACTTTCTTATACCTATGAACAGACCGTACCCTTTGCCAAATATGTAATTTCGTCTAGATCACCGTGCATACTGGGTCTGCAGGTCTTTAATCGCCTTCCTGATGAAACAAAATTAAACTCTTTAACAACTTTCAAAATAACGCATCACCATAATACACGCTGATATTTAGAATAAAAATGTAAATATGTGTTAATATTCCTGGCTGTGAATTTATTGTATATATTGATGTCATTGTTTTTTCTTTGTGTAATTCAATCAGATTATATCTACATAAATGCCTTTGAGAGTCCGCCCCTAATGTTCTGTCTGACTATACCTGAAAGATCGTTTAGTGTTTCGGTTTGAGAAAAATTTAAGGTCCATTTGTTTGAATTACAAAAGTCTCCGTCCTAAACAAATTAATATTTTTCCAATAATGAATTTTTAGACTCTTCTTATTGTAGATTGTTGTTTCATTATTATTTGTGAGATGGGTCACATGATGATAGCAATTCTGTCTAAATGTTATGCAATAATTTAAAATATCTCAATAAAGACTATCATTATTATTATTTATAAAGTTGGGTTTATTGGTACTTAAAATAACATAAAACTTAAAAATTCAAAACGTATCGTAAGGAGCTCGAGCGTAGGTGTCGTAAAGGTTGTTCCAAAACGAATACATGTCTTTCTTCGGAGGTCCCTCTTTAATTTTCAGATCCTCTCCTATCTCTAGGTAGTTGAAATTTTCTTTATCGACTGTGGGCCACGTGACATTCTGTAGCAAATCGTCCTTGGAAGGGGTGGGATTCCTAGAACGCGGTTAAAAAGAAAACGCGTAGCTTGAGTACTTGGACAAATCACTTACAAGTCCCTGGCGAAGTTTACCCAAAGGGTCATAAGTCTTTGGTGAACCAGTCGATCTGTTTCAGGAAATTGACTTAAATCGTCACTGGTGGTTTGGTTACCTGCTTTTCTGTTGGTGAACTGATATTGTTCTTCATCGCCGTGAGCTGCCCCGGTAGTTCCTTAACGATATCAATTGGAATTCGTTTAATACAACCACAACAATCCATAAACGATAAAGAAAACGATTTTCAAAATAAAAAAAATAGATCAACTATCAATCAATCAATCAGCAACAATCAACAATCAATTTGTAGAAATGTTTTTTATAGTATATATACAGGCTGTGCCGTAAAAAAAAAACAATTTTTCAGTTGGCATCTAATAAAATGTTTATATTGAAAACAGTAAATAACAACCGTTAACTTTTGATTTAAAAATGCTCCCCGAATGTTTTCACAGATGCACCCAACTTTCCATTACAACGTTTTTTTTAAATGCACATTTTTCGATAAACATCATACAACTCGGATACAGATAAAGTCTGTTCATAAATATAAGAAAGTGACTAACTGATACGAATTAAGGAAAGACCCGGGCAAGCTGTAAGAATGGAATCAGCCGAGCAGATCCGTACTTTGCTTAGAATTTAATTATTTGGGGTTTTGTAAGGTAATATACTAAACAATATTTATTTATTTATGTATGTATTTACGTTTAAATCTAAAATAAAATTACACATTATTTTTATTACCTACTTAAATTACTTAAAATTATTCACATAATATATCAGTATCACTATCGCTATCATCGCCGGTTCTAATTATTATTTGTTCTATATTATTTGCATAATGGATATAGGGTTGTTCTGCTTTTTCTATATGTTTAACAGAATTTGGACATTGTTACGACGAATGGCAGATTTCAGTTGGTGCCAAACATGTTCAATGGGATTAAATATCCAGTGGTAAGGTGGAAGCCTTAAAACTGTATGCCCTAGATTTTTTTCATAATTATCACAGACGTATTCCTTTTGTAGGTTCAAGCTTTGTAGAACCTGAATTAATTGCTTCTTGGTATAGTCTTCGTGAAAATAAATGTCGTTATTGTAGTAGTTTTGGATTGTTGCTTTTGTGTCACATGAAGAAGGGGTTTTAGTCAACTGTCTACTGTGATAACTTGCATTGTCAATTACAATGACGCTATTAGGACGAATGTTTGGAACTAGTTTGTTTTTAAAGCAACTTTCAAATAAATCAGCGGTGGTGTCTTCATGGTGATCCAGAGAAGAATCTTTAATATTTTTCGCAGACAGAGAAAGTCCATTTGGAATCGAACCATCTTTAGAGCTAGCATGCAAAATAATTATTCTTTTACCTCTTTTTGATGGCGCGTTTGTTTTATACTTATCAGTTGAGTCAACCCAACACTTTTCCTGGGTACCATAAGTGTCGAACCAGGTTTCATCCAAGTAAATAATTGGCCTTTGTTGGTATAGATATTCCAGTCACCATTTCCGAATTCTAAAAGATTCCATTAAAATTTGCCTTTTGTCAATTTTTTTAAATCTAAAACCCATGTGTTGAATACACTTCCATAAGGTAGTTCTTCCACATTTAACACCGGTTTCATCTTTTTCAAGCCTCCTAATTAAGATATCTAATGTAGGCACGCTTTGTTCCTCGTATAACTGGGAAATTTTACCCCGTATTATATCTTGATCACTTTCATCTACACTCGAGAAAATGTCAGCATCGCTTCTTTTTTTCCTAGCTGAAATGGGATTATTCACAATTTTCCATACAGTTGATGTTGGAATTTTCGTCAATGTGGCCGTTTGGTCTTGCTGGCACCACGTTCAATGGAGTCAAATAAACATTGTTTATAACGACCTTAGTCTCAATAGAATAGTGTTTTCTACATTTGGGCGGGAGCATCTCCTGAGATACACGAGACTCGCACACGATTCAACAGTATTACACACGAAATAAGAATGATTACTAATAAATTTAAACGAAGTAGTATACCAAAACAAAGAATATTATACACATGTAGATACAAAATTATTTTCTATTACGGACCACAATTTTACCTGAATTTAAATTCCGAAACTTTAGGTAATAATCTTGTTGCATTGTATGTTAATAACCACCCTTGGATAATCCCATTCAAAAGCAATTGGTCACTTTCTTATATCTATGAATAGACCATACCATTTTTTCATTGTCTGTTGTCAATAATAGTTCTTCCGAGGGTTTCGCAGTGAAAATAAGCCAGGGTTATGTTAGACTATTTATAGTATTACGTCATATCCGACAAGAACCCTTTACAAAGAGGTGCCGCTTTGTTCTTTTCTCAGGCAATAAAAGGCAGAGAAGGCAAGTTGGGGAGAAGAGATATAATTATTATACGATGTTTTCTTGGGTTTACGATAAGTTTAGTTAAGACGTTGTTGTCGAACCGAGAGGACTAATGTCGATTTTGCTTCATTACGTTGTTTTATTTGATTACATTTACAGTTAGTGGAACTGACCTTCCAAGTGAGCATCGTTGTTACTTAGTACACCGCGGTAACTGAATTCGTAGAAATAGACGGGAACGTGGGAAGACTGTAGCTCCGCCTGTTTGATTTGGGCTTTGTCGAAATCCTGATTCGAATGGTACTACGAACATAACGATCACCACAGCTCTGGTACCGTTGCCAACTCACGAACTTACCCGAATAGTGCCTAGCATGTCTTGCTGAAAGGTGCCACTGGAAACGTAAAATTCCTTGATCAGATCGCCGATGGACTGCTTCACGTTATCGTCAGTGACGTGCATATCGGGGGGCACCAGTAGTCTGTGATCGTTGTCGTAATCTTGTCTGACGGTAGATGTCGACGAATTGTAGTCTGTAAAGTGAAGATCGCCGTTACCGACTGAGCATACGCTGACAATTACGGCACATCATAAAACGTAGGAACTAATACATGGACGTACTTCGGTGATAAGGTCACGAGTTTATGTTATGCCTAATTATCACATTGGTTAGTATACTTCAACCAGAAATATAGTGCTTTCCCAACAGTTAGAACGGCTTTGTACTGATATTTTTTGTTGTTGTGCTATCGACTCGATTTTGTCGTCTTTAATAAAATGTTTTATTTTTAATAATCCTAGAAGTTGGTTTTTCGTATCAAAATCAAATATAAATCGTTTTCCACAATCCATTACGAAATTCTTTGAGATTCCATTAGCACTTGACGTTTATCAATTGTTTGAAACTGAAAATTCATTTCTATCGGGATGGGTTTTACCACATGGCGAATATCTATTCTTTAGGGGCTGGTCTTTAAGGTATAAAATACTTATAAAATATATAAAATACTTTTGGTTGAAGACAATCATCCTGGATATGCGATGATTTTAACTGAGATAATTCTTGATCCCCTAATCTATATAAAGGATTCTATTTTTCAAAAATTTATTTTAAATTAGTTTTAGTTTTAAAATTAGTATTATTACCGTATGTTAAGTAAATTGATTCTTCGGATGTGACACCCATCAACACGGGAACCTTGACGAAACTTCCATTTTTGAATTTTTCGAACATTTTTTCCGTTAGGAAAGCATCGTCGCCATCGGGCTCTATGACGGGCGTATAATAAAATCCCTTCGAAATCTCGATGTTTCCGGAGTTTGTCTGGAAAGAGCAACGCGTTGAGTGCATTCGGCAGAAAAAAATTGATTGAACATAATAATAATACTAATAATTACTCTCAAATTTATCTGTTACTTAACGAAAACAAGACGCAACACATAATTTTTGGTAAAGATAAAGGAAAAATAATTAGTCTAGACGCGGCCAAAATTTACTTAAATGACCTTCTCTTACGGCCGGTTGCCGAACGCAAAAATCTGGGTCTGCATTTGGATAATAATCTGGGTTTTGAGGGTCGCGTAGCTTCATTGATCCAGAAATCGTTTTACAAGTTTCGGATTCTCCACTGTAATAAAGATATTCTGGACACAGCAATTAAGTTGAAACTTACTGATTCCTTAATTCTGTCCTCAATTTCATACTGTATGGTAGTTTACTGGCCTGCCCTACTTCAAAAGCTTAGTCTTCAGCGTCTTCAGAATGTCTGTCTCAGATTCTCATGCAACATTCGTAAATTTGATCATATATCTACTAGCCTAGAGGATTCTCGTTGGCTAACATTAGACGAACGTTTTAAGTCGCAGCTTTTAGTCTTAATTAAAAAAGTAATATCTCTCCAAACCTCCGACGTATCTTTTTGACAAACTTACTCGTGGATCAGATATTCATTCAGTTAATACTCGCCATAGGGGGCAGTTTAACCGTTCCCAAACATATTTCAGCACAGATTCAGCGCAGTTTCACGTACAATGCTATCAACGCTTACAACAAACTCTCTCTCCAACTGAGATCAATCACCTCACTAACTTCATTCACACAAAAACTTAAACAATACATTTATCATAATAGAGACCGATCATAAAACTAGTAACTATCAAATTGTATAAATGTATTTCTTTTTTGAATTCACTCTACCATTTTGAATGAATGTCTATGTAATTTATATACTACATTTTATTTTATAAATAGTGCCGTATGCTCGTTTTAGGGGGTTGCATGAGAGCAACTATGTTGGATGCCGCCCCTACAATTGTATATTTTTGTAAGATATCTCCGTCGAAACCGAATAAAGGCCCTTTATTGTTGTTATTATTATTATTAATAAAAAAGTGTTTGCCCATTTAACGTCGCTTTTGGTTAAATAGTTTCAGTACAAGCGTCAAATGGAATTTCACGAAAACAAAAAATGCACTTGGTGGCAAAAAACCGCAACTTTTTCCGAAAACGGATAACCAAAATAATTAGAAACACCTTCTGTCAAGAATTGCCAGAAAAATATGCGAATTAAACCACAACTTATTGTAGCAAGCGGTATCAACAAACAGCAGTTGTAAATCAAATAAAAGACGGATGAAGTTACTGACCCATCAGTCTCCTTTCAAATTTATCAGAATATTTGAAAAATCTTCGTCCACAAAGGTAATATTCTCCCTTTAACTTTAGCTACGAAATGGTGTGCATAGTTCATCCATTATTTGTTGGCATTTAAATTGACTGTATGATAGTGAAGATTTCCCATTTTTTCACTGATTTCGAAAGAATGCTGTATAAATAACAAACACAAGTTAATTAAAAAACTAAAATACTGTCCGAAAACTATAGACCTAACAATCTTTTAGCGCCCCCCTCAAACAAAATATAAGCAGGTACAGAGTAAAATGTTAGGCAGTTTCAGTCAAGCTCTGAAGAAGCCAACAGGATGATTAGCGAAACTTCAGCAAGTTCGACTCAGCAACAACCAATGCAGGAGGAATTCAGAAATTTAATAAATATTAATTTGTATAATTATATAATCGCAAATAATATTTTGTCACTGATGTTTTGCAATTTGCTATGCAAATGTCAATTTTTTTTTGTTTAATTTATATTTATTCAAATTCAAGAGAGGGTTTAATTATAAAAATTTTATTCATTATTTTATTACTGCCATTATGTCTATAAATACACAAATACAATGTTTGTACAATAAATTGTCAAAATAAAATGAAATGGCACATAATCTAAAACTACTGCAGACAGTAATTTATAAACAAGGAAGGAAAAATACTAACTAAAGTACAAGCATTTAATTGCACTATATTTGTTTAAAAAAAAATGAAATGCACATAAATTATCAAACATTTTTATTTATTTCGGTAAGAGGTTAGAAAATCTCACACCACTTACACTTGGAATTCTATGAAAACTATTATATTTTGCAGAATTAACTCTAAGGTCGTCTTGAGATCTTGTACTCAGTGAGTAAATATTGCCGTTGAACACAAACCTTCATTTATTTTGAAAAACATAGAAAATGTCATTTTAAACACATACAATGTTGAAATACTAAATTTTTTAGAATAGGTTTTACAAGTAGTAGATTTATAGTAAGACTGATGTTGATAAGATGCTTTCTTTCTTTAACGAAAACTTAGATAATTTACTCAATATTCTATATTATCTAAGTCATAAATTTCGCCCAGATCCCAAATGCTTCTGGAAGACACTGACCTATTAGAATATTAATGTGAGACCTCGCTGCAACCCAGCAGGTGTTTCTGATCCGTCCTCACTTAATCAGTTTTTTACTGAAAGTGTTCCGTCTCCTGCTGGTGAAAAGCAGGCTAATAAAGATATGATTTGGGAGTTGTATTTAGGTCGCGTTTATGATGGAATGGCTAGTCAGCTTAACTTTGCAACCGTAACAGAGGAGGATGTGGAGAGAATATCATCCAGAATTAAATCAAACGCAAACGGTGTGGATGGCCTCGATCGGAAAATACTTTCTTCAGTTACTCCTTATCTGACATCATTGGTGACATTTATCATTCACCAATGTATTAGTACCAGCAAATTTCCCTCATTGTGGAAGGAGACTAATATAGCTGTTGCTAAGATAACTGGATTATAGCAAAGCCTTCGATACCTTAAATGATAGTCTTCTTATTTTAAACTTAAAGTTCTTCGGTTTAACCGACACCGCTATTGTTTTTATGAAAAGTTGCTAGGAATGTCGCCAGCAAAGGGTTACATTAGGATTAGCCGTGTCTGACTTTCTGCCAATTCTAACGGGAGTTCCGCAGGGCAGCATTTTGGGACCTTTATTGTTCTCTATTTACATCTCTGACTTCTCTAGGCACTTAAATAAATAATATTCTCATCAGTATGCAGATGATATGCAAATATACTTACGAGGTTAGCGCCAAAATTTCCCGGCCTGACATAGATACAGCTCCAGTATCACGATAAAACGTTGTCTTCTTTGAAATATATATCTTAGTAAGCTGCGCAAAAAAAATTGAAGTCTTGCGTCAGATAGTTTTTTATTGACAGCATTTTAAACAAGACGTGTCTGAAAAAATGTCGCAAATAACGCAAATTGAGTATAGAGCATTCATAAAGTTTTTGACAAAAGAAGGGTAAGCACCTAAAATTATTAAAGAAAGGCTGGATGGTGTGTACGACCAAAGTTCTTCTTCGTATTCTGTAGTGAAAGAATGGGCAAAACGTTTTCGAATGGGGCAGGAGTCCCTTGAAGATTATTCAAGAATCGGTGGAGGTCATAACGGAAGATATTGTTGCGATTCTGGAAGAGGTGGTATTGAGTGATCGACTTTTAAAAGTCAAGGAAATCTCAGAAATTATTAAGATTTTTGATACAAGTGTTCGTCGAATCCTGCATGATCATTTAGTTATGCATAAGGATAGTGCAAGATGGGTTCCTAAAAACTTTTCGGCTATTCAAAAACAACGCCGTGTCGAGTGTGAGCGGCCTTTTTTGGAACTCTGTGATAGAAACTATTGTGACGGGAGATGAAACTATGGTTCTCTATTATGACCCTTTATCGAAAAAAGAATCAATGGAGTGGCGTCGTAAGGGTGAAGCACCTCCAAGAAAATTCAGGGTCTGTCAGTCAAAAAAAAAGGTGATGGCCACAATCTTTTGGGATTATGAAGGAATTCTTTTGATTGATTTTAAAGAAACTAATACCACTGTCAATGGTAAATATTACGCAACATTATTACATAAATTGCGAGACTGCATACGTGTAAAACGTCGAGGAAAACTGACCAGAGGCGTGCGTCTTTTGCACGATAATGCATCTCTCCATACTACTGGTGTTGCACAAGCTGCCATTTTAAAGTGTGGGTTCCAAGAGATAGATCATCCTTCCTATAGTCCAGATATGGCCCCCACCGACTATTATTTGTTTGGGTATTTGAAAAAGGACTTACGTGGACAGCGGTTTAACGACGAAGTTGAGTTAAAAGGGGCTGTTTCAGCTAATTTTGCAGACAAACCAAAAGAATATTTTTTTAAAGGAATTGAGTTCTTAATAAAGAGATGTAATAAGTATATTGAAGTTAAGGGGGATTATATTGAAAAATAATAAAAAAATGTTACTTTACTTTGTTTCTTTCATATTCGGGCCGGCAAATTTTGGCGCTGTCCTCGTATTATTCTCGGGAAAAGATGTAGCTTTGTCTTACAATGGCGTAAATGAGGATCTTGAAGTGATTTTTTTTTATATATTTGTTTTTTTTGCTTATTATTTTTCTTTTAGTCGTTTTTTAATATTGCACTTGCTTTTTTCCAGTGTCTATTTTTCTCCTTCCTTTTTTTATCCCCCTTTCATTTGTTTAAAATTGTCGAATTCTGAATCTTGGGTGGACTTAAGGGATTTATTTATATTTGTTAGTTTTTGTTTTCTTATTAAATTCTCAATATATTACTACATTGTATCGGTGGCCAGGCGGAGTAGCGCTGCTAGACCTCGCCACCTGTTCAACTCTATTGCAGTATATTCTTTTTGTTCTACTTTAATAAAGGCTATTTATTTTTATTATTATTATTATTATTATTATTATTATTATTACTATTATTATTATTATTATTATCATTGCTATTATTTGTTGGAAATACAAAATGATACCATACCTAATTCTACTCTTAGCATGGGCGTAATAAGCACTTAATGTTTGTGATTCTGTTAAAATATCCTTCGGGTTATGTAGTAAATGGATATTGTCTCCCAAGTCCGACACCAAAGAAGAGCAATGAGTTTTAAAATTTATGTTTTTAGCTATGAATATTCCAAGAAACTTTACATCACGTACCCATCGCAAATCTTATACAAGAAGTTTTTAGTGGATTAATCTTTCAAGTTTTTTGAAATTTTCCTTTTTCCTTTTCTTTTTACTAGACGAGTGAATGGCTTTATGATGAATATTAAGCCGCTATTGATCAAAGAATTCGGGATATCGTCACATCCAGCCGAAGGTTCATTTTTAAGCTTTTTGGAAGTTAAGAACATTTCGATAACTGAAAACAATTCTTACCAGAGACTGGGTGATGTTTGCCGAAGCTTCGTCGATATCTTTGGCGGGGGCTTCTCGTAAGAAGTATAGCAGATCTTTCGAATTTTGATTCTTCGCTAAAGCTGGATGAAGGAGGGCACCTGTCATGTAGCTTATGTTGACGTGGTTGCGCTGATAGGCCCACGGACTCAGAGCAGAACCGCTTTGGCAAATTGCAGCCCTGTATAAACCTATCCAAAAGTGTTTCGGCATTTATTCTGGGGGTCGAGTTGTATTTAATATCCAAAGGAGACCCGCAAAGTCGTCATGTGATGAAGGCAACCAGTTGTTGGTTAAATTTAATGCGATATACGTTATCTCAATAAGGAAAAAAGTTAAAGACGAAAAGTGTTTGACTCTGAGTATATATTTTGTTTATAGCATTTTTATGTATACAGAGTGTGAACTTGAACTGACGTGGCTTATACTTGATGAAAATCCATTTAACAAAATAAATAAGAACTAAAGTTCAAAATTTTCACGAAATTATATATTTTTATATGACAATTGTTTCGACAATACCGTGTCGTTATCAAATATAATATTTACAAACTACTTCCTACTATATATACCGAAGAATGACATTAAAATCTTAATTAATGTTGTTGTGAGAATTTAAGTTTTAAGTTTAATAATAATAATAATACATTTGAATACCTCACTATGTTAATCTCAGTAGCTTCCAATGGATGTAATTTTCTACTTTTTCTGGCTGTATGTAAAATAATCAAAATTGTCGTCAAAAATGGGTTTTTCTGTGTCTAAGTGTGTAGCATAATTAGAATCTCGACTATTATTTTTAAACGCTCTTTTATGTTCGTTAATGCGTTTCTTGAAGGATCTACCTGTTTGTCCAATATAAATTTTAGGACAAGATCCGCATGTCAAACTGTAGACCTTTGATTTTGGACATTTCGTTTTGTTGTTTTTTAAAAATTTTCCTATTGTGTTATTCTGAAAGCTATTTTTAAACCACATTTTGACAAATGTTTTGAAACTTTTTCACTGGGTTCTCCCATGTATCTAATTGTTTTAATTTGTTCGTGTTCTGTATCAGGATTCGGTTAAATAGAGTTTACTGTTGCCTGGACTTGTTTTTTATTTATAATTTTATCGATAATGGACGGATTGTAGCCGTTATTCAGTGCAATTTGTTTAATGATATTAAGTTCTTTGTTGTAATTTTCTGTTGAGAGTGGCGTATTAAGAAGTCTGTGTATAAAAGAGTGAAATGCAGCCATTTTGTGTGTATACGGGTGATTTGAGCTGGACAAACCTAATTTGTTTTGCGTTTTCGTAATAGTTAAGTCTAAAAAATTAATAGAGTTATCCTGTTCAATCTCGATAGTGAATTTACGATTATATAATGAGTTATTGTAATTTAAAAAAGAATTCAATTGTCAGTCCGTTCCAACAAAGCAAGCAAAGACATCATCCACATATCTAAACTACCATAGAAAACTTTTACTTAAAGGATGTTCTAGTATGATATTTTTCAAATTATCCATAAAAATCTCGGCTAACAAAGGAATAAGTGGGTTTCCCACAAATAAAGCTTCTTTAGAGATGTAAATCTGTCCTTTAAATTCAAAATAAGCTGGTCTAAAGATACTATTAAGCAACCTACTAAATCTTGTTTCACCAATGGGTTAACCTGTTTCCGAATGAGGGTGAAATCTACTAAATCTATCATATCCATAAGTGGAATACTGGGAAATAAGTTTTGTACATCAAAAGATAAAAGTTTTGCATTAGAAGGGAATTTGATATCTTTAATTTTGATGATTAATTCAAAAGAATATTTTATTGCAAATTTCTCAATGAAATGACTGCCCTGACTTCAAACACAAACACGTTTTGCATTTAATTTTTTTTATTAGGCGTCGAACTTACAGATAAGGTATAGGAACATCTTTAATGGGCTCACTTTGTGCACCATAATTTCAGCTTTGGATAAATTTACATTCGAAATTTTTCTTTAAACACGTTGTTGGTATTTGTAAGCTTCACTTTCTAAATGAGCTTTAGATCCTAAGGCAACGAAATAGCTGCTGTTGCTGATTTTTTTCGTTTTCCAGCAGTTGGTACTTCTGGTCTCGCCTTACTTGACCGAGATAGCTAGCAGTCTTTCTTTAAAATGTTGAAGAGGTCGCGGGTCTTATTGAGGTGATAAAGAACCTCTTCATTTGTCTAGTTTGTCTTTAGCTAAGCACTCTCTCTTGCTTGTTGTTGTCACACCCTATCAACCTCAATCGGAGACCAAGATTGAAGCCTACGATCTTCATACCATTCTCAATGTTCACAGGTCTAAATATATTTGCTTCCCTTGTGATTAATATGAATTTGGTCTTTTTTGCATTTGTGTCTAATCCCATGTTTTCACTATTTTTCCAATTATATTCACAATAGTCCAAATTACAGTGTTGCCAAGAATCGCATAGCAGTCACAGACCAAAAAATACCAGTGGGTCATGCAGATACTGTACTACCATCATCGGTTATCAACTCTCTTGTTTACAGAGCTGTACAACTATTTCAACCTGAGTCACTGAACCCAGAATTGAAATACCTCTTCTTCACCACCACTTCACCACAACCTTCCAAAGACAAGACAGAATTCCGTTCGAGATACCAGGAGTTTACAGCATTCAGCTAGGCTCGAAGAACATGAAAGAGCCAGATTAAAATAAAATGTTTTGATTTTGTTCGTAAATTTGTTAATAAAAGCTGTCAGTGTTTTAATGCACGTGAATTGGAAGCATATTGATACTGAAATGGCTTACCATGAAATTTTCCTTTTATATCCGTAATTCGCAATTTACCGAACAACGCACCAAAACATGTTCTTGTTAATTTAATTAATTGATTAAAAATGTCGAAATTCAATATTGTTTGTTCGAAAAAAACGATTTTCTTTTAGGACTCCTACTTGAGAGCTGCTGGAAGTATTGAGTATAAAACTGAAAAAGAAATAGCTTGACAGTTACTGAACTGAGAAGGAAGTGTAGTGAATTGATAATTTCCAAGACAACGCGGATGAATGGAATGTAATTAAGGGAAATAGTATCAAGTGCAGGGTTGCTTTGGGACTCATTTTCTTTGGAAGATTCCATGATGTTGGTTTTAGATGTCGATGCTCTCAAAGGCTTCCGTGTTGCTCCATGTGCTGTTCAAAAATATTACCGTTATATGACTTCATTCTAGTGTTCTATGAACCTTTCCTTTTATTTTGTTTTATTATTTCGAGTTTTTTTTTCTGCAGTATTGGATGGCGTGAAAATTTGTTAGTACTTCCTGTTATCTCCGTCGTATGAATGTAATGGTTGCTTGTTAAATTTCATACACAAGAAGACATAAGTAAAGAGTTTGTAGGATTAGGGTTCATCCAACCAAATTTTTCTGGGGCCTTCTTTGGATATTACGTTAGTAGTAAAGTCTGTTTATAGATATAAGAAAGTGACTAACTGATATGAATTAAGGAAAGACCCGGGCGAGCTGTAAGAATGAAATATGGCCGAACAGGTTCGTACTTTGCTTAGAATTTAATTATATGGGGTTTTGTTAGGAAAGATACTAAACAATATTTATTTATTTATGTATGTACTTATGTTTAAATCTACAATAAAATTACAAATTATTTTTATTACCTACCTGAATTACTTAAAATTATCCACATAATATATCAGTATCACTATCGCTATCATCGCCTGTTCTAATTATTATTTGTTTCATATTATTTGCAATATAGATATACAATTGTTCTGCTTTTTCTACATGTTTAACAGAATTTGCCCAACTTTGTGGAGGGATGTTAAAAACTTCGGTTTCTATAAGTTTGAGAACATTGGAATGTATGCCCTAGATTTTTTTCATAATTATCACAGACGTATAGTATTGTAGGTTCAAGCTTTGTAGAACCTCAATTAATTGCTTTTTGGTATTATCTTCGTGAAAATATACATGTACTTATACATGTAGTTTTGGATTGTTGTTTTTGTGTCACATGAGGAAGGGGTTTTAGTCAACTGTCTACTGTGATAACTTGCGTTGTCCATTACAATTACGCTATTAGGAGGAATGTTTGGAACTAGTTTGTTTTTAAACCAACTTTCAAATAAATCAGCGGTGGTGTCTTTATGGTAATCCAGAGAAGAATCTTTAATATTTTTCGCAGACAGAGAAAGTCCATTTGGAATCCAACCATCTTTAGATCCAGCATGCAAAATAGTTATTCTTTTACTTCCTTTTGATGGCGCGCTTGTTTTACACTTATCAGTTGAGTTAACCCAACCCTTTTTCGGGGTATCATAAGTGTCGAACCAGGTTTCATCCAAGTAAATAATTGGCCTTTGTTCTGTGCAAATCCCATTTTTTTCTAGATATTCCAGTCGCCATTTCCGAATTCTAAAAGATTCCATTAAAACTTGCCTTTTGTCCCATGTGTTGAATACACTTCCATAAGGTAGTTCTGCCACATTTAACACCGGTCATCTTTTTCAAGCCTCCTAATTAAGATATCTAATGTAGGCACGCTTTGTTCCTCGAATTACTGGTAAATTTTACGCCGCATTATATCTTGATCACTTTCATCTACACTCGAGAAAATGTCAGCATCGCTTCTTTTTTTCCTCGCTGAAATGGGATTATTCACAATTTTTCATACAGTTGATGTTGGAATTTTCGTCAATGTGGCCGTTTCTTCTAAAGATGCTTGCTTGCTGGCACCACGTTCAATGAGAGCCAAATAATCATTGTTTATAACCTCCTTAGTCTCTATAGAATAGTGTTTTCTACATTTGGGCGGGAGCATCTCCTGAGATACACTAGACTCGCACATATTTTGCATAATTCGCACACGATTCAACATACGAAATAAGAATGATTACTAACAAACTTAAACTAAGTAGTATACCTAACCAAAGAATATTAAACACAGGTAGGTATAAAATTATTTTCTATTACGGACCACAATTTTACCTGAATCTAAATTCCGAAACTTTAGTTAATAATCTTATTGCATTGTATGTTTATGACCATCCTTGGATAATCCCATTCAAAAGCAATTGGTCACTTTCTTATATCTATGAATAGATGAATAGACCATACCTTCCGATTCTGGATTTAACATTAAATAAGCCACTGAAGCGCTGCCCGCGCTGTGTCCGAATATCGTCACCTTTTCCGGATCACCGCCGAAATTTTGAATGTAATTGTTCACAAATTTCAGTGCCAGTAACTGGTCTTTGAGTCCTGCGTTGCCCGGTATATTCGCGTCGCCGGTGGATAGAAAGCCTAACCAAATTTAAATTCTATTAAATTATTAAATAAATTTCAAACCGAAACGAATTCTCGGATATACAGAGTGTTCGAAGAAAAACTTATTCGGTTCTAAGTCACTTTAGGCGGGAAATTTTGATTTGAAACAATCAAGACAAGTCAAAATTTCCCGCCAAAAGCCAGAGCCATTTTTAATGGAGGTACAGTTTCGGGAGTACGAACTTTTTTTTTTAGCAAATTTCCTTTTCTTTGAGGATCTTTTTTTTTTTAAGCCAAAAAATTGTTAGTATTCGAACTATAAGAAAAGAAGATAACCGCTTCTATTTACCATCTTTTATTCTTTATAACTTTTGGAATTTTTAATGTACTTATTCATTATAGTTTTACACCCACCTACAGCGTTAATTCTAAAAGATAGAAAAAAAAATGTAAAAACAAAAATTTGAAGATTTTTGCTCTATTATCTTATGCAAATATCAGAAAAAACAAACGACGATCGCAAGCTGTCAAAATGACAATTGGCTTAAATCGTAGATCTTTTTTTTCTGATTTCAAAAACCTATAGTTTATTGACATTTGATCTACTGGTTTTTGATATATTTCAGTTTAAAAATAATTCGCACTCGATTTCTGGACAATTGTTTAAAAATGGTCAAGTCTGCCTTTATAGCAACCATATTATCTATGTCTGCAATTGTTTTGACAATGTTCTTTGTCAACTAATCGAAGCTAAAGGTCTGCAGCGTAAGTTAAATAGCTTAAGGTAATTGATTATACAATTATACTGCAGAAGAAAAACGTGAAATAATAAAATTGTATTATTCAAACGGACATAATGTTGCAAGGGTTGAAAGAGAATATCAACAAATATATCGAGGTAAATTATTATACTATTACTACACTTGACATGACTTTGAGTTGTACTTTCTTAATTTTTATATTTCATATTTTTTAGTAACTCCTGAACATTCTATACCTGATGTTAAATATATCATTAAATATCATAAGTTTCACCCGTATAAGTTCCTTGCTGTTTTTTTTTTCCAAGAAACTTCCACAGGCTACTGTAATACTTTTTTTGTGAAAAGTATAACACCAATAATCCATACAAAATGCAAGTAGTGAACTTGCCTTGCAACAGAAATAGAACAGTTGTTAGAAGATGTGTCAGTTAGGAATTCTTTAAATTTAATTTGGCATCAAGATGGCGCACCTTCACGTAATGTCCAACGGGTTACCGATTATCTAAATAATAAAAATGGACTTTGGGCACTTAGGCAAGGAACTATCAAACGGCCTGCCAACAGAACCTAAAATAATAGGCCTGAAAGTTTACAAGTGATAAGAGAAACACTTAATATCGTTTTACAAGATCTAAACAGAGAAAACCTTGATTAATAGGAAATTGAAATTAGAAAATAGTGGAGGTTATGTGGAAAATGTTTAGCATTAATTATTGAATAATATGATTTTATCGTTTTGCGTTTTATAAATATCTTAAGTTATTTAAATTACGCTGCAGATCTTTAGTTGTCAAAAGTAGAACATTGTGAAAACAATTGCAAACGTAGACGATATGGTTGCTATCAAAGCAGACTTGACGATTTTTAAACAATAGGGCTATTATCAAGAAATCGAATCGAAATAGAAATCAGGAAAAAAAGATCTACTATTTAAGCTAATAATATGTAGAGATTCCATTTAAAACAGTTGATGTTGCTACCCCTTTGACAGCCGACAGACATCCTTTTGATTGTCTTTTGTTTTTTCTGATATTGGCATAAGATAATAGAGCAAATATCTTCAAACGTTTGTATTAACACTTTTATTTCTCTGTTTTCAAATTAACCCTGTAGGCAGGTGTCAAAATATAATGAATAAGCCCTTTACCAGTCCATTTTTTTCTCACGCATAATAAAAGTATGTTTAATTAATGTTATTTTAAACTTTGTAGTTCTATCTCATTCTGGATGTCTCAAGGAAATTTGTTGAATAATTTGTTTCGGGTTTGTACTTACCAAAGGGACCGACTCTGTAGTTAATAGCAACCAGGACCACCCCCGAGTCCATGAAAAATTCTGGCCCGAAGCCCCATTCGATGATGGAGGTACCTTCGACGAATCCGCCGCCATGGATGAAAAACATCACGGGAAGCAAATCAGATTCGCTGCTCAAAATCTGTAAAGGCAACCGCACTTACGGCATAACCACAATTAAAAGAGTAAAATTTAACTCAAAATTTCATCAAAAGGGCTCCATCAACAAAAAAACGCAAACGAAGAAAAACTAACACATTATCACTTGTAATTTGAGGAGTAAATACTATCCTTTCAAATTTTGGTAGTAACATGGAAATAAAAGGACACTCCCTCTATAGCCACGTAGGCCATTTTCCAGATAACTGGTGATTCTAGAGGAAGATTTACCCAGACATTAACGCCATTGAAGACTCATTATCAACAAAGTTTAACTTTTGACTTGCCCAATGAGAAGTTTTAAAGGCAATTTGGGGAAATAATTTAATAATAATTGATTTGAACAATAAATTTTTAAAGTTTAGTTCTTGATTCCTTCTGAATATTGAGTAATATATTTAATTATTACTATTAAATAATTGTTGTTGTTGATACTTGTTTGATGGCTGTGGATAAAGTATTTGTTTTTGTGCGATTGGTAAACAAACTTACGTTTATAACCTCTACTGCACCACAACTTTATTTAGGACACTGGACATGTGTTTCGCCAACCAAGTTGGCATCATCGGCAGATGATATAAACTAAAATTAACTAACATAAGACGGGCTTTTTATAGCCGAGAAGTGGTCGCGCGCTATTGGTTGCGAAACGTTACCTAGCAAACAGTAGAGGGGGCTGTATGGGATGGGCCCTTGGTCACGGTTCAGAGACTGCGTTCCACTTTTGACTATTTCGATGCTTTCAAACGCATCTAATAATCTATTATTAGACACATTTTTTATTAACCTAAGGTTGTTTATATCTACAGCATGGTTATTTTCTAAAGCTGTGTTGTAGATATAAACAAAATTAGGTTAATAACAAATGTGTCTAATAATAGATTTTTTGATTTTACTTTATTTTTTGTATATATATTGTTCCGCCAAAAAATATATTTTTATAATAAGTAAGAAGAGTCTTGGTTATGTTTAATGTACTATTTTTAAAAATCGAAATCCAGCATGACCAGTGACATGAGGCACAATCTTTCTAAATTATCGAAGAAACTTCCTTATTCATACCAATGGAGAATAAATATTCATCATGAGGCAATCTTCGGTTTCCAAATCCGAATCCATCGTCACTTGGTAGCAGATTCCTTTTTCGTATGTCCCATCGTATATGTCGCTCCATTGTTGGACGTGCAAAGGGGCCTAGCAAACAAAGCGCTCATTTTATCGATAAAAACCGCGTTTCTTTCTTACTTTGAATCGTAGGGGTCCAAGGGGAGCTATCCCGTACCGTATACCCAGATAAGACGCGTAGAAAGTCCCAGCCTTGGTCTTCGTGATGGGTCCTTTGATTTGACCCAACCGCGTTTTAACTATGCTCGTCAGCGTGATATTTGCGTCAGCTGCAAACTGTAATAATTCATCGTGCCGTTTTGCGGAGATTTTTTATTGGTTTTCCTTCTCATATACAGCAGACTAAGCGATAAAGAGTATATCGAAAACTATTTTGTCCATTTGCTTGCTCTTGCATCTCGAAAGGCGCTGCCATGTTTTGTGATGTCGATGGTGGTTGCCAGGTTACGGGGAAACGAAAATCGTTTGTTAGGTGAATTTTAAAGAAGCACTGATAAGTCCCTGTTTACATTGTTTGATCGTAAGGAAAACAAAAGTTCCTTTCCACTTCGGAAATTACAAAACTGTCTAAGCCACACACGACAAACGATGGGAGGGCTAAACATGCGGGATGCAGAAGATATATTGGTGAATGAACGCATGTATGAAAAAATAAAATTTACAAGTGACGCACACTATCAATATTAGGTTCCGCTTCCATCGACTGATCTTTACAAACCGTCTTTTTCCTATGTAATAACAAAATTTCTTAAGGAATTACGAAGTAAATTAAATATAATTGCTTCAAAACTAATGAGCCTCTTCTTCCATATCTTTTTGAAAAACTGCGTTCGCTAGCTCAAACAAACGATATTACTAAAAAAAAATCGTCTAGACTATAAAATGTTTTGGATAACAAAAATATTCTTAATCGTTTTTCAAATAGACAAGGTTTTAAATTTTCGTAAACTGTTGCCTAGTTAAAATCTAAAGAAATTTTCTAAAAAGATAATTTACACTATTTAGAGTTGAAATAAGAGTATTACAATGAGACTTCCAGTTTAAATATTCATCCAAACTCAATCCTAGAACCCTCGCAGTAACCCTACTTGAGATTATCTTTGCCTAAGCAGATATTAACATTATCACACATTGTTTCTGATAATTTTGAAACTTTATAGTTTAAGCTTTGCTTGCGTTCAAATATAGCACTTTTCTGAGTCAATTCAACGTCGTCATTTCCGCACGACCACACCAAGGAAAGATCATCTGCATACATCACACAACGTATCAGGTAAAATTTTCAAGATATAATTTGCATATAATAGAGTACAGGGCCTAAAATTGAACCTTGAAGGACACCCATCTAGTTGAAATTACACTTCCATTCTTTGACCGTTATGATATCTAAGGGATATAAATTGAAAACGATCTTCTAAAAAGCCAGTTTAAAGGCTTACCCCTTACACCTGCAGGGCTTCCCCAAGTTAATAATAAATTTTCTTTTCAGCCATTTTCTTGATAATAATAAGAGCTTTAAAAAATGACAATACACAATAATTTCTTAATATACGAGCGGAGCACCAAAATTTCCCGGCCTCAATATGAAAGAAACAAAGTAGAGTAACAAATTTTTATTATTTTTCAATATAATCCCCGTTAACTTCAATACATTTATTACATCTCTTTATTAACAACTCAATCCCTTTAAAAATAAATTCTTTTGGTTTGTCTGCAAATTGAGCTAAAACAGTCTCTTTTAACTCAACTTCGTCGTTAAACCGCCGTCCACGTAAGTCCTTTTTGAAATATCCAAACAAATAATAGTGGCTGGACTATAGGGAGGATTATCTATCTGTTGGAACCCACACTCTAAAATGGCAGCTTGTGCAACACAAGCAGTAAGAGCAGGTGCATTACCGTGCAAAAGACGCACGCCTCTGGTCAGTTTTCCTCTACGTTTTACACGTATGAAGTCTCGCAATTTATGTAATAATGTTGCGTAATATTTACCATTGACTGTGGTGTTAGTTTCTTTAAAATCTATAAAAAGAATTCCTTCACAATCCCAAAAGATCGCGGCCATCACCTTTTTTGTTGACCGGCAGACTCTGAATTTTCTTGGAGGTGCTTCACCCTTATGACGCCACTCCATTGATTCTTTTTTCGATAGAGGGTCATGATAGAGAACCATACTTTCATCTCCCGTCACAATAGTTTCTATCACAGGCTTCGGTTCTGATCCACAGAGTTCCAAAAAGGACCGCACACACTCGACACGACGTTGTTTTTGAATGGCCGAAAGGTTTTTAGGAACCCATCTTGCACTAACCTTATGCATACTTAAATGATCATGCAGGATTCGACGAACACTTGTTTCAAAAAGCTTAGTAATTTCTGAGATTTCCTTGACTTTTAAAAGTCGATCACTCAATACCACCTCTTCCACAATCGCAACAATATCTTCCGTTGTGACCTCCACTGGTCGACTAGTTCTTGAATCATCTTCAAGGGACTTCTGCCGCATTCGAAAACGTTTTTCCCATTCTTTCACTACAGAATACGAAGAATAACTTTGGCCGTACGCACCATCCAGCCTTTCCTTAATAATTTTAGGTGCTAATCCTTCTTTTGTCAAAAACTTTATGACTGCTCTATACTCAATTTGCGTTATTTGCGACATTTTTTCTGACACGCCTTGTTTAAAATGCTGTCAATACAAAACTATTTGACGCAAGACTACAATTTTTTTTTCTTGAAAAGAAGACAAAGTTTTATCGTGATACTGGAGCTGCATCTATGTCAGGCCTGGAAATTTTGGCGCTAACCTCGTATGTGTTGCAGACATTGATAATTTGACAACTATACCGTATGATCTAATATAATTAGTGCTTCACCTTCACTACGTACTGACAACCATTTTAAAATTTGAAATCAATTGAAATAAAACACTCTCTATTAATTAGGATAAATATTTTGAGAAATTATGTAGATAAAAAATTATTAGAAACTATTTCTGAAAAATTCAAAATTTAGTAATTTTTAATGATAATCATACTTTGTTATACGGTTTTGGAAAACTTAAAGACTCAACCTTAACAATATAAATTGTTTTTTTGTAAAGAATCGCCAACATGATACGTAAATTTAATTTTAGTGAAAAAAGAAGTCTTCCCCTGTTAATTAAATCTGAAACTAAAATAAAAATAACGATCCCTTAGAGTTAAGCTACAGGGCTCATCTTTGGTGAAGATTTTTTTTATATCAAAAAGAAATATTTGAGAGGGTAAGAGTTTATTTATTTTAATTTATCGAGAAAATCTAAAAAATAAAAATTTCAGTCTTCTGCAAGTCCAAATTTGAGTTGACTTAAAGTTACTGGGCACTACATACAAAAATTCACTTCAATGGAAATTTGACGCCGTTGGCTCTGATAAGAAGATTTATTTATTGCCAATGAGGTCCCGCTAACCTCTTATTTTTGAAAAAAAAAAAAACACGGTCAACACGCGAAACGAATGTTGATGATAAGGAAATAAAATACGATAACTTATTGAGTGCCGCTTAGATGGGGAAAAATTCAACGCTTTGAGGCCCTATTGGAGACAAAGAAATGTGGATTGGGTACCTGAATGTGTGCAAGGGGAAAAACTAGTCACGCTTTACTATAGAATATCCAAGATATTAAGAAAGGTATGGTTTAAGAAAAGGGTTGGTATGTAAAACAATTTCTCTCGAACAACTTACCAGGCATAGCTGTAAGGAGGCAAAAATTTGAAGTGTCAAATACATTTTCCGTTTAGCATCTCCACTGACACGTAGGCACTCAAAAACTGATAAACTCGATGGATTTGTTTTGCGCGGGCGAATGAAACGGGATTAAGTGGGGCAAGAGGTTTTTTCGCAATTGCGACGGAGGTGCCTCCAACAACTGCAGTGGGATCACCCATCCATTGAACTCATTACCGTTCGTTGCCTAAGGCAGGGACGTACTCGTAGATTTAAAAAAAAACGCCAACCAAGATATATGCAGCGGTGGAAAAGTGATAATTCACTTTTTAACGAGCATAGTTTTCGTTAAGAATATGGAATATTTTGACTCCCAATGTTTCTTTGACTCTGCAACAGATGTCCACTTACATGTGACCGTTTTACTTGTTGGGACACTATTTTTCCAGATTTTCTTCGGAATATTATATACAGGGTGTTTTCTAATGTGATATCAATAATAAGGGGAGCGATTTTTGGCTTCGTTTTAAATAGAAAGGTTCATATGAACATATGTCCCAAACGTCTAAATTTTGATGGTACGCCACTGATTTCTCTTAAAATAAAAATTATTCCTACCATCTCCAATCGTTTCTGAAGACATTTAATTTTTTGATTTTTTTCAATCCAATTTACGGTTTTCGCTTCAAAAAATAAAAACTTACGCATGGTCATAACAATATCGTTAATATGGCAGCCTGCAGAGAAATTAGTTTTTATTTTTAAGTGTTAATCTGTTCATGAGTGAATATAAATGTCGTTACCTTTTCAAGGAAATCAGTGGTTCATCACTGACTGTCTATGAACAAAAAATATTAGGAGACTGTATATAATGCGATACATAATACATGCGTGCCAAAATTAGATAAAAAAAATACGTTTTATTACCAGAAGTTTAGGACATATGCTCTTATGAAGTTTTCTTTTTAAAATAGACTTAAAAATCGCCCCCTTATCCCCACCCTGCGTAAAACAATTTTATAACTTCAAAAGCTCTTTTTTTTCATATAAGTTCACTTTTTATTTTACCAATATGAATTTGCTTAATTCTTTGTTTCAATTATTTCAATCCTCAATTACAGAACATACCGAATTAAACAAAAATGAAAAATGAATCCTCTTCACTGTCATAACTAAATTACAAGATGTTTTTAGTGTGTGTTTCAATTTACATTTACAATATTATTATGTATAGTTTGTCTCAATCTTCATCGTGTCGGCTTTTGTCTGCAATTATGGAAGTTACCTGCCGACGGCATTAGGGACAGACTCTCAAAGGTATGGTCTGTTCATAGATATAACAAAGTAACCAATTGCTTTTGAATAGGATTATCCAAGGGTGGTCATTAACATACATGCATTACCTAAAGTTAAGGAATTTAAATTCAGGTAAAATTGTGGTCCGTAAGAGAAAATAAATTTATACCTACCTGCGTTTAATATTTTTTGGTTCGTCCACTTAGTTTAAGTTTATTAGTAATCATTCTTATTTCGTGTGTAATACAGCGCATGTTGAATCGTATGCGAATTATGCAAAATATGTGCGAGTCTAGTGTATCTCAGGAGATACTCCCGTCCAAATGTAGAAAACACTATTCTATTGAGACTAAGGAAGTTATAAACAATGTTTACTTGACTCTGACGTGGTGCCTGCAAGCAATCATCTTTGGAAGAAACGGGCGGCCACATTGACGAAAATTCCAACATCAACTGTATGGAAAATTGTGAATAATCCCATTTCAGCGAGGAAAAAAAGAAGCGATGCTGACATTTTCTCGAGTAGATGAATGTGATCAAGATATAATACGGTGTAAAATTTATCAGTTATAGGAGGAACAAAGCGTGCCTACATTAGATATCTTAATTACGATGCTTGAAAAAGATGAAACCGGTGTTAAATGTGGCAGAACTAACTTATGGAAGTGTATTCAACACATGGGTTTTAGATTTAAAAAAAATTGACAAAAGTCAAGTTTTAATGGAATCTTTTAGAAATCGGAAATGGCCACTAGAATATCTAGAAAACATTAGGATTTACAGACAACAACAAAAGCCAATTATTTACTTTGATGAAACCTGGTTCGACATTTATGATATCCCGGAAAAGGGTTGGGTTGACTCAACTGATAAGTGTAAAACAAACGCGCCATCAAAAAGAGGTAAAAGAATAACTATTTTGCATGCTGGCTCTAAAGATGATTGTTGTTGTTTAATTAAAGAAAAACACGTCTATAATAAGTGTACAAATTAGAATACGGAGATAGCAGAAAAATGACGTAAAAAATTCAAAAACAAACAACAAATACAAACAAACAAACAACAAAACAATATATATATATATATATATATATATATATATATATATATATATATATATATATATATATATATATATACAGTGTGTCCAAGATAAGGAAGCACAGCATGGGGATCTCGGAAACTATAAGAGATACAGTGTCGGTTAAATTAGACAAAAGTTGCGCATTTTGATACCGAACAAGATCCCGTTTTACAAATTTGAAAATTCCAAGCCGTTCCGGAAATATCCGAGAAAAACCGAAATATTGCGATTTCGTTTTTATTATTTTTTAAAGCTATTTGAAAAGATATGAAAAAACGGAAAACACTTTTCCATTGGCACTTTTTAATCTCTCTAAATTGACGTTAACAAATTTTCATTACAGCGTTTCGATTCCATGGAACCACCATCAACTTTGATTTTTCTTATGGGACGGAAAAAAAGTACACACAGTATTAGGTTGTGCTTTTCATTGCGAATTCAACGATGTACGATACAATACGGTTACTTATGTTTTTATCCAGAAAAATGGCTTTTTAATACATTTCTAGTATTTTATTGTAGTAGGCCATGAGATCCGAACGATGAAAGGCAAAAGAAAATGGTTGACAAGTTCGAGTTAATGTGTTTATTTATTTACTAACTCTAACTGTTCATTTAACATAACAACTAAATCCAACAAGTTAATGAAAAACTAATTCTATAACAAATGTTCGAATAAATGACCTCCATTTTCTAGGCATAAGTACGCCCGTCTCACGGTAGACTCCAAAACACGACTTAACATTTCAGGAGTAATTTTATTAAACGCTGCTCGTACTGATTGACGTAATTGTTCCTCGTTGTCAAAACATTCTTTGAATACCTCATTTTTTATGTAGCCCCATAAGAAAAAGTCCAAGGGAGTTAAGTCCGGGGACCTTGGAGGCCAAGGTGTTTCACTGTAAGTCCCAATGTATTTTCCATCAAACCGTTCAGTTAAATATTGGCGAACTTCTCTGGAGTTATGGGCTGGGGCACCATCTTGTTGGAACCAGCAGCCTTGCACAGCGCCTAGCGGTAAATCATCTAAGGCATCTTCTAAATCGTGCCTCAAGATGTCAAGGTACCGCTCGGAAGTTAAGGAATTATTATAGAAAATAGGGCCTATAATCTTGCTACCAAAAATCCCACACCAAATATTAAACCCAAAGCGAACTTGATGTCTGGATAGTCTATTGCGACCAATAGTGTGTATTGCGCCTGTTATAAATACCGTTATTGGTCACCATACTTTCATCAGACCAAATCACTTTATATGGAAAATTAAAACTCTCATCACACATCCTGGTATACCACTCACAAAAATGTCTACGTCGTTCGTCGTCACCCGGTTTTAATCCTTGACATATTCTGAATTTGTAAGGCTTAAATTCATTTTTCCTTAAAATAAACTGAGCTGTAGATTTAGCTACCCCATTCTGGTCTTCAATTTCTCTGGTAGAAGTTTGTGGATTTTCGATAACAGATTGTAGAACAATGTATTGGTTTTCTTCATTGGAAGGTTTTTGTCGGGATAATGCAGGCTTCTTAAATGATCCATATTCTTTCAGATTAAATAACAAACGCCGAAAAATACTCTTGTCAGGTTGTCTCCGCTCTGGGTATTTGTTAGAATACATACGCTCGGCTTCCACACAATTTCTTTGGCATCAGATGTAGCAAGACAGCATATCACATTTTTCTTCGTTTGTAAAATTACCTCCCTCCATTGTAGAACAAAATAAATAAGAAAAAGACAACAACAATAAAAATACAAAAACAATAACTAAAGGAATAAACTTATGATCGACTGATAACAAAGACAAATAACATTAATGTGTCATTGAAATTGACTGGATGTCATTTTGTCATGGCCTACTCCATTTAAATGCTGAAATGTATTAAAAATCCATTTTTCTGGATAAAAACATAAGTAACCATATTGTATCGTACATCGTTGAATTCGCAATGAAAAGCACAACCTAATACTGTGTGTACTTTTGTTCCGTCCCATAAGAAAAATCAAAGTTGATGGTGGTTCCATGGAATCGAAACGCTGTAATGAAAATTTGTTAACGTCAATTTGGAGAGATTAAAAAGTGCCAATGGAAAAGTGTTTTCCGTTTTTTCATATCTTTTCAAATAGCTTTAAAAAATAATAAAAACGAAATCGCAATATTTCGGTTTTTCTCGGATATTTCCGGAACGGCTTGGAATTTTCAAATTTGTAAAACCGGATCTTGTATCAAAATGCGCAACTTTTGTCTAATTTAACCGACACTGTATCTGTTTCCGAGATCCCCATGCTGTGCATCCTTATCTTGGACACACTGTATATATATATATATATATATATATATATATATATATATATATATATATATATATATATATATATATATATATATATATATATATATATATATATATATATATATATATATATATATATATATATATGTATGTATGTATGTATATTAAAAGGAATTCAAACCTAAATTGTTGAATCCAGTGAGACAATAAACCAAATGCTGTGTGTCTCATATTGGTGTATGGAATTTTCTGCATTGTTCATACTTTAAAATATTACGAGAAATAATTTATTACATCATTTATATATAACTGAAGCATTTTCATTACAATTAATATTTTGAATGTGGTTTTAATAATATGACCTACGCGTTTAAGGACAAAATTAGGCTCTCAATATAAACCATAAACTAATATTATTGACATATACTATTTGTAATACTATTCAATCAAACAATCAATCAATCAACCCGCATCACCGGACACCTAATATCCGCGCTTCTTTCAAATAATTTCTACAGACATTACTCCACGGGATCTTTTCCTCTGCGGTTATTTAAAATAAAAAAAAAAGAAATAAAGCGATTCAGTGTCAAGAAGTTTCAGTAAGTTATATATCATTTTTACTTATATTGAACATTGATCTAAATGTTTTGCAAAGCGCATAAATAATCAACCAAAGTCCAATATGTATGGTGTTCCACAGGGCTCGGTCCTTGGATCCCTGTCGTACTCCGAACTTAACGTCTATTACACCTTCGCAGATAATAATTAGATAATGCTCTAGTATATGTTGGAAATAGTGACCTACAAATATGTTGGTTGGCTGTATTGAAACAAATTTAAAATTGATTTTTACGAAAAAAATAAAAGTATAAATGATGTATATATTCAAATCAATGACATACAAGTGGAGAAAGTTGCATCTACGAATAATGATAGACGATGAATTAAATTAGGGTGTTTGTTTAAGTGTGGGAATTATTTAAATAATAAAACAAAATCAATGATTATCCTTTTATAGACAAAGAAATACCTGAAATTGAGCAGTGCAAACTTATATGCAATATTACGAATTAACATTGAATAACAAATACATATTTAGTAATTACTAATCAGGTTCTTAACTATAAAACTAGAATAATAAGTGATATAAGATGAGCAATAGAAAATTTAAACATACTATTAAAGATTTCCTACAACGTCATTGTTTTTACTCCCTGCGAGGATACATTGACACTGTCACTGGTATCGATGCGCTATAAAACTGTATAGTACTGTCTAATTTTGTTTGTATTAGATGTGTGTTTTTATGTTATTTATTAATTTGATTTTATTGCACTTGAATATCACTTCTGACTTGCTACAATGGTACGTCCCTTTTGTACGAAACGTAGTCAATAAATGAATCTATCTATCTATCTATCTATACAAAATTAATTTAATTCTGCACTTGCAAGTTTAAAAAGTGAAACAATATTTTCATTAAAGGATTAAAAGGATATTTTTCGATTGTATAGATGTTAATTTTTTTAATACTTTTGATTGATGATTAGTTATTTTCCATGTTTTTTTTTGTATAGTTTATAAAAGATATTTATTACGGACGTAACAGCAATTCATTAAATAATATCGATATACAAACATTTTATTATTATCCGTTTTCCTAGGTAACGAGCTGCGTCTTATCGCATTCGTCGCTACAGTTTATCGGCATCTAAAACTACGATAAGTGAGTCCAACGGTTCACACGTTTCGTTATAATTGCACAAATCTAAACGTGATTAACGCACCTGTGTTTGCATTGGTTTCGTCCATCTAGTGAGTTTTAACAATCACTTAAAGTACATATTACGTCAATTTTATTTGCGTTTAATACTAAAAAAAAATAACGCCTTAATTGTCAAGAATTTTTAAACTCGGTTTCTATAAAAATTTCTAACGTTTTAAATAATTGCTGAAAATCATTTTTTATCTTAAATATTACAACATTTAAAAATTATTAACAGTTCAAGCAGAGCACAGAAATAAGTTAATCATTTGTTAGCTACATGTTAAATATTTCCGCTATCGTGTAAAAAATATATATTTGACATTTGGATACATAGTCTCGCATTTGTAATAATGCTATTTTGTGTTGATTGTTTGCTAACTTTGTAATTAACATTTAGTTTTTTTTATCTTCATATTTCTTATGAATGAAAGAAAGTTTGTCAAATTGAATAAAGAACCTTTTCTGGCTTTAAAAATAAAGCATATTTTTTGTTCGTTATTGTTTGCTATTAAGTAAAGTGATCTTTTTAATTTTAGAACATTTATTTGTATTGTTTCAGAAGAAGTGTTTAAACATTCCATTAATTAGAAGCGCTAGCAAATATATTTAAGCAAAGTTGATCTGTTGCTGATGTGAAAAAGACTAAGAAAAGATATGACGAATGTGCCTTAGATCTGGTTTATAAAATGGTTTTACCTATATGTTTTTCTGCATATCCTTGAACCTTTTTCGTCACTAGCAGGATCGGAATGTAATTGCGTATTTTTTTCTTTTAAAAAAATTGTTTTTTTTGTGATATCGTCAATTACACTTGTTTTTGTATTGACTGCAATAAGTTATTATTATTATTACTATTATCTAGGGCTATGACCCCTACTTCTGGGATTTTTTGGTATTATATACAAATCGAAAATTTTTTGAAAGATTTCTACCCTAGTTGAAAAATAAAAAAATTGTCTGTTCTTTTTGGCTCTTTTTTTCGACATATGACACGCGTATGGAGCTTAGTCTCCCAACGGAACTTATTGCAATTGATGGAGCTGAAGGAGTCGGGAAGTATTTTTAATTTTTTTTTTTTAAATGGCATTTCTCGAAAGCGGTTAATGCAGTCTAAAAAATTATCAGACGCGTCCTGACGAAAATTTTTATTGTTGTTGATTTTTCGAGAATGTACAGGGTATGTCGCAAAAAATTGGATATAACTAGAAGGCTATATTTTAGTTGTTAGTTTCCTTCACATGGCCATACAGCCCGCATGGAGCTGCAAAACTTTTATATTTAAAGTTTTCATATATTGGACAGGGTGTTTTAAATATCTTTGGTTCAACTAAGCAACCTGATAGGTACCTCAAATTTACAGTTACTGGCTTCAAATTTGATAGAGGGGTAGAAATCCGTACCCTCATCTAAATTGCAAAAGTTTGGCCGGATCAAATATTGCTAAGTATTTAAAAAAATATATTTTTAGAATTATTTTCTGGAAAACTGTGAGCCCAATTGTAGACAGAAATCTAAAATACCCTGAAAATTGTCCTTTTCCAAAGTAAATTATTAACTGTATTTCAAAATTCGTGAAAAATATGTGTAATTGGTATAATATTATTATAGGCCACATCGCGAGCTACAATTTTTGTATTTACGGGTTTTTTTTACATGTCAAATATCACGAGATATTTGACAAAAATCTCGATGACGTCATTGACAAATACAGATCAGCAAACGTGGAAGAACCAGGACCATAACCTCTAACGATTATTATTACTTTCCTTGGAGAGATAGAACGAAAACAGCATTAAATGATTTGAATTTTTCTCGGTCTTAAAACAGTTTTCACCTTAACCAAACGTTTTCCTAATACAATACATCGTCCCTAGATTCATTAAAAAAGCAGCGATTTACGCAACCTTAGTAACGTTGAATAGAAGTTTGCTGTTCACTCCCATCACGAACTCGTTGTTCAACAGTTCAATTGGCAGGACCGTGTTTTTGCCCAAGGCGAACCTTAGATCCTTAAGCAGTGATACCAACCCGATCTTGCTCTGCATCAGACCAAATCGCATCCCTATGCATATGCGAGGTCCCTCGCCGAACGGCAAAAACGTGAAATCCGGTATTTTGGATCTGTTGGTTTCGTCGAATCTGTCCGGGTCGAAGGTTTCCGGGTCGGGGAAGTAATCCGGGTCAAGATGGACACCCCACACCGGAATTTCGACCTGCGTGCCTTTTTCTATCACCACTTCGGTATCCGGAACGTGGTAGTCCTTGGTGCAAACTCTGGGGATCGCTGTGAGCGGCGGGTGCAGCCTCAAGGTTTCTGGAGCGAAAAATATGAGACGTTAATGTCTCCTGAATCTACTACTATCTAAATCAGTCATAAATATAATTAAAACAGTAAACAACTCCATTGTGTTTGCAATATTTTACTGGTACTTAGTGCAACCTCATTTTAAAGGTTATACATTTGATAGCTAAGTTAAAATTATAAGTCTTTAGTTGGTGCATTTTGCGTTGAGGGCTTTTCTCACCTAATAAAACATTCTTCGTATATGTTGTCATTTTTATAGCTATCAATAAAAAAATCACAGAAGCTTGTAAACGTAGCAAAACTTTAGAAGCGTATCGGTCAAAGGGGGCTAAAATCATAAAATTGCGAAATCTGACGAAGTTGCTATAAGCATTTTTGAATTCTGCACATTCAAAAACCCCCGAGTATGGAATGTTATCGCTCCAGCTTTGACAGTTTTAGATATATTTAGATATTGTAACAGTATTAGGGTATAAATATTATCCATAGATATTAAAATTAGTCGTTATGATGCTATTAATACACAAGTAGTGTCTATAGAAACTAAAATTAATCGTTATGACAGGATTAGTGCATAAATGGTATCCACAGATATTAAAATTAGTCATTATGATACTATTAATTCACAAATTGTTTCTATAGAAATTAAAATCAGTTGTTATGACACTATTAATAGAGAAAAGTGTCTATAGAAACTAAAATTAGTCGTTGTGACACTATTAGCATGCAAATAGTGTCTATGGATATTAAAATTAGTCGTTGTGACACTATTAATATACAAACAGTGTCCATAGGTATTAAAATTAATCGTTATGACACTTTAATACACATATTAAAACACAAATCGTGTCTATAGAAAGTAAAATTTGTCGTTGTGACACTATTAATACACAAATAACGTTAATAGAAACTAAAATTAGTCATTGTGATACTCTAAGTGTACAAATTTTGCCTCTAGATATTAAAATTATTCGTTGTGACACCTTTTATACAGAAATAGGGTCTATAGAAACTAAAATTATTCTTTGTGACACTATAAGTGTACAATGAATGTCTATGCAAATTAAAATTAGTTGTTTTAACAATATTAGTATACAAATACTGTCTATGGAAATTAAAATTATTCGTTGTGACGTTATAAGTGTACAAAGAGTGTCTATGGAAATTAAAATTAGTCGTTTTAACACTATTAATATACAAATACTGTCAATGGAAATTAAAATTAGTGGTTGTGACACTATAAATATACAAATACTGTCTATAGAAACTAAAGTTAGTCATCGTGACACTATTAATACACAAATAGAATCTATATAAAATAAAATAATTCATAGTCACACTATTAGTTTACAAATAACTAAATAACTAAAATTAGTAGTTGGGACACTATTAATGTACAAATATACAAATAGTGTCTATGGAAATTAATATACAAATATTGTCTATAGAAATTAAAACTATTCTTTGTGACACTATAAATGTACAAAGAATATCTATTGAAATTAAAATTAGTTGTTTTAACAATATTAGTATGCAAATACTGTCTATGGAAATTAAAATTAGTGGTTGTGACACTTTCTATACAAAAATAGTGTCTACCGAAACTAAAATTAGTCATTTTGATACTATTAGTATACAAATAATGTACATAGAAATTGAAATTAGTCATTGCGACACTATGAATGAAATACTGTCCATAGAAACTAAAATTAGTCTTCGTGACTCTATTAATAAATAAATAGTGTCAATATAAAATAAAATTAGTCATTGTCACACTATTACAATACAGATAATGTCTATATTAACTAAAATTAGTCGTTGAGACACTATTAATATACAAATAGTGTCTATGGAAATTAATTTACAAAAAGTGTCGATGGAAATTAAAAGTAATTGCTTCAATCAGAACGTAGACGCAAGGTCTATAATGATTTGTGATTGCTAAATTATATTTTATCAGTCATCAAGCAATTTCGAAAAGGACTAAACCAAATAGCGATAACCAATGTATTTTGGAAGCAGATTACGACAGAAAAATCTACCAGTTGTATAGTTCCATTAAAAAAGGGGAAGTTGTTGATTTTTTTTTCCCTACGAACTTAAGATTATTTCTTACCTAGTAGAACGTTTTCCGTATACGTCATCTCCATTAAAGCGTCGTACGAGAGTTTGTCGTCATATTTCCGCAAGACTCGGTTGACTTCGTCACCGATCTTATCTTGAACGTCAGGCCTCTGGGCGAGCTCGTAGAGAGCGAACGTCATGGTGTTGGCGGACGTTTCAAAACCCGCCAGGAAAAATATCAGGCACTGAGCAGCGATCTCGAACTCCGTCAGAGTGTCGGCGCCCGCGTTTTCAGACCGAAACAGATCGGCGTCCTCGCTGATCGCGCCGCGATTCTTCAACTGGATGAGCAGGTGCAAAAAGTCCTTCCTGTAGACGTTGTTCTTCTCGCGATAATCCATCGTCTGTTTCACCAAACCGAGGAAGAAGTTCTCCAGGTCTTTCAGGTTTTGAGCCCGTTGGTGTGGCAGGTACTCTTTGATGATGTCCAAGACGTTCTTCTTAACCTGCGAGGGCTTGAAGATCACGTCTCCGAAGTTCCGGAACTCGTTGTCACGCCCACGCAACGTGTTACTCTCCAAACCGAACGCGCAGCTGATAATAACGTCGGTGGTGAATTGGCGTAGGGTTTCACCTACGTCGGCCTCCCCCTGGCATTCGCTCAGCACTATTTCTCTGAGCACGTCCGCTTTTTCCAGCAGGATATCGAACATCATCTTCATTTTGCCGGAGGTGAAGGTAGGGGTCAGCTTGCGTCTTAGGTTTCTCCATTTGCTACCGTCCAAATGGAACAGGTTGTGCCTGAATATTCCCTGATGGGTGATCGCCGGGGTACGAGTGCTGAAGTACTCGAAATCCCTCAGCATAATGTTTTTGATCAGGGAAGGAGCTATCGGCACGTAGATCGGCAAATAAAGCTGATAGACGCCGCCGTGGATGACTTTCCGCTTTTTGAACTCCCTGTAGATGGCGAGGAAGGTTTCGGCTTTGGACTTTTCGATCCTGACCAATCCCCTCGCGTCTCCGTAAAAAAACTCCGGATTGAGTTGCGGCACGCCTTTCCTCTTCCAGTAGGAGTGCAAGTGTTCCGAATAATAGTAGAGCGTCGCTGTTAAAGCCGATAAAATCGCAGCCGCGATTAGCCACATTGTCGACCCAGTTGCTTCGAACTTTAAAGACGCACGCTGAACCCAATCTGCCTTATATGTAAGTTGATATATGTTTATCTGCAATGTGGACTACCTCTGTAACAACAGGGCCGGCCGGACTATATCCATTTAATTAGTTAATTTTTTGTCTGTTCTCTGTTCCCTGTGATTGCTTCATAAAAATGCGAATAACTCAAGAACGGTCCAAGCTACGTCGACGAAATTCGGTTCAATTTAAAAGACACGCGAGGCACATAAGTCTATGAGAAATGGCCGCGATCGAACAACGGCGTCCATCTTTTTTTTTTTATTTTCAGATGTTTTTCGGACAGTGCTACGAAACGCCATAAGTGTCCGAAATTTGAAGCTATCGAAATTTGACATACATGTGGAGCTCAGTTCTCTGACGGAACTTATTGAAACTGGAGCCTTGAGAGCTCGGGAAGTATTTAAAAAAAATAAATACTCTATTTGCAAGGGCCCAATAAATAACATAATTTTTTCCGAAAACCGTTTAGGGGATGGAAAAAATGTTTGAACTAGAAGACGCAGATTTGCCTTCGTTAACGCCAGAAGTGTCCGAAATTTGAAGCTATCGACTTGAAATCTGACATACATGTGGAGCTCAGTTCTCTGACGGAACTTATTGAAACTGGGGTCCTGAGAGCTCGGGAAGTATTTAAAAAAAATTAAACACTCTATTTGCAAGGGCTCAATAAACAAAATAATTTTTTCCTAAAATCGTTTAGGGGATGGAAAAAATTTTTGGACTAGAATACGCAGATTTGCCTTCGTAAATTCTTATTCTCGATGTTTATTTGGAAACTGTACAGGGTGTGCAGCTTATTCGCAAAAACTGAACAGTGGGTTATTTTTTAAATTGACTCTAAGAAAAGATATTTCAGTTGTAAGTTCTTCTCACGTGGCCATCATTGTATCTAACGTTTTCGCATGGTATCTATATAGATTTTTCGGGATATTTTGCGATTAATAAGAAACGTATTAAGTCTCTTAAATTTGCAACTATCAACCTTAGACTTGTATCTCGACTTTGCCGTTGCTATATATGGAATCAGCGTAGAAAAAACGTTTTCGTTTTTTATCTGTTCTCTGTTGCATGAGGTCGTTTCATAAAAATGCGAATAATTTCCCAACAGTTCTAGCTAGTGCGCTAAAATTCTGCTTCCTTTAAACGGCTCACGAGGCACATAAGTTTATAAGATATGGTTTCGGTCGGACCTTGGCGACCATGTTTTTTTTTATTTTTGAAAATTTTTTGGATAATGCTTTGAAACGCGGTAAGTGTCCGAAATTTGAAGCTATCGACTTGAAATTTGACATACATACGGAGCTTAATGTGTTCTTCTATTAAAAAAAAATAACTCTTAAGTCATTTGTCATTTCTTTCACATGGCCATATCGAGCGAATAAGCTTGAAATTGACGTACATATTGAGCTCCCTTCATTGACAGAATTTTTTGAAACTGCGGGAAGGAAGTATTTTTGTAAAATTTAAATATCCCACTTGCAAAGGAATCTAGAAACAAAATTGCTTTCGTAAACTCTTATTCTTGTTGGAAAATTGACTAGAACTAAAACTAAAAGAATTTCAGCCGTCGTTTAAAAATTAATAATTTATAATATATGTATAAGTGATATTATATTTACTGCACAACATGGAAAACATTGAAATGTGTTAAATTTGCGTTTAACTGCTCTCTTGCATTCAGAAACGAATGATATATTTTTGATACAAAAATAAATGATTCGGCCCTGCATTTAATTTTTAGACACTTGAAATTTTTCTTAAATGGTCACAGCTACGTCGCTAGATTTAATCTGTGTTATTTATATACGTCTACAGACGATGCGCACGTTCAATAATACTTATATCGAGTGCCATCGATGTAAGCGTAAGGAAAAATTGTAGGTACGTATTTTTTCATGAAGTTTGACCCTTTCCTGGAATATATATTGAATTGAAATCCAGTCGACACTCTATATAGCGAAATTGAAGGGACTGCTTTTTTTCGTTATATATATATATATATATATATATATATATATATATATATATATATATATATATATATATATATATATATATATATATATATATATATATATATATATATATATATATATATATATATATATATATATATATATATATATATATATATATATATATATATGCCGGTCATTTTAGTATGCCAATACGCATCCCGTACTTTAGTTTTTATTTCCAGCATTTCTTCGAGAGGGGCATCTTCCCCATGATACATAAAAAAATTCTCTAACAGTTTAACTGAAGATAGGGCTTGTTGAATGGTTGGTTCCTCACCCTTTCTTGCTTGTTGTAATATGGCTTCCTCTGTCAAGTCTGCCGTTGTAGGCAAATCCTGATCCACCACCATAAAATCTTGCAACCACTCACTTGTAAACTTAATTGTTGTTTGAAACTGCTTTATCCACTCGCTTAGTGACTGATCATCTTCCAAGTCCTGTTCGCATTCTGTCTCGGTAATAAGTCCTGCATGACGATAGGAGTGTTGAATTTTTTCTGCTGTCATCTCTTTCCAAGCTTTACTAATAAAGTTGAATGCATCTAGCACATTAATGGAAAATTTGTCTTCGGACTCGATCATTTAAAATAAAATGTTTTTCCGTATCGACTCTTAACACTTTTTATTACCCGCTGGTCCATCAGCTGCAATACACTTGTTGTTTTGGCTTGAAGAAGTGTCAATTCAATATTCCGTAGATTTGGAATATGGGGATGTGCAGGGCCGTTATCTAAGAGAAGTAATATTTTCCTCCCATTTAATTCTGCATCCCATTTCCATATCTCCTCTTCAAAAATTTGCGATGTCATCCATGCATACTTCTTTGCTTTGTAAGTGACCGGCAAATGCTTGATGTTCTTAAAACATCGTGGGTTAGGTGATTTTCCAGCACGATTTGCTTTCTTTTCACTTTCGCTTCGAAATTTAAGAGTTTTATTTGGCGTCGTTTTGTAAAAAGTACTAGTTTCGTTAGCATTAAAAATGTCGTCGTGAGTGACGTTTCTGTCAGCTTCGCCACTTATCTATCCATAATTTATACCATGTCTCTGTTTGAACTTCCCCAACCATCCTTCCGAAGCCTTGAAATCGATAATGCCAAGCTGTTCAGCAAACTTTTCTGCTTTTAGTTTTACAATGGGTCCAGATAGTAGTACATTTTCAAGACGTTGCTGTTGGAACCACTGCAACATTGCCCGATCCAAAGCTTCAAATTTTTTCTTTCTTAGTTTTTTACTAGAACTGCCTACCGCTTCAGCCTGAATGATTTTTTCTTTGCACTTCCAAATCGTGGATACAGTCGACGGCGTAAGTCCGTATCGACGTCCCACATCACTTTTCTTTTCTCCCCGTTCTATTTCCCGAATTAAGCTACCGTTGACCGTCGACTGTATGCACGATTTGGAAGTGCAAAAGAAAAATCATTCAGGCTGAAGCGGCAGGCAGTTCTAATAAAAAACTAAGAAACCCAAAATTTGAAGATTTGGATCGGGCAATGTTGCAGTGGTTCCAACAGCAACGTCTTAAAAATGTACTACTATCTGGACCACCCATTGTAACTTTGTAATCCATTGTAACCCATTGTAATTGAAACAATGGCCTGCTTTTATACATGTCGATAAAGACATTAACATAATCGCTTATTACAACACTTAGGACGACCAGGCTCTCAGTAATTAGATTATTAGGGTACGGAATTCTGAGAAGATAAGAGACTCTATTAATTACAAGTCGGCCTACATTCCTAACTTTATATATAGAGAGTGATAAATTCGTTATACAGAGTGGATTAATACATAACTTTGTATGGAGACCTAATAGTGCAACAAATTTTGTTCGTAATACAGAGTTTCGCTATAAGGAGTTTTCACTGTATATGTATGTATATGTATGCAGTGAACAGCCAAAGCGGGTCAAAAAATGTCTTATTTTGTATCAAATTTCACTTTTTTTTTCCTTATTCATTTGTGAAGTAATATCTGGAGATTTCACTCACTTGTCGAGGAAAATGGGGAGAATGGCCATCCAGTTGAAACCATCCGGCTGATTTGGATCCGGGAAAGAATCTGGGCATTTTGAATAAATTATAGATATCTGGCTCCAGTGAGATTTTGATGATAGAAATAAGGTCTAGTAATTTTCTTATTCAAAGTCTCTTTCCAAACGTTTTTGTGGATGTTAAGTACGATCTTGATACCTATTATGTTGTTTATTTATAGTCCAGGGTGGTCCTTCTAAGATGTTATCTCATACAACACAGAGAAAAAAAGTGTTTGACCCTAAGTATATATTTTAATTATGGTATTTTTATCTATACAGGGTTGGACCAGGTCAGCAACCAACTTAATTTTTTTAAATGCTATGAATATATTAAATAATTCTAATTATCTCTTCATTTTCAGAATATTTGCCATTAAAATTCGCGTCTTTGTAAAATTATTGCCAGGGATCCATGGAACTGGCGAAAATATATTATACAGAGTAGTCACAAATGACCTTCAAAAAATGATTTTCCGAATTAGAAAAAATATATTTTTTTGAATTGTACACCCAGTAACTATCACTTTCATTGGGTTTAATTCTTTATCATTTCACATATATCGCTTTTATGGAAAAAATTGGTAGTTTAAAGTTATCTCCAATTTTGGATTTTTGAAGTGTAATGGTTTATTTCAGGGTATTCCTCCATAACAGAATTACAGGATTCGAGAATAGCTGAAGCAATATGACAACATTTATTGTTTGACACATCCTGTATACTTTCCCTTTACTGCAAAAGAAGCCGCTTGCCGCTTAATAATTTTTAATAATTTTGGAATAATTTGCCATAAAGGAAGGGTCAAAAATGGCCTCTTTAACGATTTTGCTTATTGTATTTGTAGTTAGTCTCGGCTAGTTGTAGTTTATTTACGCTGTTCACTTTTGTTTTGCCGTTTAGCAGTTTCTAAATTTTTTAAAATAATATTACAATAATTTGAAATATAAGAAGCTATTTTCTTAATGTTATTTCCGGTTAGTCTTGGTTAGTATTAGTTTAGTTAAGCGATTCACTTATATTTTACTTTTAACCGTTTTTCCTATATTTTTTAGTAATTTAGAAATAATTTGCCATAAAAGAAGGATCAGAACTGGCCCTTTCCACGGTTTTCCTAATGTTATTTGTGGTTAGTCTTGGTTAGTTTTGGTTTGGTAACGAGGTGTGCTTATATTTTGCCTTACCAGTTATATTATATGTATTTATATTATATTTTTTAGTAATTTAACAATAATTTGGTTTTCAAAATTTTGAATAATTTTGCTATAATTTGCAATAACCAAACCTAGTTACCAAAAACTAAACCAATTATTTAGTATATGATATTTATATTTAATAATTGATTCTAAGTTATATTTATTTAGGTATGTCGCAACAGAATAAAACAAAAATTTAACCAAATTTGTTTTACATAGTCACAAATCACAGACGAATAATAATAATAATATTTTTTAAATAAATTATGCAGCCAACTCACAGCTTATCTATTAATTTATAGGGGCGTATCAGATAGTCCGCACACACATATCTCAGAAATTTGTTACGACACCTTAGCAATATTCAGCCATAGTCCTCCGTCTATTGCAGTGATGAACGCTCCCCTCTGAATGCCTATCGGCGCTCGCGTTTTCTCGTTCAAACTGAAACTGTATCTCCGCAGCAGCGTTGCAATACCAACTCTACTTTGTAGCATTCCAAACCTCAGACCTGCAACAGGAAAATCATATTATGGTATAATACGACCAAAAATATAGTGCATTTATTGCTTTGACGTTTTAAGTATTTTGCAGTACCTTAACAGCAGACCGTGGTAAAACCCATCCCAACAGATAACGAATATTTGTAGAAACATAAAATTTGTATTTGAATAGACCGTTTCAAATATGATTAAACATTGATGCTGAGGGGTATTTTCTAATAAGTAGAAGCTTTTATTTTAACATTAGATGATATGTATCGTTCTTAAGACCTTAATCTAAATTCTGTCTAAATATATTACGGAGGTATGTGATCCTTCCGGTAAGTACATATTTATGAACCTGTACTCTATTTATCTTACAGGTAAGTTTGAAAATAATCATGTCTTGTGTGCCTGTCGATTAACAACATTCTTCATCTTGTATTTTTGTGTCTTATACATAGTTCTTCGATTTGTAAACAACAATAGTCTTTTTTAAGACTGTTCGCGGTAGATAAAGGTACGTCATAAGAAGGTTCCTTGTTTTTTAACACTTTAAAATGTGGAGACCGTGGAATGAAGCAGATGTTCCCCTGTTAGAAGAAAATATGGTAAACAACTCCAAATTTGAAGACGAAGTGGAGATGGTAGTCGAACCTAATGACAATTTAGAAGACGAACCACCTCAGCAAATAAAAAAACGGATCCATTTGTCTTCGGATGCTAAACAAATGTTTACAATTTTATAAGAAATTCAATAGGGGAAGTAGGAACAGCAATGAAAACAAGTGACATGACCAAAGTTGAGAAGTCAACTGTAAAGAAAATTGTTGCCAATGGGATAGTCAAGAGGAAAGTGAGAGAAGATGCTGGTCCTTCGTGAGTTTATAAAGAGTAACACAGATCTTATTAGGCGTATAATCCACGACGCTTATAAAGTGAATAAAAGAATAAAAGAATTGCATAAAAAAGTACTGACAGACTTAATCATTAGTTGTGCCAAAGAATGGTTGCGTACTTTTTTGAGGAAAATGGATTTTCACTTCCAAACAATTAATAAACGTCAAGTACTAATGGAATCTCAAAGAATTTCGCAACGGAGTGGATTAATTAAATGCAATTGAAACATTTCGAGAGCAAAATAGGTCAATAGCGTAGTTAGACGAAATGTGGTTCGGCACTCACGACGCAGTTACAAAGAATGACGATTAGATTGACTTTCACAGAATCTTTACCATTTTCTTGACAAAGCTCATAAAGATAATATATGGGCGATGAATCCCATCTAAATTTTAAGGTGGTCAAATATTGACTCTCCTCTACTTTTTATAGCGAAGTTTGAATAAATTTTAATAGGCCAATCTTCAATTATTGCATTCCTCCATACCATTGCCAGTTGAATGATATTGAGATGCTACGGTCTGCGCATCAAAGAAAATCCGACCAGTCTCGAGGCGTCTAAATTATGAACTGTCTTTTGAATACTCGAAAAATTTTGTCCACCACACAGAAAGGGTGATCCAAGAAGCTTGGACCACGATACAGATATTTGATGCTTCAGACGTTGAGTTTATAAGTTATATTCAGTATTTAATAACCAGATTTGGTAATCGTTCACAAAGTATACAAAAAACATGGTCAGACAATATCACCACACAACTCTACAGTTCTACTATATCTAGCAGAAACATGTGTCTCAGCTCTGGTGCTGCAGAAGGGTTATGGGAATACCATGGATGGAAAAAAACTTCAGAGAGGAGATGAGGATAATCTGGAATCACTAAACTGGAAACAATCGAAGGTGCAAGGTCTGGAGGTAGATCACCAACACGCTCGACTGATCAAGTAAGGGCATCCACTGATCTATCCAGGCATTTCGAGACCTATAATTAAGTATGCAACCAAAAGAGTTTAAAGCTCTGATTTCGACTCCTGTGTTACGACTTTGTTTTGACTTTTTTTTATACAGATGATTTATTTTTACCTAAATAGATGTTTTAACGTTTATAATGTGGTATTTATATGATTATTATGAAATTTAAATGCATTTTTCTTCCTTGTTTGCAGCGAGTTTAAATTTGACCTGTATATGTGGTCATCACGTAATATTTACCCAAGCACATGCGAGGCCCTTCACCGAAGGGCAAATACGTGTAATCTACGATGTTGGATTTGTTTTCTTCGTCGAACCTTTCCGGGATGAATTTGTGCGGATCCGGGAAATAATCCGGGTCCGTTTGCAGTCCCAATACAGGAATTTCTATCGAAGTGCCTTTTTCTATTTCCACGTCGGTGCCTGGTATGGTGTAGCTCTTGGTGCACATTCGTGGAAGAACGGCAACGGGTGGATGGAGCCTCAGCGCTTCTGCAAGCATGAATGGTTGCGTTGGTTAGAACTGGCGATATATCAATCACTCTTGACAAAATAAATAAGAACTGAAAGTTCAGGTTTTCACGAAATTTTATATATTCACGTAACAATTGTTTCGACAACACCCTGTCTTTATCAAATATAATATTTACAAACTACCTGCTACTATATATACCGAGAAATGACAATAAAATTTGATCGTTAAGCAATACATTTGAATGTCTCGTTTTGTTAATCTCCATGGCTTCCAATAAATTTAACTTTCTACGTTTTGTGGCTGTATGTAAAATATCAAAGTTGTCGTCAAAAATGTGTGTAGAATAATTGGAATCTAGACTATTGTTTTTAAACGCTCTTTTATGTTCGTTGGTACGTTTCTTGAAGGATCTACCTGTTCATCCAATATACATTTTAGGATAAGATCCGCATTTCAATATGTAGACACCTGGTTTTTGAAATTTTGGACATTTTTTTTTATTGTTTTATGAAAAATTTTCCTATTGTGTTAATACTTCTGAAAGCTATTTTTAAACCACATTTTGACAAATGTTTTGAAACTTTTTCACTGGGTTCCCCTATATATGTAATTTTTTTTGAATTGTTCGTGTTCTGTATTAAGTTTCTGATATATAGAGTTTACTGTTGTCTGGATTTTTTGATGATGTTTGCTTTTGCGTTAATATATTAAAAATAAACATAATTTGTCAGCGGGTGCGAATGTTTTCTATTAGCAAATATATTGGATAATTTCCAAAAAAAATTCCAATTCACGCTTGAAATTGAGAACCAAAATACTATTAACTTTTTGGACTTATCCCTACATCACATACAAAATGAAATAAGAAAAAGTTGGTATACTAAAAAACAAAATCATCACGTTATCTAAATTTTAAATCTAATCAAACCCTAGCCCAAAAAAAACAGTCATAATAGGTCTCGCAGACAGCGCAATAATGTTATCCCATTCAGAATAAAAACCAGACGCAATTGAAAAAGCAAAACGCGCACTTCTAGAAAATAATTATCCCAAAAACTTAATTAACAATATCTTTAGTAAACGTACCAACAAATTTTATAATAACGTAAAAAAAAACCAACACCAAAATCCTCAAAGCAAATATATATCGCTGCCCTATATGCCTTGATTATCAGAAAAACTCCAAAGCATTTTCAAGGAACACAAAATTCAAATATTACACAAAAGTTATAATTTACAAAAAACATATCTCTTTACTAAACTCAAAGCAAAAATTCCAGTTGAAAAAAGAAGTAATGTAATATTTAAAATTCCGTGCTCTAATTGGTACAGTGCGTATATAGAACAAACAAGCCAGTAGATATTTAAAAAATAGAATCAAGTATAGCAAAAAAAAATAAAACAGCACTTCATGCCCATTGTGACAACACCAAACACACATTTAATTTTCAAACAGTTAAGCTCCTACTAACAGAACCTAACACCAAAAAAAGAAAACTTTATGAAACTATAGAAATCCAAAAAATCAATTAATTATAAAACCGATTCTAAAGGCCTTAACAAAATACATCATTCAATTTTAAACTAACAAAATTAAATTATGCAATATATTTACCAATAAAAAACATCCGTATCTGCTTTGCATGCCATCCCAATCCGCATAAAATATTTGCTGACAAATTATGTTTACTTTAAATATGTATATGTATGTATAAGGTTGGAGTCTAACCTGAGCGCCAGCCAAGACATTACATTTGGCAAACTAATGTACATTGACAGATTAATATCTTCTTTAATTGGACTTTTCCAACCGTTTAATAGAAAGATTGCCTGTTATAACTTGAAGTCGCTTAGACAGTTCTACTCTTCCCTCAAGGATACAACCCCCATCCAACAAAGAGGTAATGTTGTATATGGTCTGAAATGAGAATGTGAAGCCTATATATAGGACAGACGTCGCAAAAATTTAAAAAAAGAATAATAGCCTTAGCCTTAGTTCACACGGCAATAGTACTAACCATCAAATTGCATATAACAATCCAATTGTTTTTTAACCGAAAACCCCTAAAAGAAAATTCCTGGAGATGTGTTACATCCATCTCTGTGACAATTGATGTGTTCTTAGTAGTACTTATATTTATTTATTGCAAAAAAAACCATCCCCCCTGATAATTTCAGGATAGTGGCCCTGTAATGTTGTTTTTTGCATTAGCGTTCACTTTCACTATTTTTTTAATTCTCATTCGTATTTTAACAACTACGTTCTGTTAACTATGCCCTAAGTTTCTTCTAAGATTCTTTCCGTCATAATATATTCTACGGTATGTAAAGCCAATGGTTGCTTGTCATTTAAATTGTGTTTCCCTATTTTAATATGTCGGCATAATTTGTTTTTTTTTTTTAATCAGACTGTTTTAAGTAATTATTTTGTGATTTGATGTTTGTTTGATATTGATGTTAACCTAAGAATGACTGTGTAAATTTACCAGATCATTTGTAATCCTCGTTTCGGATGGAGTGTTTTCTCGTGTTTTTAGTTGTCCTGTGGAAGCCTATATCCATGGGCGAAAGCTTGACGTTTACAATAAATAACCAATAACAAGCTATCAGAGCTTTTATTTTGCTTCCTCTACTGTGGGCCATCCCTGCGTTATATTCTGTTTTTGGACATTACCAGTAGCCCGATACTTCCAGTATTTAAAATTTTCACTGACAGCACTGTGAGTCAATACCAGATTCTAATGTAAGCAAATTAAGCGAATCCACGTCGTAATCCGAAAACAATAGCTAAGATTATGAAATACGCATTACACTCACCTTGAATCACACGTTCGGTGTATTTCATATCCATAACGGCGTCGTAGGTCAACTTCCCTCCGTGGTTCCTCAAAACCCGGTCCACCTCCTCCCTTATTTTCACCTGCACTTCGGGATTTTGAGTGAGCTCGTACAGAGTGTACGTCATGGTGGTCGCCGAGGTTTCGAATCCCGCTAAGAAGAAGAGCACGCACTGGCCGGCCACCTCAAACTCAGTGAGGGTGTCCGCCCCCATTCCGTCCTCCGTTTTGAGGAGTTTCCCGTCGTCGCTCAAATATCCCCTGTTCTTTAGCTGGATCATGAGGTGCATGAAGTCCTTCTTGAAGATATTGTTCTTCTCGCGGTATTCGATGGTGTCCTTCACAATCCTAACGAAGAAGTTTTCGATGAGCTTCGCGCCATGATTTCCGCGCGACCTCTCGTCTATTAGAGCAGCCGCCAACACTTGAAACAGATTGCGGATTTCCGTCCTGGGCGTAAACAGGATGTCGCCGTACTTTCGAAACTCCGTATCAGGATGGTCCATTGAGTTGCATTCGATGCCGAACGCACAGCTTCCGATGATGTCGGTGGTGAACCTCGCCAATATGTCTTTAATGTCGACGCCTCCTTTGTTCACCTCTTTGTCCACCAAAGCCACGAGGCCGGCGGCTTTTTCCGCGATCACCTCGAACATCATCTTCATCTTGCCGGAAGTGAATACGGGCGTCAACTTCCGTCGCAACTGACGCCAAGGGTCGCCTTGCATGTTGAACAGGTTAGCGCTAAGGATGTTCTCGTGGTGGAATTCCCTGGAATGCGCTATGAAATGCTCGAAATCTGTAGTCAGTATGCGCTTGACAATCGAAGGATCGATGGGTACGAAAATCGGCTTATACATGAGGTACACTCCTCCGTACTTGGCGTTCTTGCGCTTGAATCTGGAGTAAAAATCCAGGAACACGTCTTGCCTGGCCTTGTCATTTCTCACGACTTGTTTGCTGTCTCCGTACAACGGTTCGGGATCGAGCTGGGGCACTCCGCGTCTTTTCCAGTAGCCGTGCAGATAATCGGAGTAAAATTTCAGCAGCAAATATAAGCCGCTCAGCACCACAGCGGAGACTAGCAACGCCGACATCTTGTGATGATTCGGAGACGCGACCGTTGATATTATATACGCCGCGACCTTCCTGATAAGCACGATTTAACGCGATAACACATTAGGTGCTAATACCGCCGATTCTGATAAATATAATGGAATCTACATGCCCGCCTCTAGGGCAGGCCAAGCACCCAACACCATACTCAAGCGTCGGAAGAAATGATTAACTGGCGGTAACGCTGCTGGGAGATATTATTAATTTTTCGTATAGGCGGTAGCTCAAAGAAGCGTGACGAATAAAACAAAACTTCTGGATTCCTCCTGCGTCGGTTTTTGCTTAGTCGAAATCGCTGACGTTTTGCCAATTATCATGTCGGCTTCTTCAGAGCTTGACCGACTTGACAGTTTCAGTCAAGTAAATCTTGAATCACTTTTTGAACCACCTCGTATATATCATTTTAAATTCTCCCCTATTTGCCCTTATTTCTGTCTTGGGAAAACCTTTCAAGAATTAAGTGTGAATAAGGCTACTCTTGACTATGTAGCAAACAATTTACAGTTAGCATTGGTTAGAACTATTTAATTAATACGAAATACGACAGACTTAATCAAAAATTTACCATCTAATTATTTAAGTGTCCCATAATGACAGTTTTAACTCAATAATGCATTGTTATATCGCAAGGAGGCATCTGACTATGAAAATTGTATTTTGTTTTGTCTTAGGTGTCTTGCTAATTTGTTGTCTTGTTATTTGAGTTACATTCATTGCTTACGATAAATAGATCAATAGGTCTCAGGCATTCGTTTAGAAGGTAATTGATAAATATTGGTACAAAATACGTGCGTTCGAGGGCATCCAACTAAACTGCTTTTCTAAAATAGCTAATTAATTTTTTTTTATATCATTGCATATTTTTTTTAACGAAATTCAGTTAAGAGAAATCATAGGGGTAATGCAGAAAGTGTGCCGTTTACGAAAATCGAGATTTTCCAATTTAAAATGATCCAAATATATTCGTTTATTTTAAACACCCTGTAGCATCTACTCCAAATTCCGTTGTATACATTTTTTGCGTCAACTTCGAATAAGTGTCAAAAAAATTGGGAAAACAATTCAAAAGTTTTTCAAGAATTTCAAATTGTCCATTAAAAAAAAAGTTTACACCACCCACACTACAATATAATGTTAAATTGTGCATCCTAACAATTTTTACAACTTCCGTATTTACCAGTTCCTCAGACCAATAAGATACTGAATTTTACTCTATCGTTGGTTTACCCTATATACATTAATATAATATACTATTTAGAATAACAAGCTGTCTGTGTGAAAAATTAAAAAATCTATAATGGATTAATAAAGTAATTATTAGGAAGTTACGTGAGTGTAATGATTCTGCGACTCATGATCATAATACATCCAACGCAAACCTTCATAATAAGCACGATTTAACTAGATGACACATTAGATGACGTATAAATAACATTAATACTGATAAATATAACGATATCTACATGCCAGAATACCCACCTGACACCATACCCAGGTGCTGTTTGCAACTTCGTAAAATTCGTGAAAAGATTTCAAAATAAAAAAGAACTAAAAGTTCAGATTTTCACGAAATTATATATTTTTACATGACAATTGTTTCGACAACACCGTGTGTTTATCAAATGTAATATTTACAAACTTCCTGTTGCTATATATACCGAAAAATGACAATAAAACTTTAATTAATATTATTGTGAGAATTTCAGTTTAATAAAGGAGGGGTATTTAAATCAAATTGATCGTTAAGCAATTTTGAATGCCTCATTTTGTTAATCTCCATGGCTTCCAATAAATTTGATTTTCTACTTTTTGTGGCTGTATGTAATATATCAAAATTGCCGTCAAAAATGTGTTTTTCTGTGTTTAAGTGTGTAGCATAATTAGAATCTAGACTTTTGTTTTTTTTAAACGCTCTTTCATGTTCGTTAATGCGTTTTTTGGAGGATCTACCTGTTTGTCCAATATAAATTTTAGAACATGATCCGCATTCGACCTGCAGACACCTGATTTTTGAGATTTTGAACACTTCGTTTTATTGTTTTTTAAAATTTTCCTATTGTGTTGCTGGTTCTGAAAGCTATTTTTAAACCACATTTTGACAAATGTTTTGAAACTTTTTTACTGGGTTCTCCTATGTATGTAATTGTTTTAAATTGTTCGTGTTCTGTATTAGGCTTCGGATAAATAGAGTTTACGGTTGTCTCGATTTGTATTTTATTTATAATTTTATCTAAAATGGACAGATTGTAGCCGTTGTTCAGTGCAATTTCTTTAATGATATTAAGTTCTTTGTTGAAATTTTCTGTTGAGAGTGGCGTATTAAGAAGTCTGTGTATAAAAGAGTGAAATGCAGCCATTTTGTGTGTCAAAAGGTGATTTGAGCTGTTATGTATGACCGTGTCCGTGTGCGAAGGTTTATGATAAATGGAAAGATCTAATTTATTTTGCGTTTTCGTGATAGTTAAGTATAAAAAATTAATAGAGTTATCCTGTTCAATCTCGATAGTGAATTTTATACGATTATGTAATGAGTTATTGTAATTTAAAATAGAATTCAATTGTCTGTTAGTTCCAACAAAGCAAGCAAAGACATCATCCAAGTATCTATACCACCATAGAAAAATTTTACTTAAAGAATGTTCTGGTATGATATTTTCCAAATTATCCATAAAAATCTCGGCTAACAAAGGACTAAGTGGGTTTCCCATAATTAAACCTTCCTTAGAGATGTAAATCTGTCCATTAAATTCAAAATAATTTTGGTCTAAAGATACTATTAAGCAATCTAATAAATATTGTTTCACCAATTGGTTAACCTGTTTCCGAGTTAGGGTGAAATCTGCTAAATGTATCACATCTATAGGTGGAACACTGGGAAATAAGTTCTGAACGTGAGAAGGGAGACCTAATACAGAACATGAACAATTTAAAACAATTACATACATAGGAGAACCCAGAGAAAAAGGTTCAAAACATTTGTGAAAATGTGGTTTAAAAATAGCTTTCAGAATTAACAATACAATAGGAAAATTTTTAAAAAACAATAAAAAGAAATGTCCAAAATCTCAAAAATCAGGTGTATACAGGTTGAAATGCGGATCTTGTCCTAAAATTTATATTGGACAAACAGGTAGATCCTTCAAGAAACGCATTAACATAAATAATCCAGATTCTAATTATTCTACACACTTAAACACAGAAAAACACATTTTGGACGACAATTTTGATATTTTATATACAGCCACAAAAAGTACAAAATTAAATTTATTGGAAGTCATGGAGATTAACAAAATGAGATATTCAAATGTATTGGTTAACGGTCAATTATTTATTTTTCGGTATATATAGTAGCAGGTAGGTTGTAAATATTACATTTGATAAAGACACGCTGTTGTCGAAGCAATTGTCATGTAAAAATATATAATTTCGTGAACATCTGAACTTTTACTTCTTAGTTATTTTGATAAATGGATTTTCATCAATTAAAAGGAACCTCAGTTCAATTTTTGAAAAGATTTCACTTTACGAATCAAAAAATTAATAAAAACTTTGTTAAAAGCTCGAGCAGCGTCGCTCAGCGACCCCAGTTTAAATATTCCATGCATATGCGGTATAAATACATTACGAAAATAGAACAACATGGGAACAATAGATTTATTGATTTTCGGAGATTTGTTGAGCACTTTCTAATAGTATATTTTGCAACAAGTCTGATAAGGTCTACTTTAGTCACAAGTTTGGTTTGGCACGAGTGAGTATCCCATTTACACGAGTTTTCGAAAATCAACGATCAGTTGATCATGATATAAGATATAAGATATAAGCAACCTAACAATCTTAATTACGACTGAGGTCTCTACCTGTCACCAATATGGGAATCAGTCATCCGAGATGGCGTAAATGCCCCTCATTTAGCTCCGCCCCCCTCAAACAATATAAAAGCAGGTACAGAGTAAAAAGCGAGCCAGTTTCAATCAAGCTCCGAAGAAGCCAACAGGCGAAACCTCAGCTAGTTAGAGTCAACAAAAACCGACGCAGGAGAAATCCAGAAGTTTTATGAAAAGCAACCCGTATGTTCCATCTAAAATGGTATAGCAGGAAACAGTGCCCTATCCTTCCAAGATTATTATCATTTAAAGTTCAACTTATTTTGTTAAATAAAATTAAATTAAATTGAAAATTGCTTAAAAATCTAGGATTTTTTTTATTTTTATAACGGTAAGACATAGGGAAAACTTAACAAAGTCCACTTTATTTCAATTTAAACTGAGCGAGATGTGACAACGTCGTATAAATTCAAGTAAATCCGTCGGTCCCTTCGAACTTTTGAATTGCTCAGTCTACGAAGTCGATGTGGCCAATTGCGGTATCCAAATTCGTCACGAAACATTGGCGATATCTACCCATAGTCCACCTTCCACCGCGCCCCTGGGATACGCCAATGATGTCCGCGTTTTCGCGTTCAAACTAAAACTGTATCTCCAGAGTACGGTCGCGATGCCGACTTTGCTTTGTAGCATGTTATTTATCTAACATTATTAACTATTATTATTATTAATTAATTATACTAAGATAATTTCATATTTTTATATTCGTATTATACTGACAATATCCAACACTTGTAACTCAAGTCTTATAGAAATAAAGATATCTTTATGTATCTTTTACATAAACTTCGAATGATATTGATATTAAATTTGAGTGACCTTTAAACATAATGGCAGTATGGTATAACATTCTCTCGGTATAGAATTACCACGTTTTCTTGTATTGTAAGAATGTAACATTTTCACAAACATAATCAGGAAGACACTGCTGCTTAATTTTAAAAATCAATACATAGACATTAAACATACGTGTTTGTTTTTTACGGGCAAGAAATAAAGTACACTCAACATGCTTTGAATTTGTGTTCTTATTAATAAAAAATGTAGAAGGATTTTAACAGGAATTCGAAACAAAATTTGAAAAATATTTGACACATTTGGGACACCCTGTATATTTTTAATTAATTTTAACTTGTATCTCCGTTGTCTAATGAGTTATTGAAGTGTTTAAAAAACGTTCGTATCTGATTTTTTCCGTACAATCCAGTGGCGTAGTTGAAGCAAACATATATGTTTTTAAATGGAACACCCTGTGTATTGTTTTTTATATTAATTGAAAATTATTTAAGCTTCTCAGAAATATAGATTAGCATAAGGTTGTTTTGAAAATTAAGCTCAAAATTTATATTTTTTTCATCAATTAAAAGCAGTATATTTTAAAATTCGTTACGAACTACTATTGGTAATAATTTGTAATTTATTATACATTAATTAATACGAAATAACATTATATCTAAAGCATATAAAAATAATATTATGCCTAAAACTATTTTTCTATATGAATGTCACCCTCTATCTCAAAAACCGAGGGGGCCATGACGATTTCGTTGATGGAACTTTTCATGTTGCAAAAAGTAGCGCAGTGTCGCGTAACTCGCAATTTTCTATCTTAAAAAATAACGGAGATACCATATAAAAGTGCCCAAAATGAGATACCCTTTATATAGAGGCAAGGACACGCTGAGGCTGAATTCCTTTTATCATGATTATCCTACCCGAAAAAGTTAAATCTGTGTTTGTATAATAAACTGCCATCAAATGTTACAAAAATTAAAAAAATACATTTTAGATCCAATAACATGGGGTCGTTTCATCTTAATCATATGAAAATACAAGTTATAATTTAAAAACTTAAACGTCATGACATCCAAGACATCCAACAATAAATATACAGTCGAAACTCTATATAGCGAAATTGAAGGGACTGCTTTTTTTTCGTTTTAGTTACAAAAAGTTATAGGCACTTGAAAAATAAGTATACGCATATATGTTCTGTAATATTTAATTATTTTATATACATATTGTAACATCTACTTAGGAACACCTTATATAAATATTTAAAAACTACATTTAATGTTTCAAATAATCGGTCTTTTTTTTTAATTTTTTTAGTATGCCAATACCCATCCCGTAGTTCGGCTTGTATTCTCACTATTTGTTCGAGAGGGGCATCTTCCCAATAATACATAAATAATTTCTCTAGCAGCTTAACTGAATATAGGACTTGTTGAATGGTTGGTGGTGGTTCCAGACCAACTCCTTCAACTTCTTCTTCCTCTTGGTGCTCTTCCTCACCCTTTCTTGCTTGTTGTAATATGGCTTCCTCTGTCAAGTCTGCTGTTGTAGGCAAATCCGGATCTATCACCATAAAATCCTGCAACTCCTCACTTGTAAACGTAATTGTTGTTTGAAACTGTTTTATCCACTCGCTTAGTGGCTGATCATCTTCCAAGTCCTGTTCACATTCTGTCTCGGTAATAAATCCTGCATGACGATAGGAGTGTTGAATTGTTTCTGCTTCACCTCTTTCCAAGCTTTACTAATAAAGTTGACTGCATCTAGTATATTAATAGAAAATTTGTCTTCGGACTCGATCATTTCCATTAAAATGTTTTTCCTGTATCGACTCTTAACACTTTTTATTACCCGCTGGTCCATCAGCTGCAATACACTTGTTGTTTTGGCTTGAAGAAGTGCCAATTCAATATTCCGTAGATTTGGAATATGAGAATGTGCAGAGCCGTTATCTAAGAGAAGTAATATTTTCCTCCCCTTTAATTCTGCAAAAATTTGCGATGTCACCCAAGCAAACTTTTTTGCCTTGTGACCAGAAAATGCTTGATGTTCTTAAAACATCGTGGGTTAGTTGATTTTCCAATCATGATTAGCCAATCGTTAGTGATGTTTCTGTCGACATCAACATCACGTGCTTCGCCACTTATCTGTTCATAATTTATACCATGTCTCTGTTTGAACTTCCCCAACCATCCTTCCGAAGCCTTGAAATCGATAATGCCAAGCTGTTCAGCAAACTTTTCTGCTTTTAGTTTTACGATAGGTCCAGACGTCGCTGTTGGAACCACTGCAACGTTGCTCGATCCAAATCCTTAAATTTTGGCTTTCTTAGTTTTTTTACTAGAACTGCCTGCCGCTGATGAGTTTCCTTTGCAGTCGACGGTGTAGGTCCGTATCGACGTCCCACATCACTTTTCTTTTTTCACCGTTCTATCTCCCGAATTAAAGCAACTTTATCATCTAGAGATAAAATTTTTCGCTTACTCGCCATGCTCGCCGTATTCACTAGGTCAAATTAGAATTCATTGAAACAATGGTGTGCTTTTATACATACCGATAAAGGTATTACATAATCGCTTATTACGAAAAAAACGCTTAGGACATCCAGGTTCTCGGTAATTAGATTATTAGGGTAAGGAATTCTGAGTAGGTAAGAGACTCTATTACTTTGTTACCTGATGTGGCCTTTTTTCTTTCGGTATAGAGAGTAAGAGATTCGTTATACAGAGTGGATTAATAAGGGGTGTTTTTTTTTTTGATGTATAGAACTTTAAGTTGAAATAAAACAACGATGGATTATTCGATTGACATGACTTTTATTTATCCGAAAGATAATCTTGTGGCATTACATTTTAAATAAAATTTCTGGCATATGACCGCCACCGCTGGCGCGGATGTAGTCCAATCTGGACGTCCAATTTTCGATGACTTTTTCCAACATTTGTGGCCGTATATCGGCAATAACACGGCGAATGTTGCCTTCCAAATGGTCAACCGTTTGTGGCTTATCCGCATAGACCCATGACTTTACATAGCCCCACAGAATGTAGTCTAGCGGTGTTAAATCACAAGATCTTGGAGGCCAATTCACAGGTCCAAAACGTGAAATTAGGCGATCACCAAACGTGTCTTTCAATAAATCAATTGTGGCACGAGATGTGTGACATGATGCGCGGTCTTGTTGAAACCACATCTCCTGGACATCATGGTTATTCAATTCAGGAATGAAAGAGTTAGTAATCATAGCTCTATACCGATCATCGTTTCTGAAGAAGGACGGATAAATGATTCCACCAGCCCATAAAGCGCATCAAACAGTCAGTTTTTCTCAATGTAACGGTGTTTCGACATACACTTGAGGATTAGCTTCGATCCAAATGCGGCAGTTTTGTTTGTTGACGTAGCCATGCAACCAAAAGTGCGCTTCATCGCTAAACAAAATTGGCTTATGAAAATCGGGAACAACGGCAATCTCGTTTTGGACCCATTCGACGAATCTACGCCTTATTTGATGATCGTTTGGCTTCAATTCTTGCACGAGTTAGATTTTGTAAGCACGTAAACCAAGGTTCTTCCGCAAAATCTTCCATAAAGTGGATGGATACAGATCCAATGCTACGCTCTACAGCAGCAATAGCTTCTTCTGTACGCACCGTACGGAGTCTCTGGGGATGCGAGTTATCAATAAGAGAAAATGTGGTGCGAAAATGTTCCATGGTTAATCGAATTAACTGCTCTGATGGACGATTTTGTCGACGATAAAATGGACGTAGTGTGCGATACGTATTCCACACAGAAGCATTATTTTCGAAATAAAATTGCACTATTTGCAAGCGTTGTTCAGGCGTGAGTCTAATCATGATGAATTGCCAAACCAAACTAAGAATAAATCACTTGAAATCTGTTAAATCGGTCGCCATCTTGAACAGTAATGCCAACTTAAAGTTCTATACATCGAAAAAAAACACCCATTACATAGCTTTGTATGGAGACCTAATAGTACAATAAATTTTGTTCGTTATACAGAGTTTTACGTTATATAGTGTTTCGATATATAGAGTTTTCACTGTATAAACAAATAATAAAATATTTGTGTTGGCTAAATGTTTTTATTTATTTTAATGCGTATTTGCTAGATCTGTTAGATCTGATGATGATGTTACTGACTTACTGATCTAAGATACATACAGATACTGTTTTTCTTTCAAAATATTACTACGTATCTTTGATTATGCAAACTTTTAATTATTTTTACGAGGTACGAACTTTCAAGACCTTCAATTTGGAGAAAGCTTTTAGCATGTGAATACTCAACTTCAGAAAATGCAGCAGTGTTTAATTTTAAGTTTAAATTTAAAAGACGATTTCTATAGATTTCTATAGATCAAGAATTATCGAGACTCTTTTTATGGTGAGATTAGCTTTTTTTTAAATTGAAAAATACGATTTTTGCAAAAACAATCTTTAAAAAAAATAAACTGGGGCCGTAATGCTGCAATAGTTTTTTTGCGATTACCCAAGCATATCCTGATTCCTTCGCCAAAAGGTAGAGGTGTAATCTACGATGTTGGATTTGTTCTGGTCGTCAAAACTTTCCGGGATGAATTTGTCCGGATCGGAGAAAAAATCGGGATCTGTTTGCAGTCCCAGTACAGAAATTTCTATTATCGTTCCTTTTTTTTCCACGTGGGTACCGGGTATTGTGTAGTTCTTGGTGCACATCCTTGGCAGAACGGCTACTGGTGGATGAAGCCCAGCGCTTCTACAAATACAGTTGAAAATATGCATTTGATTATTATTTCTTAATATATCGATCTATTTTCGAATCAATCAATCAACAAGGATATCCTAGATAATCTTTGCATGGAAATCGCAGTGCTAATACCAGATAATTATATAAAAATATTAGGTGGATGTGATTCGATATTTTGAAAAATAAAGGTACTTTTCTGTTGGTTCACAATTTTCCACGAGTCATGCTAAAAAAAAATTGCATCTGATGGATGCATTTGACTTTGTATAGGTCTTTGTTATACCTTTAAGACAAAGTCGAAATATTTAAACTTTGTGGACAATTTATTCATATTTATCATATTCAAAGGCTCTTCCGACATTTTTCTAGATTCTCTCCCGCAGCTGTTGCAGATAATCTTGGTCTAGTTAGGAACAGTTTATTTTTTAAATATCCCAATAAAAGAGATTAATGCGTCTAAATCTGGAGGGGTAAAATCCGTTCATAGATATAATCATGTTGAGATTAGAATCAACGTTTCCGATTAGACGTACTAACTAATAGTTATTATTTGAAACTATAATTAATTAGTTTTCGGATGTAGTTTGTCTCAATCTTCTTCGTGTTGGCTTTCGATGCACCCTCCCCAATAAAACTTCAAGGATTTTATTACTAATTAGCAAAAATAAAAATTCTTACTTGAGTGACAAGGCAGGGTGGGCCGGGTACATTTCTTTCTTTCTGACATATTTCTTGTGCGTTAAGCATTTGTAGCAGTGTTGAATAATCTTTTTCACTGTCAGTTTCGGAAAACAGGTTATGAAAAATGTGTATTAAAATTTAGTAGGACCTATTCAACAAGAAGCTTTAAAAGAAATCTGTCTACTTACACAAATGTAAATACCGTGTATAAAGGATATTATTCATAGTCGAGAATTGAAAAGAGAAATAAACGTAGTGACAATAGTGATCAGGACCTAATGAGAAGGAAAATAAATCGTCCTTGTCAAAGCGAAGTTGTTCCTACCCTGGATAAACTGGAAAAGAAACCAAAAGGAGGTGAAACCAATATATATAAAAGCCGTGCCACCCTCCATAGAGTTGTTTGTGAAACGGGAATTAAGTACTATGAAATAGACAAAAGGCGAATAGTAATGGAATCACACTTAGAGATTTAATTATCTTCAAGAAATTAAAAAATATGGATTAGACAAGCAGATGCATAAAAAATATAAAAAATTCTATTCTATTCCATTCTATGAATTTGATGTATATATTTAATGCCATTGTTGTTTCTAAGTGTAATTTAATAAACAAACTACTAAATAAACAAAAAAAAATATGTTATTAAAGTCTGTTCATAGACATAAGAAAGAAACTGATACGAATTAAGGAAAGACCCGGGCAAGCTGTAAGAATGAAATATGGCCGAACAGGTTCGTACTGTGCTTAGAATTTAATTATTTGTTTTTTTTTTAGGAATAATACTAAACAAATATTTATTTATTTATGTACCTATTTATAAAATTACAAATTATTTTTATTACTTATTTAAATTGGTTAAAATTATTCACATAATATCACTATCACTATAGTATCACTATCGCTATCATCGAGTGTTCTAATTATTATTTGTTCTCTATTATTTGCAATATAGATATACGATTGTTCTGCTATTTCTATATGTTTGAAAGAATTTGCCCAACTTTGTGGAGGGATGTTAAAAACTTCGGTTTCTATAAGTTTGAGGACATTGGAGATAATACGGAAAAAAAACATTGTTATGACGAATGGCAGATTTCAGTCGGTGCCTAATACGTTCAATGGGATTAAATATACAGTGGTAAGGTGGAAGCCTTAAAAATGTATGCCCTAGATTTTTTGCATAATTATCACGGACGTATTCCTTTTGTAGGTTCACGCTTTGTAGAACCTCAGTTAATTGCTTTTTGGTATAATCTTCGTGAAAATAAATGTCGTTATTATACATGTAGTTTTGGATTGTTGCTTTTGGGTCACATGAGGAAGGGGTTTTAGTCGACTGTCTACTGTGATAACTTGCATTGCCCTTTACAATGACGCTATTAGTAGGAATGTTTGGAACTAGTTTGATTTTAAACCAACTTTCAAATAAATCAGCGGTGGTGTCTTCATGGTAATTCAGAGAATAATCTTTAATATTTTTCGCAGACAGAGAAAGTCCATTTGGAATCCAACCATCTTTAGAGCCAGCATGCAAAATAGTTATTCTTTTACCTCTTTTCGATGGCGCGTTTGTTTGACACTTACCAGTCAACCCAACCCTTTTAAGGGGTATCATAAGTGTCGAACCAGGTTTCATCAAAGTAATTAATTGGCCTTTTGTCAATTTTTTTAAATCTAAAACCCATGTGTTGAATACACTTTCATAAGGTAGTTCTGCCACATTTATCACCGATTTGATCTTTTTCAAGCCTCCTAATTAAGATATCTAATGTAGGCACGCTTTGTTCCTCGTATAAATGGTAAATTTTACGCCGTATTATACCTTGATCACTTTCATCTACACTCGAGAAAATGTCAGTATCGCTTCTTTTCTTCGTCGCCTAAATGGGATTATTCACAATTTTCTATACAGTTGATGTTGGAATTTTCGTCAATGTGGCCGTTTCATCTAAAGATGGTACCACGTTCAATGAAAGTCAAATAAACATTGTTTATAACTTCCTTAGTCTCAATAGAATATTGTTTTCTACATTTAGGTGGGAGCATCTCCTGAGATACACTAGACTCGCACGAAATAAGAATGATTACTAATAAACTTAAACTAAGTATATAGCATAAAAAACCAAAGAATATTAAACACAGGTAGGTATAAAATTATTCTCTATTATGGCCCACAAATTTACCTGAATTTAAATTCCGAAACTTTAGGTAATAATCTTGTTGCATTGTATGTTAATGACAACCCTTGGATAATCCCGTCCAAAAGCAATTAGTCACTTTCTTATATCTATGAACAGGCCATACTATCTTGCTGGAAGTCTAGGTTATTGATTTTGTGCTTCAAAAGTTAAAATAATTCAGTAGTAGAGCCTATGGTCAAAGGCTCTTCTGACATTTTGTAAGATTTCCTGTATTCATCAACTGGTCTTTCACTCTGCTGTTGCAGACCTCTTGGTTTGGTTAAGAAGAGTTTATTTTTTAAATGCCTCGTAAAAAACTTTAATGAGTTTAAATGTGTAAATTACTTTATGTAGGTTATTGATGTTATGCTTCGAAAGTTATAATACAAGAAACAAAAATATTTTTTTTTCAAATTTTTTTTACAAGTAAGGACTACTTTCTTTCTGGGATTATTCTTCTGCACCCATCTGCTGTTCTGCTATTGCAGAGATCTTGGTCTAGTTATGGACAATTTACTATTTAAGTGACCCCTTAAAACAAATTGTTTAAATCTGGAACCATTCATATCTATTATTTAAAAATTCCCTCACAAAAGCAGCGTAGGTCTTTATTGGTGTTATGTTGGGGGATCATTTTCAATCGCTTCACTTATTAGCGGCCATCGATTTTGTTTATGAATATATTTCTGCGTTAACATTATCTTTGTCTTTGTGTCTTTGTCAGTATCATCTTCGCTTGGTCAATGAAAAAACTGAATTGGGATTCCACGTGACCTTGGTTATTGGTCCATACTGAACCAGTGGCTTCAAGTTCTGTGTTGGATGGTATAAATCATTGTCAGTGTTTATTTTTGTCATATAATTTTCGAAAAAATATGTAGCATATAGGAAAATTGAGTAAGTCGGCTGTTTGTTTTATAAAAATTTCTCGAAAATCTGAAATCGGGTGTGAAATTCGTGTGGTCGGATACATAGCTTTTCGAAAAATATGAATTTCCAGCAAAAGTAAAGTACACATTTATTTATATATCTATATATCTACAATGAACTCGAAAAGGTGAACATCACTGAAACCTTATCGGTTATCAGTAATATTCACCTTGGATTTTTATATAATTCCTGGGTATTAGAATTGATAATTTACGGATAGCGTTTAATAAAATTCTGTATCGTGGTAGAATAAATAACGATATTCTATCATCGAAATGCAATACAAATCTACAATTATTAGAAAAAACTTCCTGTCTTTTTAAAGATTATTTACAAATTTGTTTCTTCTTTTTCATTAATATTAAGTATAAGTAGTTACATCGAATAAAAGATAAGAGAATAATTATGCAATCTACAGGGTTTAAAAAAAAAGCGAAAAACTTAAGAGGATGATTACTTGTTGATAACAAAAGGTAGTTAACCAAACCGGCAAAATTCTGTAACCAAGAGATGCGTACAGGGTTTTTCAGTTACAGACAAAAAATTAAAAAACAATGGAAATTCGTAAACTAATTAATTAATTTCTACAAAAATATGGCTGTTTAGTGCATACAGTTCTGTAGGCAGCTTCGAGAGCTAGGTCTTCGTCTCTATATATATTTGAATTGACCTAGCAGTTTGCAGCACGATCTTCAAATTTGGCTACTTTTAGGCCGTGCACGAGGTACGCAAACCAGTAAAAAATGTGTCTGATCGAACGAAGGCGTCCATATTTTTTTTAGATTTTCCACTGTTTTTTGGACATTGCTATGAAACACGATAAGTGTCCGAAATTTGAAGCCATCCACTTAAAGTTTGACAGATGTATAGAGCTTAGCTCCGTAACGAAGCCTATTGAAACTGGGGGGCTTTTGTGGTTGGGAAGTATTTCTAAAAATTTAAAAACTGTACTTGCAGGATATCGAGAAAAAAAATCATTTCTCGAAGACGGTATATGCGATCGAAAAAATTCTTTAACCAAAACGACGCGCAAGATCTGGGCCAAAAACTTGTATTCTTGATGATTTTTTAAAAATGTACAGGGTGCGTCGCTGATTTACAAAAAACTGAAAATTGAGCTCTCTTTATATTGATAATTGACCATAACTAGAAGGCTGTGACTCCGTTGTCAGTTTCTTTCATATTTCTATATAGCCCGTATGGACAGTTAAAACT